TTCAGCAGTCAGACTTTTTGGGATTGGGGCGTTGCGCTTGGTTGAAGGCATATGGTCGAAGCCCAGACGCTTGTACACGTCCGGCATAGTAAGTGGGGCTGGTTCGCCCTCTTCTACATGGTCAGTCAGAAGGAAAACAAAACAAGAGGAGAGACTTGGAACGGGCATGGCGATTTTGTTGTGGGACGTGTTGGGGGGGTTGGAAAGTAGACACCAGCTTCGTGCTTCCTATTTATACGCCAGGATGGCATTCATCTCTGGCTTCTTTGCGCGTGTTGCAATGCTCTTTTTCATCTCTTTGACAGGCGCTCAACCTCGGCAGAATCATTGATGTATTTCAGTAATCCCGTCTCGACTAAAGGGCTTCCTTGGAGTGCATGCGCCCGTTATCGCAATGCCCGGTGCTTCAGCTCACAAAGAAGCGCCGGAAGTGACGTACAATGTAACCGATCAAAGTCGCCTTTTAATTTCCCACAATCAAGCGCCGTCTGCCGTCACGCGGGACCTATGTCTAGGATGGAGGCATATCAAAACACGAGTAGTAAGAAGAGGATGATACCGTGTGCAGCTCGCCTTCCACGACGGCGAGCAGCTGCACACCTGTTGCAACACGCAGAGAAACAAACGCCACACAGCTCACCTTCCCGGAAGGCGAGGTGTGAGAAGGCGGTCTCATCCGCGAGGACGGCTATGGTCACTAAGGAGCACTCGCCTTCCACGACGGCGAGTTTGACGCTGACATCCAGCTTTCTGCTGCTCGCCCTTATTTATAATTAACGTGCGTCTATCCTGAGAAGTCTAGGACGAGAAGACAACTTTTGAATTCACCAAGCCCGTCTTTCACAAAGTCACGCATACCTACTTCAAGGACTGGCCGACTCCTTGAGTGCGAAATATTCATCTGAAATGCAACGGATGAGAAGCTCACTCTTACCGTCCTGGATGGTGTGTGCGGCGTTCCCCTACAGGCAAACATCATAGATCGCAATATTGCAAAGCAAGGGCTGGGCAATTTCTTGGGCACGAAACAAATGTCGACATGAAACACGGAAGCCGAAACTCCCATTTTCACCGAAACAACTGGACCTCCTCGGGATGGAAACAGCAACTGAACACAGTCGCTCAGGGTGCTTTGCACGGCATTCAAAGAAACGCAACACGTGAGATGCCCATTCTCACTGCCCCAGAGGGCAAGCGCTCCACTTCCAATAGAAAAACAATGGGTGCGCACATGCAAATGGTGCCTCTGCAGACTGAAGACAGTCTCTCAAGGCACTTGGCATGGCGTTCTCCTTTTCTCACAGACAAAAGGTTCACACGGTGGCAGTTTTAAACCATAAAATAGGGTTGGAAAATCGCCCCTAGCAAGTCCATCCTACCGTCCCTACGCTCCCCTTATAACCCTAAGTCGCTGCCATTACCACCTCCTCGGGCCTCAACGCACTCGGAACCCTCCCAACACCAACGCACAAAACCCCGATCTTCCACGACTTCGACCACCGGACCCTCACCTATCATCGAGCATGGGGATAATATCTGCGCTCTCGAAGCTCAACGCGTCGTCGGAGTCGATGGCTGGACGACGTTCATGATCGTTACAGGGTACATAGTGGTTGACCGAGTGGCGTTGGCATGGGTGTAAAGGAGGGATGGAAGTTATGGATGTACATTTGCCATTTCCTCGCCCCTCATCCTCTTCTCTGACCGACGGACCATCTGACGATTCTTTTGCCAGATACGAGTTTGGCCGGCGAATGCGCTACCTTCTCAACTACAGCGTACCCTCCCTGTTCTCGTGCATCCACCGCCTTCCTGAAGTGGTCAAAGATCGCCCGGACCACTTTTCCGTCGCCCCGTTCGGAGCTCAAGAGCATTGAAAGTGGAGCATGGCGAGAAGAGGACGAACCGCGCGTACGAGAATGGAAGGGTCGTATCGTGGGCGCAGATGGTGTTAAAAGCTTTTAAGATAGAGGAGGCGAAGGCGGAGAGGATGACGAGGGAGTGGGAGTGGGGTGAGAGGATGGAGAGCTAGATTGTAAAGGTATGCTCTCGAATTCTTGGTATTGTCGATTCATGCTGACCGTTTCGTTCAGTAATTCATGTATCTCTACCTGCGAATGAAACACATTTCGACGCCGATAATCCTACTTTCCACAGAGGTCGATATATACGCAAGAAGAACGAAACCTGGTTCAAGAACTACACAGCAATTCTTACGACTAAGTATATGCGCCGACACGATGGACCGCCGGCACGGAATTTCTTTACGGTTCCAGTCAAGCGGCCCATTCCTCCTATTTCGGCATACGTGGCACAATGAGTAGCTCCACGCCAACGACTTTGCCTGTCCGGGTCTGCTCGACGGAATATCCTTTCTGCCCTCGACGCCCACAGTATCGTCGTCATCAAATAAGCCAGGTCTCATTTCTTCGACTTTATGGGCGTACAGAAACCTTGGAGTTCAAGGTAGACGGCAAAGGTTCGGGTTTTATCTTCGCTTCTCGTCATTCAACCAAGTAACGAACTCCACGATTCTTCTCCCGCACGAAATAGCTCATGTTCATCCCAGGTTGAAGGATTACCTTCTCCGATGTACTTCCAGGGCCAAAAATTCGACGGCAGGAGCCTTGCGATCCAATTATTCCGAGAAAGGTGAAATTCATATTCTACTCATCGTATTTTCTGCGGGTCCTAAGACGCTACGCGATGACAGCCAGTCTTGTCTCTTTTCTTTGCCGATATTCGGCCCCGATATTTGTCCTTTGTGTGGGTTTGCGCCTTTTATCCTGCGTTTGGGGTCACTGCGATTTCTGGACGGGCTAGGAGGCGCATCCTTTTATGCGTCGTATGCCTTTTATCCTCGACGATGATGGCTTGCACTATTTGCTTTTCCCTTTGAAGGTCATTCTTGCACCGTGCTGGAAACGCCGGTACGATATTGCAAGACTTGCCATGCTGCGCTCCATCCACTTCCGTTCCCCGGTGCGGTAAGGGATATACCCATTGTTCCCCACCTACGCCGTTGTTGAGGACCGGATCCTATATGAACAGGTCCACCTCGGTGATTGGGCTACATTTTCATAAAATTCCTCTGACTTGTGTGTTCGATATGATTTCGGTGGAGTCGTTCTCGCCAGCTGATTTGGTCGTTCAATTGGGGCTTTGGACACCATTTTATCATCGAGCCCCTCCAGTGCACGGAGACCCTGGTTTCTTGTGAGTTGGGTAATAGCCGTCGTTTCCCTGTCTCTGACTGACTTTGGGGCTATGCGCGGGCATTGAAGGAGATCTTTGCGAAGAATTATCATTGGGGAAGTCAAAATGAACAAATATGGAGAAATATTTCTGCTCCTGGTGCAGAAGAAACTGTATTCGAAGTAAATGACGGACAATGCAAGTCGCCTGTCTCTTCCCCGTCATCCAAATCGAATGCCTTGTCTGATGCTAGGGTTCGGGTCTCCCATCCAGTCAAATGAACGGATGAAGCGACCACTCTGTGAGTGTCAAACACGCTGATCGCCAAGCTACACCCAAAACCGGTTACGCCAATCAGCCGATATCAAGGAGCAACAACGTACCCAGTAATCCAGAGAGGTAGATGACCGACAGAGACGGATAGGTGGGTCGAGGGAGCTGGGCCAAGTCGAGTGACAAACGCAGCGAACGATCGACCAGATCCAATGCTGCATCGAGGTCGCGCCAGCGCAGGTCACGGTACAAAAACTCCTCCAAGTCCCGTTCTTCCTTGGTTCCATCAGCCAATACTGCTAGGAGTTGTGCCGCTGATGTGGGACAGACGAGTCTGTAGCTATTGAAAGCAGTGGCTGCGCGCTCGCGGTCCTGTCTGTACAGGGCAGTGAAAAATGTACCTGGGTCTGAGGAGGTGCACGTGGAGGTGACGGAGAATATGTCGGAATTCGCGCTCGAGGCGATCTCCTGGCCGTTATGAGGGAGGTGTACACCTTGCTCATTCTCCTGCTCACTATCCTCGAGCCTGACTTGGATGGTGCCGACACTTGGCAACATATTCAGAATGAAATCCGCGCAGGTAAAATTCATTGACGTACGGGAACCCTTGGTGTTTCAGCGGTGAAGATCGTGAAATGTATATCGTCCGGCGACCCCTCTGAGTTTGGGGACCAGGGAAAAGGTGCGGAGCGAAGTGAGGAAGGAAAGTGGGCTTCTTTCGCTCCATTCCAACTGACTTTACGTGTGTTTATCTGGTTGGCGTCGAGTCGGCGAGGGTGTGGTGTGGTGGTCTGGATGAAACCCGTATGGTGACGATGAAACCTCCTATAATATTATTAATGACACCTAAAAAGAGCGCCCACATCACTACACCACCTAGCTCATGTACGTGCAACAATTACTTCATAGAGATACTTTAACTGTATGGCAATCCAATCAATCGTTAAGCTCTCCCAGTAAACAAAGATCTCGACGTACATCGTAAGATCGCAAGAGGGATGGTACGTACAATTGTGCGGATCGTTTGGCGCGCAGGAGGTATAGAGGATGTCAATGAAGGTGTGCTGGTGCGTACAACGATGACAGTGTGGCCAGCCTAATCGCAGCAAACAATGCATGGTGTTCTAAAGCGACTGGAGAAACAGCGCGAGATACCTCCGTCGGTTTAGGAATTATTTGCCGTATATGGAAGATGCTCTTCCGGTGGTCCGTCCTAGGTCCTTCAACGCCGAGAAGACCGCCTTCTGTTGCTTCCGATCGTCATCGAATTATTGATTCATCCTCCTCCTCTTCGAGTACGTCACTGGCTTTTTTGCTCTGATGCGCATCCTCTGCCATGTCCCCTGACCCTTGGACGTCAGTACTTCAGTACTCAGTGCCCATGTGGACATCCTGCGTGCGGTAGAGTAAATGGATCAGTGCTGTTCGTTATCCATTACGTCGATACACCGTTCGAGAAGTTGCCATGTATCTGGACAAAAATGCCTTTGTTTTTTGAGTTCGCCCGTTTGCCGAGTCCATGTTCCGCCCGCCGTCTTCAAATCTCCACAGTCGGGCGCAACAACCATTAAAGGCTAGAAACTGAAATGTGAAAGGTGGCGGACTGATACGGAGGGTTCAGATACTTACCTCGTGGGCGTTCTGCTCTGCGACTCCTTTTCCGCCGCAATGTCAATACTAAGCCGCTCATTCTATCTCGCAGACTTTCTCGTCATCAGCCTGGAATGGGACAATGTCCCAAGCCTCTTGGGTGATCAAAGATCAATATGACCAGCGATCGAATGAGCGATTGCAGCCTCTTTGTTTGACGCCTATGCCCCGAACTCGTCCCGTACTCAGACTCCTTATCCAACTCGCACATTCTTGCTCCGAAGGTGAAAATAGGCATTTCGGGCGACGAATCTCTATCAACGACGCATAGACAAATTCTGCCGACGATACGTGCGCCATTATATTCCCCTCCCTCCCTCCTCCCTCAGTACTCTGAGTTAGAGTCCTCCAACACATGCACCATGTCCGCCCTCACCCGTAACTTCGTCGCTCGCCCGACGCGTCTCCTAGAATCACGAGAGTTGAACGAATGCGCCCGATTACTCGGGTATCTTAGCCACATCGTGATTCCCATGTGAGATCCGTAAGACGAGCGCCCGTAGCTACCCGCGTATTTTCCGCCTTGACCTCCGTACTATAAGATAGCCCTCAGACGGGCATCTAGGAAAAATAGCTTAGCAGTCATAGGCTTGAATATACGATGACGGGCTTACTTTGGCTCTAAACCAGCTTGCGCTCACGCGTGTTCACTACGTCGACCAAGAGAGAGTTGATGGGGTTTCTACACGGCCGTACGGTAAGTCCTCGAATGCTTCATCTAATGACTTCACTGACTTACCGTGCCCTTGCCCAGATGACTGTATGAAACCAGACATTGAAATCAACGAAGAAAGGCTACAAAAGTAAAGTTAAAGGTCGTCTACCAATGGGGAGGGCGTCAACATTTGCGCTGCGCCGTTGTCAGCTCGCCTCGTCCCCCAGAATGTCAAACTCAAACGTTGAATCTCCGCCTTCAATTTGCTATGTGCTGATGTCCTTTTCGTTGACTGTCTTGCTCATGCCTAAGCCGTGGTCCAGTACGTCCTTGGAGACGACGGGTAAGAGGTGGTGCCCATCGCATCTCGAGCACTCGCTCGCGAGGCAGACGTCTCTCCAAATCGTCCTCGTTATAAACACCTACGGTGCCAATTCTCTCCACTACATGCGCGTTCGTTTTTAATGTTTATGTTGAAGAAAAAATAGGTAGGAGCCCTTCCATGTTCACAGATGCTATGTCACCTCACCCAGCGCCGCTTCTTGCTCGTCATTCCCGCTACGCTGCCCAACGCCAACCCTTGTCTTCGCTCCTATCACTCTAACGAATGTGCTACGGAACATGGGTGAGTACCCGCAACTCAACATGCTAATACAATAAAAGACACTGACCACGACCGTAATTGATTTCGTGTGGGCATCCATTCTCCGCAACGCGAATGTCAATGTCGATGTCGAAGTGCTCAAGCGCATAATTGAATGAAATCGCGAATTTACCAAGCTCATCGTCTTCGAGCCTGTGTAAATAGCAGCCGAAGTCGACGAAGAAAGGCTAGGAGAGTATCATAAGTACTCGTATGCCAACTTAGATGACGGCGGAAGCTTACCCTGCTCTAGTTCTAGACCATCTCGCCACCCAGGACGTCGAGCTTGAGCGTTTGAACCTCGAACTTCTATCCTCATTTCTTGCTCAAGCGCGACACCCAGCGGGTCTCCGACCGCCAAATGCTTGGAAACGACAGGTAAGAAGTAAAGGCCATCATGTACGCGAGAGTACTCGCACGGATGCCTACTCTAGCTTGCCCATATCCTGAACGTCCATCTACGGCATCGACTCCTCCATATCGTACCAGCGCCATAACGTTCTGAGGAAGAGAAACCAGGTCAGCATTCGCCGCTCCGGGTAGACGACGACAAACTTACCACATGTATCCCTTGTATCTCTCAAGGTAGCGACCGACGTCGATGAGGACAGGCGAGGAAAGCTAGGAAAGTACGGTAAGAACTCGTGTATACGCACAGAAGGCGTAGACACTTGCCTCGGGCCATTCCAACCTTTCCTCTGAATCGCCGCTGTGGACATCGACCGCGAACCAATATTCACTGTTGCCCTCGATATCGGCGGCTGCAAACTCTATCTTAGCCATGTGTCGTTCCTGGTTGCGAGTTGGGATATGTCTGGCTCCGCTAGCGACGTAGAAACGAAAGGTAAGAGATCCTGTTTGTCAAATAGGACAGTATCACTCACTCCGATGTCCCTTCCAGCTGATCTTCGCCGCCATATGCCCGGGCCATTTCTAGGAGCTCCTCCGCTATTCTCTCGACTCAGGCCCGCCTCCGCGTCAATCTTCAATTCCTATGTTTCGCGTTCGTTGGCAAATACGGCGTGATTTCTTCAAGGCCCCTAATCGCCATTATGGAAGGAATTGTCGGACTTGCGCCGATTTGAACTCGGTCGACGAGCTCTACACAGAAACCAGAGACGATAGCGAAGAACACTGAGGTCGAGGTCAGCATGTATCCCTCGCCTGAGATCTCGTGAAAAACTCACAGGGTCTCTAAATCTACCATATGCCGTAAATACCCTACACCCCCCACGTCCGCTTCTCTATCTTCGTCTTTGATAAAAATAGTCGTTTACGATGGGTTGTCTGAGTCCAGTTTCTCGCCAGTGATTCTGGCCAGCGATGTTGCAAACGCGCTACAGGAGAGACAGAAGATCAGTACCACAGTATTCAGAGCTTAGGTGGACGATGATATGGACCTACTATGGAAGGTAGTGACTGACATCGGCGCAGGATTGCTAGAGAAACGATGGTAAGAACTCATGTGTCGATGTAGATGATGTAGACACTCACCTAAAACCGCCCTGAGCTCGTGCTACCTCCCAGACCGAGGTCGAAATCCTCCATCGGCCGTAGCCCTCGATCTTGGCAGCTTCTAACTCCATATTCGTGGTTGTTCTTTCCTAGCCGCAGTCGAAGTACGCCAGGACCTGCTAGTGGTCGTGGAGATGGAAGGTAAGTGTTTCTATTCATCGTGTAGGACGTTAACACTCACTCCGAGGTCCTCTTCCCATTCGTTTTCGCCACTGACATGTACGAAGTTGCTTCTACAACCACCACCGCACTTTTCTCGACTCGAAACCGCCCCAGCCTCCGTCGCCGATTCACGCGCTTCTGCTTCGCGTTCGTTGGCCAAAATTGTTCCTAGTGGTGTGATGCTGCTCGAGGGTGATGGTGGCGAGAGCATTGTCGGCAAGGGTGAGTGACAGGCTTCGTGTCCGACGTGGATCTGCTTGACGACGTTGACGTCAGGCTTGAAGAGGGCAACAAAAGGCTGGAAGATCGAGGTCAGCATGAATAGCCCACCCGATATCGCGAAAATCTTACCCAAGGTCTCTATCAGTACCTTGAACTCAACATCCACCGTACTAGACACCTATTCACGTCTGATTCACGGAGGATTTTCCGACGTTGGATAGACCTTAGGGCATTCAGTAGGTAGTATGCGAAACATCGTCACATTACACTCACCGTTGATGCTTGTACGTTCTAACAACACGCGACGGGTGATGACGGGGCCTATTCTTCGACTGTCGATCGAACGAAAGCTGCGGATGGAGAATGAGAAGTCAGGCATACGGAGTTGGGGCTACGAACGTACCTCCAACACCGTGTTGCGCCGTCCATTATGGCCACCTTTCGAACTTGCTATCCGAGGATGAGAGCTGAGGGCCTTCGATAACGTCGTGCGACTGAGATTGGGCTCGATAATCAAAAGCGCCTGATGGACACAGCGGCGAAATGACACGTCCGCTCGTGTTAGGTGAGGTGCTGCCCGAGTAGTGCACGGATGAAGGAGAGGAGACTAGACGAGAGGGGAAGAGAAGAGGGCGGGGAGAATGGGGACTGGATTGGAAGCGGGATCGAGACGGGTGGACAAAGGTGTGAGACGAGAGGGCAGGCGCAAGTTGAATCCGTTAGCCAAAACAGGCAAAAGATCACACATGTCACGTCACACTCAGAGGCGACTCGGACCTCCCAGTCATCGAGTCGTCTTGCCTCTGGATAGCATTATCGAATCGGAATCACTTCCAGTGTCAAGGCGTGCTGTTCCATCCTCGATGAAGAAGCTGGAGTTCGAGAGATGCGTTCATATCTCTTCATCGATGAACAATCTATCGCCCGCCCCTAGGTATTTCTCATCTCGACGGTGCCTCCCTACGCAGTCCTTTCTTCTATTCACCCTTCCTGGACTTTGATTCTCGACTAATACTACCTCATACTCTTCCCTCCCATCTCATCATCCGTCTCATTCGAGCCACCGTTTTTCGATCCAGCGTCGCTCCTCCTCCTCCTAGCGTACATTGCACAATATGCACCTAGAGGTGGTGAACACCCTGTTTTCATGAACGCTGGACAGAGGTACTGGCTCTCCTGGACTCTGATCGAATCTATATCTGCCATATAATTCAGGTGCATCGCCATCCTCCCACCTACCCTTTCTCCCTCTATCCCTATATCTGCGCACCGTTTCCGTCTTCTCTTTCCCCCTGGTGTGTACAAACCGAGACTAGGAACGATTCAGCACGGTCCTCATTGTCGAGCATAGCTTGAAGAGGGACTTCGATACGAGGTTTGCTCTCGTTTGTCCGCTCTCTTTTTGTAACTCGTCGCCTGATATCAGGTATTTTCGGTGAACGTACACTTTTGAATTGCAGCTCTGCTGCAAAAGACGATCTTTGGAGTTTATCCTATTCTTATTTCTCTCGCTAACTGGCCCGCCACTCTTCTGACACCTCCGTCCTACCATTGTATTCAAACCTCTGCTATTCAGCAGCAATTGCAAGCTATATTCCTCTCGTCCCACTGTTCTTCCCACCCCCTCGCATCATCTATCAGTCTCCGCCCCATGTCTTCGGCGTACATCTCGCGAACCTTTGTAATTTTCAGGAGATAGGTCGTTGACGCCCCTGACCCTCCCTGAAGTACTGTTCGCTAAAACGATCGCCAAATCTGTAGCGAACACAGGACCTGATGCGACGTCCACTGGGTCTTGTGATTTTCCAATTTGCAGCTGTCAATTTTGGGAGTTCCGGTCGAACGGAAAGGAAGATCCCCTTGCTGCATAATCTCTGGCTATTGTCTCTCATCTATGGCCGACGCTAGACCTCACGTCGCCGTATAGTCGAGCGCCAACCATGCATGATCCCACTAAGCAATTTGTTCTCAGTAGCAGAAGCAAAAACGCTCTTCTCTGGATTATGGTTTTTGGCACGGGAACTCATCGCGTGGTGGCGCTCATTTTGCATACTGGGCACGCAAGAAATCCCTCAAATTCCATTGGAATTAGAGCCTCGAACGACGAATTGACCAATCTTGTCTCGGGCGCGTCTTTCTAGGAATGGCGTTCCCGGATTCGCTGTTTATCTTTGGTTACCCCGCTTACTTGGTCCCCGTTCTGAACAGCAGTTCGTCCGTTTGTGTCTCTATGCACGCATGTGGATATCAAAGTGCCCCACCCCTAATCTACTCGTTTATGGTCTGGCTAATATCCTCGCACTCTCGATGCTGTCGTCCACGTCCAACATCTATCGCGGTTATTCGTGGTGGGAATTCGACACTCGGCGACATGGGGGTGGTGCGTGGATAGGTGCAAGAGGAAGGCCTACGACGAGAGGAGATGACGAGAGCTGCGAACAAGGGTTGGTCTTGCCATACGCGGTACGCGGTGTGTTGTTTCTTGGTAGATGACGCAGGCCGAAGTGTTATCTCTTCGTTCATGTCACTCCCTTGCCTTCTTCATTGATGAGACATCTAATCGTGTTTCTCCTCTTTCCCCACAATTTCATGACTTCCAAATTCCAAAAAAGAAGAGGGAAATATTCCTTCAAAACTCCAATTTGCGATGAATCTACTTATGAGTGAAAACGTTGAAGAGGTAATTGAGAAGGAACGACTCAGACATGGACGAAATGTGAAGTACAAGCGAAAATGGCCGAATATCGAAAAGCATCGAACGACGCTACTCTTCGAGCGTGCTGAGACTTGAGATAAGGAAATGAACTGCGACGAGAACGGGTCGAAGAGCCGGCATCTTATCTTATCTTGATCCCATCTTATCTCGATTGTCCTGCTGGCAAAGGCGATGCTTTCGCTTTCCACACCACTGGTCGGTCTGCTGCCTCTCCTATTGAATGCGCCCTGCACTTGGTCGGCTCATCAAATGGACGCCAATCGTCTTCTCCTCTACCTCTTCTTTCTATCGAAAACCCCTTCCCACACGCTGAACGCCGACAACCATCCATACACAGGATTCACTGCGTGATGAGCGCGAACGCTGGCCTGAAGATGCGAATTCGAACTACCAAACCTTCTCGAATGCGAGAGGCCGACGATCGACGAAATACTGGGTTGATGTTGGCTACGAGAAGTGAAAGACCGAGTCGAAAAAGTGCGGCAAGGGTGGTCGGAGCACAATTGAGTTCCAGCCGACGTCTCCAAGGTAAATGAATGGTCGCTGAAGAGCCTTGCGAATTAAAGGCCAGTTGGGCTCGCTGTGGCATCCTGTGTTCCATGGTCTATTGGGCTCCGGCGGGCGAACCTACCGCTTCCATCCATCCATGTAAATTCGGCGATTCCATCACTTCCACAGCGACGTATTCGTGCGTTATGCATGAGGTATGGCGCGTGGGGGGTTGGGGCGACTGCTGAATGCTGAATGCCGTGGGTGGCTGTCGAAGCTCGTTTGCCTGCGAGTGGTACGGGATCGATTTTCTCAAGTTCTGGGGTGATTTCGAAACTCTTGATTAGAGGCCCGAGCTCCAACGGGTGAGAGAGCTAATAGACCATCCGTGCAGTTCATCTTGGCGAACGCATCACCACAACCATGTTTTCTTGCGTTCTTCTCGCGCCTGCTTTCCATCCTTGATGGTTCTTCTACTCGAATCCTTGGACAACGGCACTCTGTCGCCTGTTGGGGTACGGTTCGCGGACCCGTAGGCAAGGAATCATCGTCTGTAGATAACTTGGAGCGTCATGAAATTGACGGACAGACTGTAGACTTGTGGCTCTCGCTTGGGGTGCTTCAGCGACCAAAGCTGGATCATGACGTTCACCTGACTCATCCGTGTACCTCGAACGCGAGAGAGTGCACGTTGAATAGTGAAGCCCAGTTCATTGGCAACCTTGAAGGATAGGGCTTCGTCCAGTAAAGCTCTTTCTATTCTAGTCTGTGATTCTCGCTCACTCTGGGCGCTCCACCAGCGTGCAGTATCGAATTCACTCGATGACGGCCTTCTACATAAGTGCGTGGCTTTCTCGCTCTCTCCGAGAAACCTAGCTAATTTCCCCTCAACGTAATTATCGTCCTTGAAAGCTCTACACGACTCAAGGAAAGAATTAACTTTAGATCTTCATCTCCAATTTTGTTCAAGATTCGAATATTCGAACGGACGTGAGCATGCAGTAGCTACATCCAGGAATTTTAATATGGCAAATAATATGAGTATGCAGTTAGCCGGTATGGAGCGATATAATCAAAGTTCAAATCTGCGAGAAATGCACTAGAGAGATTAATGAACACAACAATGGCACCAGGAAGACTGACCTTCACGCAGAAAATGAGATAGGGATGAGACGGAACTTTGTTTCGGGCTGCACGTTCTGACGTACTTTGTGTCCTTCGATCTATCGTGAGTTGCCTAGCCTATTCTATGTGCGCATTTTCCGCCCTGATTACTGATCAGACGCGGCGCTGGCGATGATGTGATAATAACCTATGTACTGTAGTTCCTGCCAATAAGCATTCCAAAAGCCGACGGCGAGGGATCGAGGTATACCTTCCTACCGTGCTTATGGTTTAGAGCCATTGAAAGGAGGGGAGCATACCATGCAATCGGACTGGCAACCGTCACTTGTGGTCTGCTTCATGTTTGCAGTTTGGATGTACCATGACAGTTCCGTTGGAACCGACATGCATTCGACTGAGATGTCAGAAACGCAGGCAGTAATACAAATTGGCCAGGATATATGCCACGCCTCATCCAACTGTAGGTAGGACCCTTCAAAAACGACGACGAGGAAGTTCTGTGCTGTCATAAGCAACGAAATAAGGACAGCTCGATCATTTGGCGCACTGAAAAGTCGGTCTCGGGAGGCGAACGGTCGAAAAAATAGGTGCGTCGAGTCAACCACGAAATGCCAGAAACAGGCCTTTGATATTCGCGATCCAAACGACCCAACAACTGCGCGAGCCTTCGCGACTAGGTCAGAAATCGAATGGATTACTTCGAAGGTCTCATCTCTGGCATCAGGTATGACGAAGACGACAATTCCACTCTCGATGAAAGGGAGAAAACGTGCGAAGGAAGGGACAGACCCTGGCAACACTGCGCATTGTCTCGATTCATGTCCCACCGCGCTGCACTTCGGAAGCACATAATATACTCTATATGCGGGCGGCTCTGAGGGGGAAGGGGGAGACGGGAACAAACAAAGAGCTGCGAACCTAGACCAAGTCGATGAGAGCGCACACTTCAAATCCAGCGGCAGAGGGGACACCGAGGAAGCAGAGAAGGTTGAACGACGATCACGGAGACCAACAATTAGGCTCCGGACACGACGGCCACAAAACTCCAATGGGTCGCGTGAGAGGTGCTCCTTGTGCTTTGTCCGATAATGCGGTTGAGGATAATGGTTGGGGAACGCACCGAGAGCGGAATATGGGTGCATATCGAGTCAGACTCGTGGCGATGTTGAGGATGGCGGACAAGATTCGCGGGAGGGGACAAGTCGGTGTCCACGTTCAATAGGGTTTCTATGGCTTATTCCCCGTGTCGGACGTCCATTGGAGCACAGAAAGTGTTATTCGACCCACATATGCGTATTTTACCTGCTGGAAACGTAGAAAAAGGGTTAACGAAGAAGCGTCGCAGACATGGAACTAACACACGAAGGCAGACGTGCTCAAAGAGCTTAGAGCCTGTATAGATCGCAGTTGCAGCTGTTCAAGCTTAGTGTTCAAGTCGAATACACTGGTGGACGTCGCAGAGAACCACGAAGGGGAGAAAGGAAAGGAGCAAGCATGGGACAATTAGTTCGAATTCTCAAAATGGGAACGGATAAGATTTTGATAAGATAATGGCTATCACTTGAAGAAAACACTCACCAGCACTCTTTCTTTGCCACCACCGCAGCCCACAACGCCCAATTTGGAGCTACGACACGAGTGAAGACCTTCGGCACGGCGAATGTGACCAAGAAGGGCTCGAGAGAGGCGACGAGGTCTTGGACGATGAAAAGGGGCACCAGCCTGCTCCGTCGATTGTTGATTGGCATCCACGCCAGTTCTCTGTTCTCACAACCTTTGAGTCAAGCCATATTTCTCAGTGCATGGCTCATCGACGCAGTCATATAGCGCTTAGATGGCGCTCTTGTGAACGACTCTCAGATCTAGTACGCCATACTTTTCAGTTTCGCACTCCTCATCAATCATCCTGCTCCACGTCCTCTACGTGCCGTCCCTCTTCTGCGTCATGATAGCCGGAGTTATCCTCCTGTACCTGATGGAGCGTTTACTATACCAGAAGATTCTGGGTAGGAGATCCGTCAGCAGGCTTTGGTTTGTGACGTAGAATGCGGTTGCATGTGCGTAGACAGCGAATGGAGGCCTTCGTCGGTCCTCTCTCGGCTTTGGGTGTCCTCCACACTCTCAGAGCGCGCGTATACTTGGGTTACGAATTATCTTGTTAGTAAAGCGACCATGGCCACAATTTCTTGATACGCAGCATGGAAATTGTGCCAGGCGATGACCTTCCTGTACAATGATCGATGTCTCCAGTGTCCCTCCTCGAGTTCTGGCACTATTCTAGTCTGAATCTGTATTTCGTCGTATTGGTGAATGTTCGTGTCTCTCCGCCGTCGTTTCTTTCGGTATACGCAGCAGCGTCTTTCCTCGCATTGGTTGTCTTATGCAATCATCGTGGAATTCATGTTGCTTAAAACGAGCGAAGATTGCATTCGACGGCGGAATCCTAGCATCTCGCCATAGGCACAATTCAGTCTCACTCAAACTCGGGCTCGTACTCAGGAGCAAGGGTCCAGTTCTCAATGCGAACGCTCAAGCTCAAGTGTCATGCTGTCCGCTGGGGATCCCGAGATACCATGAAGGTCTGAACCACAGTGATCGACGCTGTTGGTGCAGGGAGCATCTTGGATCACCCGGATTCCCTCTCGTATTTTCCCCGAGCTACGTATGCTACACGGGGCTCGGAGTACCACGTCAGCTATCTTTTGTGATCACTTGGACTCTGTCGACCACCATTTGTTGCAAAGGAAGAATACCCTGTCTCGAGCCTGCGTGAGAGGTTCGCCCAATGTCTCGTTGATTATACGTCGACGGCACGGTGGACATACGCTTGGGAACAGAGATTGAGGTAAGTCAAGGTATGCCGAGAGGACGACACGATCCTGACCTCCCGTCCTCGACTGAACTTTGCACTCGCCTACGCGCTGCACAAGCATCGTCCTGCTATGGAGACCTCAGGACTGAACGTTGAACCCCTGTCTCTTTCAGCGCTCGTGTTCGTCGCCTCCGCGGCCAGCGTTACTTACCATCTATCTCCCCAGCTCAAAACGACTTCGTTCGATGGTAAGCCCAATCTACCTCGCAAACGCGAGTAGGATTTATTTAACTTCTTTTTAGCATCCTCAAATCCTTTTCTCGCCAGCTCCTTCGAAGTCTGCACCTCAACCGACAACGGACATATATAATACCCCCCTCCACTCGCACAATGTCTATCCGCACGTCGTCCCCAGCCTCCCATCGTTGATCGAAGATCGCATATCAGGCCTGCCACAACACCCCCGTATCAACTCGTACCACATATATATTATAGGCTATAGCTACGTTTCAAGCCCGCCGTGCTCACCGGCGTCCGTTCCTTGGAACTCGAGCAGCAGAGGGATCGCGACGTCGCTGCGGGTGTGGCTGAGGAGAGTTGAAAAGGTGAGTCCGTTCTTCATTTTCGCTATTTGATGTTCGTCTTCTGAATCAGGTTCCTTCTTGGGACCACTCTTCCAGTCCTTCGTTCTGGTCCTCACCTCGAGATCTCTTCTCGACCACCAGCGTCGATCTCAAAATGGTAAGGATCCCTCATCAAGCTCAAGTACGTTGCATTTTTTCCCAACTTCTTTGGAATCTCTCCCGCGTACTTACTCTCGTGCCGACTCTCGTGCTGCTGGAGCTCCCTTCTCCTCGCGACGTGAATCATGGTCCATCCCCGAGCCTTTTCTCAATTCGAAGCACATTAATTAATAATCGCGCTTGTCTCAGTGTTGGGCTGTTCTTGTGTTCTCAGTGCCGTGGTCTACGCTGTGAATGTCATCGAGGAGGGTCGCTATCATGATGACGAAACGGATGTATTCGAATGTTTGGCTAGTGGCAATAGTTTTCGAGACGGTTTCTTTCATACATATCGGAGCAGTGGTTAGTGGGCGCACTCGGGAAAGACAGTTACGCTGCGCGGCCGACTGCCTTACTCGCGCATTTTCTTTCGGCGATTCTGTTTTCAGCCAAGCTGTTCTCGACTTGGTTGTGCTTCCAGTCCGTCCCTCTGTGATAGGTCTGTCCTCTATGGTCTCCTCCTGGCCTCTAAGATCAGCGGCATCCTACCATCCTCTCCGTTCTCGTGCCTCACCACCTGTACAGTGTATCCACGACCATCCTCACCATCCCTTTCGCCTCGAACCACGTATGATACGCTGGTGGTTTTCTCACGTAGCTCGTCGTGCTTTCGAGTAGCGTTTAGGGAGAGAGTGAGGGGGGTCACAGTACCCTATTGGTGTTTGCAGGGGTGGCATCTTTGCTCATGCGGCGAGTCGCATCTTTGCTCCGTATGTATATCTCGTTGAGTGCTTCATTCCTAGAGCCGGTTTTCCGAATCCTATTGCTAGTGCGCCTTTCTCTTCCCCTCGACTTCCGTTTGGGTCTTGATTTCCTTCGCCTTCCCCCCTGCTCAGATCCGAGGTCCACGACCCGAACCGTTTCTGTATCACTCTTAGACGTCGCTCGGGTTATAAATTTATGTAGAGAAACTCAGAGGTATGTACGCCTCGTCGAGCCTGTCAGGTGTTTCGTGAAATAGTCGCAGGTGTGGTACTTAACTGGCCTAGCTGGTTACTGGGTATTTCCGTCTCGGTTTTATCGACGTTCACATTCCCGTTCTCTCCATGAATAATAAAATAGAGTTTTAAGCAATTCCTCATTCTACCCCTTCGTGTTTCGACGCCTTTGGGCGTGCTTTGGGCATCGTAGTTTCTGTTCGAGGTCTGGAATGCAAATCAGAGATCTCATGGGCATTTGGTACGGTTGTGAGGGGAGGGACAGCGCATCGAACCTCCTGCTCATGAGAATCTCTCCCGAAAGCAGCTACATCAACTACGTTGCATCTTGCTGGTGTAGTTGGGATCTTGGGTGCCTACCCCGATGGGCGCCTATTATGTAATCATGGCCAACCGATCGACGCACAACCAAAAAGGGGAAAGCTAAATGTAAATTGTCAAAGCAGACGACTAGGACCCAATTGCTACATGCCGACACTATTCGTGACTACAATAGTAATGGGTAATAGGACGGGTAATAGTAGCCGTAATATTGCCGCCGCGCATGGTCGTTGGTAGAAGCCTGAACACATCGGGCAGAACGGAGGATATGAGATATATTGTGGTGCTGAGACAGATGCTCGTGTCGTGAAGCTCACCCTGCTTTCCAGTCGTTTTGCGAGAGGGATGGTTAGGAATGGTTCTCGGCCTGCAACATTTCCAACGCTGTTCAGAGGAAAAGAGGAGAAAATCGCGTTAGTTTATGTGTTTATCTTTGGACAGCGGTTGAGCGGGCCTTAACGTACGACGAGATGATTACTCCAACTGGAGCACTCTGCGCGATCCCAGCGAGGAAGACAAGCGCGAAGATCGTTTGAAATTTCATGGCGCGAATACCTTTTGGGGGGATGGGAGCAGGGATTTTCGTTCGAGATTGACTTACTTATATATGGCGAGAAGTGGATGTTTATCATGAGATATCAGTCAAACTCCCTTCCCACGTCAGTGGAAAGCCCAGCCGTACTTAATCAGCACCAAATAACACACAGGAAAAGGCACCCAAGTGGACAGTGTAAGTATGTGAACCCAAGCTTTTGACGAGACGTCTGGCAAGCATCTATGATCTGACCTGGCCGTGGACCCCTGCAGACGCATGTACAGATTGTGCCTGACGCTAGTCCGGATGAATTTATTCACCAAAGGACCGTATTTTACATAAGGGTATCTTGAAGATGGAACGCGAGAAGAGAGAATTCATGACCGCCGAAAGATAAACTGGAGATTTAGGAATGAGCGTGACGTGACAAGTGTGACCTCTTCAACTTGTTCCCAGTGCTCACCACTGCCCACTCAAAGCTTCAGGAGTGAACGCGGTCGACGCTTCCGGGGAGCCCGATACCGTCGAGTTTCTGAAAGTCGCAAAGGACTATACCCTCGCTTGGTCCGATCGCGAGCAAGCTCGCCCTGCCTACCCAAGCACGGTCCGGGCGAACGCCCGCATGGAGTCAACCATCGGACCTTTCGTGCGTAAGTCCCTGGAGATTAACAACCTTCTGGTCGAGATATTCAACGAAAAGCTGGGCTTACCGCCCGGAGTGTTGATGGACCAACATAAGATGGAAGAATTCAGTGGGAGCGAGACGAGGATCACGAGAAACCCACCGACGACGAACGTCGCAAAGCAGGCGATTTCGGGCTACTTGTAAGTGGTGTCGTTCTTCCCATAGTTTTCCGCTCATATTTTTCGATAGTCCTTTCTTCACAACCGTTTGGGCGGCCTTCAAGTTCTTGTTCCAGGATCCGATAGCTGGCAGTACGTGAAGGTTTGTTGTGTTTTGTCCGCCACTGACACATGTCTTGAATCAACATTTCCCTTCAGCCTATCCCAAGCCACGCCATCTGCAACGTCGGGGACGCGCTGGCCATCTTCAGTGGTGGGATCTCCGCTCGAACCTCCACCGAGTTCTGTAGGCCGTTTTCTTCATCGCCACATTTCTCGGCGCCGAGTTCTTTGAAGCCCACCTCCTGGATCCCAAGCCGGCCTCGAACGCTGGTCCCTCGTCTACTTCACGCGACCTGGGAACTCGGTCGTCCTCCGAGCGCTCGTCGAGAATAGCCCGCTCATCGCCGAAGCAGTCTCGAAGACACCGGAAAAGAACTACGAGACCGGTGCTACGGCATTTGAGTGGTTCACGAGGAGGATTAAAAACCAGAGGATTAATAATAGGAAGAAAGACAGGTACGGTTCCCCTAAACGGCGAATAGCGAGAGCTACACAATTCGCGAGCTACCTAGAGTAGTGGTCGTCAATTGAAGAGATATTGACACCAACGGGGCCAAACCTTCAGAACCAGGGCGTAGACAATTGCTCTTAGCCACGTCGTTTCGGATGCGGTTTACGCTCAAAACGAGGACAGGGCGAGAGACTGGAGTTAGACTTGACGCGTCAACCAATATTCACCACCAATTCCAGCGATTGGGAAACACGTTTTTGGGAGCTGTTGTACGGTCCAGTCTGTTTAACAAACTAAAAGTGTACCGATCGTCCTCGACCGTCAGCGTAAGTATGGTGACATATGATGAGACACGCGTCGACGCGACGCGACGCGTTTCGCTAATTACTTATCACGGTTGCGTCATGGCCCCTGAATTGGCGTCGAGAAGGTTTAGCGACAGGTGACGGGAGGCACGTCCATTCGAAGGACAGATCCTCCTCGTGCAAGTAGGAGCCAAGATGAAGCCAGCAAGATTTACGAGCACGACCAATGAGGATGGGATTCATTTGGCGTAGGGCCAACGGTCTGACGTGGAGAAATCTGGTTCAAGTGATGGTGAAGTAACGGTATTCGTACACGGGATAGGCGACAAGCGCGGCTGATGAGCGTGCTGGAGGTCCCGGTCAACATTTCGACTCTGAAGATCGGACCATGGCACACGAATCTGATTCGGAAAGATGTATAGCGGTCGCCTGTGTCGAGGCCGTCGAGGACTACATGCCGTCTTTATCAACGATCACGACTCAAACGCGAGGGAAGCTCAAATACCGACGTCCAATCGCCCCCCTGTCGGACCACCACCGCCTGGCCTGGCCTCAGCCATGTTCGCCATGACACATCAGACAAGTCCCAACCAAATCCTCTTCCTCGTAAAAGTCGAACTGGTCGCGTATCGAGTTGACATGGTCCTCGCACTTATCGAGCAGGGCCTTGACCGCCACCTGGACGTCCCACAGATCGTGCTCATCCCACAGATCATGCTCGCCGCGTTTGCGTTTCTTGGTAGGCGGTATGCGGGAAACCGTGTGATCTTTGAGGAAATCGAGGAAGTATCCGTCGAGGAGCTTGATGCCGAAGTGGAACATGGTGAGCTGGCGCTCGGAGATGACGGCTCGTTGCTCGAGTTCTGTGATGGAGAAGTAATTCATTTTCCGTTAGAGCGTCAAATTTGAACGGGGAGAAGAGGATCAGTTGGGCGGGCGTACCAGAGATGCGCTGCTTATTCTCCCGCCGCGTGTTCTGCGCATCAAATAGCTGCTTCTTCCTCCAGCGGTACTTGCGCCGGGTTTCGCTATGCACTGCATGAAGCGCTTCCAGATCCTTCTGTAGCTGCTGCACGTTATCCTGCGTCGGCTCCAGCACCTGGGCTTTGGGGAGACGCTCCAGCTCCAGGCTCTGTTGTTTGACTATCTTCCGTAGCTCGAAAATTTCCACGAAGCTTCGCTCCAGAAGCTTGACCTCCTTTACAGTCTCTTTGTGGTCCGCCTTGCACCGTTCAATCTCCTTCCTCAGCGATGCGACCGATGCCTTCTCTCCCTCGGCCGCACGACGAGCCTCCAATAATTGTTTCTCCATCTTCGCGACGGCAGTTTGCGCCGTCTGCAGCTGCCCCAGTAGCGCAATGCCACGTTCCACCTCCTTCGTGTGCTGTTCAGAGCGCTCACGGGTCTCCGCCTGCTGGGTTTCAAGAAGCTTCTTCAAGTCCATCAATTGCTGATTTTCGTGTTGGGCCAAACGTCGTGCCTCCAGCAACTCGCCCTGAAGCTTGATGATCGCCTCCTTGTCCGTCGACCATCCCTTCATCGCCGCCGACAGGTCATCTCGGACACGCTGGAGCTCTGCCTGGAGACGTAGGTGGGACGTGGAACGTTGCTCCTCCTGCAGGCGGGATAGACCTTGGTCGGCCACGACCTGGCAGTGCTGGACGAGAACTTTGAGGTATGAAAATAGAGACCTGGAATCTTGGCCTAGAGAAGAAGCGTTCCGAAGCGCAAGTGAGATATGAGATTCGCGGGAACCACAAGGAGGATACGCACTGTGAGCTGGCGTGCCATTCCCATCTTCCACCCGACTCGGCGTGCCCACACCGCCATGTGCATTCGAAAACAACGCCGATTGACGATGCACTGCGTGCAGCGAAGCTTGAAAACGAATGTTCCATGTCGCTCCTCGCTCGTGCTTTCGTTTAGCTTTAGGCGGCACGGTAGCTGATGGTGCATCTCGAGATTTCGACGAGGATGGATCTAGATAAACTTTGAGAACGAATTATATGCTGCAAGTGAACGAAAAGAGCACATACCCATCTCTTAAAGAAAGGCCTGTATTATATGCGAGTGAGAGTCTGAGCTACACATAGACCGTAGAGTCACAACCCCGAAAGCGGAGATGATGGCATTTGGCTCGCCAACGTCTTGTAGCGAAAAGGAGTGCGATGGTTTGCAAATTGAAAGCATGACGGCCATTCTGGAGGATGCAAGGACATTCTTTCTCCAGTATTCTTTGAGTTTAGAGCCTTTGAGTTCCGACAAAGTGTCGCGGTTGTGTTGAAAGGAGCGCAGGACTGCCTTCAGTTCGGAATAAAGGGGCGTGAGAACTGATTATGCAACAGGTACCAGAAAACTCGAAAGCAGGCCCTGTTGGATCTTTGAATTTGACTGCTTTCTTCCCCTCGTGTGCCCGGAGTATCGACGCGAGATGAGGCATCAGTCATGCCGTTGGATAGTATATCTGCCCTGAGCGATATTACGTCCAGAATACTTGTTTCGAGCCTCGGTCGTCACTCTTGATTGGAGGTTTTCGCGCAGGCTGCCCAGAAATTTGGTCGGAAGCTCCTTTTTTTCAGAACCTGACTCTTCGCTTCTTGAAAGGATCGATATCGGAGCGCAGGATCTCGGAAGATGCGCAGATGGCGCAGCAGGTCGAGTAGTAGTCAGGAACAGAATGTACGGAATGGTGGACAATACTCACCGTTCTTCTGGCGGCGGTGCATGCTTTGGGAGCCCAGATGGACTTCCCATTTAATTACATATGTACAGATCGTTCGGCGAATTGTGGGTCCCTGTAGGTGCAATCGAAATCTGTCAGATCGCCATCAAACTTCGATTCTGAGTCTTTCGAAGTCAATTTCAGGCCGATACTTTGGAAATTGGGACATTCACCTCCGCGAAATGCGCCCCAGCTTCTACCATTGAGTCAAGATATCTTCTCCCCTTCCCATTTGATTTATTTTTCAACGAGTTGCTATTTCCCGCCTTCCATATGGATTCATTCTTCCCTACTCGCCGGTAGCAGAACCTAGCTCGAGTATCAGGCGCTGGAATTAGGTTTCTATTTCTGAGCCTTATACTGTAGAAATGCTTTGCGTGATCCCAACGTCTGAGAATTGCTGCGAGTTTCTTCCGCGTCACTTTGGTCTTGTTCAATTTCGTGATGACTTTCCATCCAAAGCCTGTAGACCCCGAGTCCAAAAAATTTATTTTATTTTGACAGCTCAACCAGAAAAAGGCTCGGAAAGCGTATTTCAGTCGGAGGAAATATATATATATGTAGTACATCGTTCAGGTAAAGAAGATAACAAAATTTCTTTCTTCGCAGCGCGCACCTCCGAACTACGTTACTTGTCAGAGACCGGGAAGTCCTTTCCTGTCGCACTCTTGTATCCGCTCCGAATGGCATCGGAGATCTTCTCGTCCTTCGCCTGTTCCATAGCCGACTCGTTTTTCTGAGAGCCAGCACCGAGGAAACGTTCCTGAACGAAGTCTACCCCCTTGTCGAGCATGTCTATACGGGCGAGATGAGTAAAAAATGCGAGTGCAAGCGAAACGCTGAAATCACGCACCATCGTTCTTCTCTCCTGCCTGCCCGCCGCCCATCGAGCTGTTCATCTTGTCCATGAACCCGCCTCCAGTGGACGTGTTCGCGGTGTTGGTATTGGAGGAATTGCCCTTGAAGAAGTCCATGGTTAAGGCGTCGATTGATTTGTGGATTATGGTGTAAAGCAGAACGATGTTGAGGAGGATGGGCGAAAATTCCCCTTTAAATATTAGGCCGTCCATTCCACAATGCGACACGACCCATGAGACATGACGCGCGTTGTTCTTACCCGGTCCTCTTGGCATGGGGTTTACTGCATCGCTATCTCAGATCAATGACGACACGATCTTCTTGTCGCCCCTTCAAGTTCGGTGACATCATGGGTGCCTCTATGAATCGTAGTTCGAAACTCAAACATTCAGCGGCAAGCTTACAAGATACGACTAAACACAGGCAGTATTGATGAAAGCAAAGTCGAAAGCTGTACAAAGAGCAGAGCTGACACGAGTGAAAGGAAAAGTCCGCCGCTTTTCGAGCATCTTGCCCATCCTCTCCGTTCCAAAAAATATACGAGACGATGTCAAGTCATCTGCCATATCTAGAATTCGAGAGCTAATTCCCACTCTGGCGCTTTCTCATTTCCTACGACACAGAATGAACAGTGTTAAGTTGACTTGAGAAACAAGAAGACTCACCTCTAATGGGCCCTTCACCGCTCCACTATTCCTCACTTTCGCTTGGTTCACCTTCGCCGCCGCAGTGACCATCCCATTCGCGCTCGTCCACTCGTCAGGACTCAACACGACCCCACTCGGGATCTCCGCTCGCGCAAGACCTTGCTTCTTCGCGATAGCTTGCAGCTCTTTAAGCACTGCGTTTCGAGCGGCAGGCGAGGCACATAGCTCCGCGAAGGCCGACTTTGAAGACGCCTCAAAAAGTATATTAATAGGCTCGGTGGCGGTGGGTGGTGTCGCGGTGCCGTTAGGTTTCGCCTTTCCGTTGCCGTTTGACTTGAGTGCTCGGCGCAGGGTGGATTCGCGTGGGCAGACGATGGCGATGGGCTGTTGCATGTCAGACTCGGCGTAGAGGCAGAGGTTGGTGGCCAGCTTGCAGGTCTTGTAGATAGATTCGAGCCGCTCGAGAGCGATGTACTATGAAAGAGAGTGGGATGATGGCATAAGTCGAGGAGGAAGTCACGAAATGAGGAACGCATACCTCGCCACTTTGCATCTTCACCAAGTTCTTGAGACTATATTCCCGTCAGAACCTAGCATAATCCATAATCCTGGGGCCAGAACCTACCGATCGATGATGCTCAATGTTCCATCTTCATTCCACTGACCAACATCGCCTGTCCTGAACCACCCGTCCTTCGTGAAGATCTCTTCGTCGTCGTTCAAGTCTGGTCGGTTTAAATAACCCGAGGTAACCGAGGGTCCGCGAATGCACACTTCGCCTTGAGGTAGATGCGATGTTGTAGAAGTTGAGGACAAGTCCGTCGAAGAAAAATAGCCCATCTCGGGACAGTCGAGTAGCTTTATCTCCACCGACGGGGCAGGGACGCCGACTGGTCCAACAGAGAGCAGCTCGGGCGGCAGGAGCGCGCACATTCCGCACGTTTCAGTAAGCCCATAACCTATTTCAAGATTAGTCATTAGCGATAACGCCGAAGGAGATGTTATAAACAGACCTTGAGTCAACGGCATCACCGCGAGGTTGAAGAAGTCCTGCGTCTCGCGGCTGATAGCAGCGCCGCCGTTGACAGCGAACCGCATCTCCCCACCCATTGCCTCCTTCACCGTTCCCAGGAAGAGGTTGTCCACAAGCCAGTCCACACCGGGTATCCACGGGCCAGCATACCGTTTCAACCTCAGTCCGCCCCAGAACGCCTTGCTTGCCACCCAACCTGCTTTCTCCACCCTTCCAACAACCCCCTTGCGCATCGTCTCCCAAACGGCAGGCACTCCGAGCATGATATGAGGCTTGAACGCACGAAGATCGCCCTTGCACCCACGCACGCTTGCGTCTGTTAACGTCTTTGGACGTGCGTAGCCACATGTGGCGCCTACGTACACAGCGTACAGCTCGACAATGTATTCCAGGACGTGAGCGAGGGGAAGATAGGCCAGATAACGCGAGCCAGGTGCGATGTGGGGTCCGAATATGGGGTTGATAGCGCCGAGAGCAGAGATGAGGTTCGCGTGCGTGAGGCAGACGCCCTTCGGAGAGCCTGTCGAGCCAGACGTGTACATGATGCATGCGAGGGTGTCTCGTGTGGGCTTGCGATCGGCGGGTGTGGACGTTGACTGCGGCCGTCCGAGGGCACGGACAGCGTCGATATGCATTACGGTGATGGGGTTATCTGAGCGAAGAGAGCGAATCTGGGAGACGAGAGCGGCGTCTGGGGTGCCGTCATGGATGACGAGGCGAACGGAAGGGGTCTCTGGGAGGACTTTGAGAAGAGTTTTGAGCAGGGGAGGGTTCGTGAAGATGCCCACGCATTTGGGCTCGTTGAGCGAGTGTTTGAGACCTGATTCGCCTAGAGTATCATATGCCGTGGCGATGGTGGTTGAGACCGTCGAACAGGCATGACTTATGATCTGCCAATTCGGACTGGAAACACTGAGAAAGACGATAGAGAACATACAGCGTACTCACCTCGTTTCTGCGAAGAGATCGAACACATCGCCCTTGGCGACACCAAGCTCGACCAAACCTCTCGCCGCTTCACTGATGGCCCCCTCCAGCTCAACGTAGTCGATATACTTGTAGTCGCTGAGCTCGAAGTACTTCCACGTCTTCTCCTCCGTGACTTCCTTCCCGTCAATGACTTTCTTGACCAGTTTCTTCTCCTCGTGGATGTCGATAATGTCCCGCCAGCCCATAGCCTTCTCTTTGCCGTGCGTTTGTGCTGCGTAGGCAATGACATCAGGTATCGTGTCAATTCCACTCGCAGGCCGCTCTATGAGAGCTTCCCTCTCCACCGCGAGGCGACGCGCACCGCCTTCGCCAGGCCGTGCGGGCGGTTCTACCTCGATAGACCCAGGTCCAAAGTGTCCTTTGGGTCGTAGGGTGAGTTGGGAAGTCATGTTGGTCGTCGTTGTCGTGTCCACGTCGTGGTTTGGGTTCAAAGAGCGTGCCTTGTTCGATCCGTTAGGCACCGAAGGTCTAAGAATAGAATATCCCTTGCGTCACAAGAGGACATTATCGGGCCAAGACATTCCTCGGGTGGAACGCAGTAGAGGGTATCACAGATTGGACCTGGGTTATGAGATACAGGTTAGATACACAAGGCATGGAGAAATCTCCGCAGCAATGAAGCCAGGTGGAAATGTTACACAGCGCGAGGAACGAGAGGGGCACTATCAGTTCAATTTGACGACGGGTACTCGGAATGAGCAGCCTGCATCCCAGAAAAAAGAACGCCGCCTAAGTTTGAAGTGTACACGAGAGAAGCTGGGAGATGTCCCGTAGTGGAATGTGGAGTAACCCCAAAGAGAGCCTGCTAGTCCGGGTACGTTGACGAGGGCTCAGTAACAGTAACAGAGTCTGAGATGTTCTTGTCACCGTGGAGAGAAGTTGCAGAACGGCGCAGAAATGATGAAAATAGCGCATATATGCAGCTATGTACGTTGTGAATGCGTCGGGCTGCAAGGTAAAATGCATCCTGCATTCAATAAGGTGCCTAAGGGATAGAAGATCGTCGGCTGAGGGGAGTCGGCGGCAAAACCAGGATGAGCGATTGGGTCCAGTTTTTTAAGGATTCTGGTGAACCCCACTTGATGCCCTCTCCTCTTTAAGCTACCCTCCCAAGATGCGTCCAAGAAAACTGCGGCTGTCGCCAGTGTCCAGTCTGATTCGCCGCTGAACTGGAATGTCGGGCGTCTGTCTTGCCCGAGTAGGTTTGGCCAACCGAGCCCCCGAACCGAGGAAACTGGAGGTTATGTGGGCGTAAGTAGGACCTTTGTGCCATGTGGGGGCGTCGTGGTGTGTGTTCAAGGCGTAATTCCTTACTAAATAAGATGGAGGGCTCTTGCGCAAACAAGGACACACTGCGGCGTGCTGAAGTGCGCCACACAGTATTCTAAAGTAGAAAGCGCCCGAGAAATGCGAATTAATATGTGGGTGGGTTTAAGATAGAACGAGGATTTTGGTGAATTTTTTTACTTCAACAAGAATCCAGACTCTGCTAGATTATACTCATCCGATACGCTACGCTCCCGATTTCGTGACGAAGAATCCCTCTGATTATCTTTCACAACATCTTTTTCGTCTGTTGTAGTTGAGGACGAGACCTCTAGGCCGACTTCTGGGGGGTTATCGTTATCTTAAGTGTAATGGGCAATTAAAGGTCTTCGCACAGAATAAATCTTCAGATATTGCTTACCAGCGTGATTTAACAGAGATCCTAGAATGCTATCCTGCAGCCGATTGTGGAACGTGATATGTCGACAAACGAAGTGCACCTCCCTTCCCCATACGCTCGCAATAGACACGAGGATGGCCCTAGTAAAAGGCTCTGCCTGGGCAGCGAGTACATTTCTGCATACTCCCCGCGTCGTCGCTGCGAGATCGAGGACGCTTCGTGGAACGCGGTCAGCGTGGTGCCTGTGATTGAGCATATATGCTTCGACAATAGCCCAGGATCCTAACAAAAAATAAGCACTCTCATGTTCCACACATGGGGCTGAAACACGATTCCCTGGTCGCCGTGTTGACTCCCAATGGTGCCTGAAGTTCTCGTTGAGGGTGGACACTGCTCTGTCTAAAAGTCCAGAATGACGTAACTCTGCGCTCAGTGAAGACCGAAGGTAATCGGCGAGAATGCCACGGAATTCCTCGAGGAAGATCTGGTGGACGGACCAATCCATTTTCCCGTTGGCAATATTCCTGAAGAATGAATATGGATATTCCATCGGCGCGTCTACTAGCGAATCTGAGCGCAGTCGTCAACACGATCTTTTGTTTATGATCGATACGTCAACATACCTGTCGGCGGGGTTTCCCAAAAGAAAGATTTGACCAGCGTCTTGTACATCCGCGACTGCGGAATGGGAAGCCCTTTCGGCGGCCCATTCGCGTCAGGCGTCCAATGACCGCAATTATTAGAAACATAGTCGAGAACGCGAAGCATGAGCTCCGTTTTCGTACGTTCCGGCACAGGTATGTTGAACCTTTCGATGAAAAGAAGGATAGCTTCATCGTAAAGCAGGTCCCTGGAGTATATTCGAGTTCGGCGTTGAGGTTTGGGAACAACATCTGACACGAGAACCGTTCCGCGGGGCCGCAGAATCTCGACAACGGTCTTGTAGTAATCGTCCCCATAAAATGTAGATGCTAAGTCGAGAGATGGTTGGCCGGGTGGTGCCGTTGATATGCAGTCCACGAAACAATGGTATGCAGACAGGAGGACGGTGTGATGACGGGTGCAAGCGAGTTCAATCCCTCGAATGTGGTCGAACAGGGGCCCGAACTGCAACTCCTTCTCGAGACCGCCGCCTTCTCGATTCCCGTGCCACCCTACGAGCACTTGAGAGGAATAATGTCGACGAAGGGATATCCATTCGAGGTCGAGGTCGGTCCAGGAATGGGCATTCACGGGATTATAGTTCGGATAACTAGGCTGGTAGGACTCGAAGAGGTCGCGCGGCTTCCTTCGGCGGCCGAGAATATAATCCAATCGCAGCCTGATGAGCGCACGAGCTTTGAAAGCGCGTCTTTTGAAGGATTCAGGGACCAGGGTTGGAAAAGAAGGCGGAAAACTGGAAGGGAAACGAAGAGCGCGAGCGTACTTGGCCGAAACGACGAATAGAGAGTAGATAGGAGAAAATGTGTGGTGGATGAGAAAATTTCCCATCCTGGACGAGACAGCCAAACGAAATAGTCGTGCCTGCGGCGATTTGTATGGACATGGAACCGGGACTGTCTTATTGAACTGAGTTGCTGTTGATCGAACCGTGAGGACTTGAAGCGCTGGAATCGCGGTCGTGGCCAGAAGAAATAAGAGCGATAATCCTATCGCGACTATTATCGGTGCTGTAACTTGCGTGACACCGAGAGACCGGAGGAATTCTGCGAGGCCAAGGAAGAACAGGACAAGGGCGAGCTCGAGAAGGACGGGAAGAGACGCAAAGAAGGCCGGGATGTACCATCTATTTAACATCTCCGTCCTCATGTTGAATAGCGCGAATTTCTCCTCTGTCGAAAAGTGAGCTGGGTACAGCTGGTGCTCTCGTAACCACTGCGAAGAGACGATCCCTATGAGCACTGTGGTGAGGCTCACAACAAGACTCAGAATCCAGAAAACGTTGACGAGGGTCAAAGAAGGCGAAAATGGGATGGGCGTTTCGTCGAGCGAGGGTGATAACGTTGAACTATTGACTGGGTTATCGAGACGGGCGGCAATACGCATAAGAAGGACAACGGCCGCATCGGTGGGATCGGGCTTTAGGTTCTTGTAGGACTCGACGATGAACGCCGTAACAACGGCGGAGAAAAGTGAAGCCTATGTAATATCGATCATTGTATAATGACCCACGTCGAAAAGACGAATCCACGTACGAAAATTAGGATATTTTGTACCTCCTCTTCCCAAACTTTGCACTGTGTTTTGTCGTGTGCTTGAAGGGGTTTCAGCAGATCGTTCCAGTAATCGTGACCATCCTTGGATGGCTGGTGCATGTAAGGAGTCCCACATTTGAATGTCGAAGACTAGGAAAGGTTAGTAGAGAGTTCCGGCGGCATAGATTTCAGAGGTTGACCCACCTTTTCCGGAGTTGCTCGCTCATGTTCCCCGTTGACCTAGCGTCGCGTCGGAGGGGTGAGCACTGGTTCCTCGATTTCAACAGCACGCGCACCTCTACACTGATCTCCTTCTCTCTGTTCAGCACCTTCAAGGAGTCTCGAGGGCGCTCGTTGAGCTCTCCACATCCCGTGGACATATTCCTCCAGGTTTCGGCCGTACGCCGAAGAAACTGCGCAACGAGTGTCGAGGGAGAAGAAAGCAAACCAACGTTCGAATGTTGACGTGTGAATGGCATTGGTGGGCGCAGCATGATCAATTGCTCAACAGGGACAAGTGACGTTGTATTTTGGTTCGGCGACGTCCAACCTGTTTTCCGATTTTCCGATGACAGCCACCGTGAGCGATCCGAGATGATAAGCCGGGCAAAAGCTTGGAGATAGGGTAGCCATGAATTGGTCAAATTCCGGTCAGATATTCGCCGCGGTGGTTAGTTCGAAGGGAGATTCTGGAGGTCAAACAAAAGGAGAGGACTGTAAGTAGTAGTAGTAGTAGTAGTAGTAGTAGTAGGTAAGTATTATTCATGTAAGGTGGACAGATCCGACGGAAACGGCATGCCCCCCCATGTGAACCTTCCAGTCAACCTCGTTTTGCACCTCATGACCATTCCTCGCCTTTCCATCGTCCCAGCCCTTCCCCATGTCATAGCCGCCGCCGCCTCAGTGCCGCCGCCGCTTCCTGGCTGACCTTATAGTGCTCCTGCACCGTATCTCTATTTCTCAGAATATGTCATCCTTTTACGTTCAAGATATACGGCTTCCTCGCACCTGAAAAGTCGGAGGTGCACTGACGGACTGAGGTCGTCATCCACTTCCCTGCCGATGCATCCACCCCTCTTTCACCTCTTGCGGTTTGATTCTCCATGTCTTCGACATCCTTGGCCTTTTACGAGTCCATTTCCAGTTCCGCGACCCCTTGAAGACCCAGGATCGCCCTCCACGACACGCACGACGCCCGACGGCTGCCTTTCGTGGACCTTAGGCAGGAGGCTCGGCCCGGCTGGATGCTAAGACACTGCATGCTTGAGTACGACTGAGTATCTTCCACATCTTGCGTTCCTCGTCTTTTCTACGCCTGGCCGCTGGTAATATAATTCTGATTCTTGGGAGCGATTCCCAGAACATGCACCCTGGCCAGTGGCTATCACCTAGAGATACCAAAGCCCTCCCCCGCAACCCGATTCACGAATAAATGAAGGTTGTATAGAGCTGAAATAGACCTGGTAGCAGACTCATGTCCCGGCATTCTGTATCACTACGATTGCGAGCCAGCATTTCCTGAGGAAACCCATGCCCTTGCTCCATGCCCTTGCGTCACAGCGGCAGCACTCAGGGAAGTCTGACTCACGCCCCGTTGACATGCATATAGCAGCCATAAATCTCTCCAAAAATGCCGATTATTTTGATACCGAGAAACAGTTGGCATCTGCCTATAGGTACTCGAAGTGACTCGTTGCCGCTCGGGATATTTTCAGCACGAAATTGTGCTACTGATGGAGAATTTATGGTAGACTGGCCTCTTTCTTTTGAAGTGCCTGAAGTCAACTGAGCTAAATTTGAGCCGGGTATTTGCAACGATTTTTTATTCAGTCTGCCCAGATACATATTATGGATCATCTAAATAATTCAGGGGAAAATGGGCTCTCTTAACATATTATAACTGATTTGAAACCGTGATCCCACCTACAGCCCGTGTATTGCCTCTGAGATAGATGTTCTGAAACATGAATAGCTCGTCGAGGAGCAATGCACGGGTCCGAGATGAGGGTGCAGTGTGGCTTATTGTCGCGCTGGAGTAGTCTCGGGCCCCGGTGTTCAGAAATGGACCATGCCGGGTTACACCTCACCTCACCCCTATACATACGTTCAGCGTTTGGACCATGCCGGTTATCTACTACATATGACCAAGGAATGCAAGACGCAAGGTTACTAGATGGCGAGAAACGTATATTTTTTGAGTTTCCATTCGCCTTATGAGAGCGCTTCCGCCCTTCGATTATGTACATCTCATCGTTCAAAATCAATGCGTAGTTTTGCTAAGTTGGTCAAACGCTCCGGGTATTCTCTTCGTGGATCTCAGGGACTCACGTTATAAAACGAGTCAGAAGAGCTCCGCAGACCTTGGGCTATTCGAAAAATTCTCGACGAGGGTGTAAATTGTATTCAAATTATGATCCTTCTACTATTTTCTGATGGAGCCGTCGAGGTATAGTAGACTGGGCGAATCCGGTGCCAATGGTCTTATCTTATCTCGTTCGCTCGCATGGGTTGACATCGATGATCAATATTCTTTAGCGCCCGTCACACCGCTCTTTCTTTCTACCATCGTCGCTGGACTCTGTTCGCCCTCTCCTCCTCCTCCTCAGCCTCTAATAAGCATTTGTTGTTCATGTCAGCCGTAGAAAAGCCGCTTGCACCTGCTATAAGGACCACAGTGAGTCCGAAACCTTGTCATCCTGCTACCCCAGTGACATCGAGGGTTTTCTGCTTTCAGGACAGAGAAAGGAGCGCTCTGTGCGAGATCTGTAGGAAACTCAACCTCGAATTAAGGTCCAATCGTGCTCCTGCAAAATATTCGTTGGGGACATATGGGAGGATCAAAGCCAGTACGGACTGTCCATTCTGCCGCTTGGTCTCTCGGACAACGACACGATCGGGCTCAGATGCCAGTGATATCATTACGGAGTGGAATGAGAGAGGGTTTACCACCTCCCTGGGTGGTGTGAACATGGTATTCCTGGATGATGGGACAGCAACGACGGCTCGTGGAGGTGCTCGCGTTATCAAGCCGCAGATCTCCCCTGCGTTGATACGGAAGTGGCTGGAGTTATGTGAAACTCACCATACCGATACGTGTTCCCCGTCACCCGTGCTTCAAACCCCACACAATGCTTCTGGTCTCGAAGTTCTTCGCGTCATTGACGTTCAAGATCAGTGTATCACTGAAGCTACGCGTGATACACGATACATTGCGCTCAGCTATGTCTGGGGCACTGTTATCCCTGCAGCACGATTGCAGAGGGACAACGCAGCGGTGCTTTCTGCTCAGGGCGGACTCCTGACCGTACGAGATCGTCTACCGCGCACAATCGTCGACGCAATTAACCTGGTAGCATCGGTGGGGGAGAGATACCTCTGGATCGACAGCCTATGCCTGGTTCAAGATGACGAGGGGGATATGCTGCGTGGCATAGCAAAGATGGATCTGGTGTTCAAAGGAGCGATACTTACCGTCGTGGCCGGTCACGGCACTGACGCGAATGCTGGTCTCCCCGGCTTGGTACCGGGATCTCGGAAGGTAGATCAAAAAATTGAAGAGGTTCTACCTGGCGTGAGGATGACGATTACAAGAGGCGTCTATGATGACCTGTCCGATTCGCGTTACACATCTCGTGGTTGGACGTAAGCACAGTATTTGTACATTTCATGTTTGCTTTACTGACACCCGGTAGAATGCAGGAGCTCCTTTTATCACATCGAACCCTCATTCTGGTGAGCAGTGGCGTGCACTTTCGGTGCCATGCGAATTGTTGGAGCGAAGATACGATATACGACAACTTCCCAACCGAAGTGATTCCCACCCAATCCCTTCATTCAGGCTCACTTATCGACGTTCTACCCGACAAACTCTCTGAACCTCTCCACGATTACGGGAATCTCCTTTTCCGTTATACCTATCGAGACCTTACGAAGGAAACGGATAGAATCCATGCTACCACAGGTATCCTTCGACATATCTTTCGCCAGATTGATGGCTCCTCGGCGGTGGAAGGTATCCCATCTGCAGCGTTTGATATTGGACTGCTATCTTGGGATCCATTTCCGAAATATCCAACCTCAAAGACGGGACGGCGGCTCGGTTTTCCGAGCTGGTCATGGGCGGGATGGTGTATGGCTAGGGTACCTTTAGGGTACCACAGAGACGAGCTAACCTACGCTGCAAACTTCCGCGACTGGTTACGCCAGCACACATATATCACATGGTACACCATAAATCCAAACTCAAATACGACAAAGCCAATCTGGGACAACGAATTGCAGCACCGATTCGGAGAGAATGTGTATGGCCGCAAACACGACCCCAGTCTCACCAGATTGCCCACTGTCCCCCGCACCATCATTCCGGAAGAATACATGGAATGTGGATACCACCTTCTTGATTTTTGGGCATATACCGTCAAATGTCCAGCCTTAAAGCGCCATGAAAACTCCGACTTTCAAATTCTCGGAAATGGTGGGCTAAATTGTGGTGCAATACGCCTCGACGACCCCGCGGGCTTTCCACACATGGAGCCACCATTCGAAATGATTCTCCTCTCGACAGCAAATCGGTTCAATAATCTATTCAATGACAATGTCGTCGTCGAGAAGCCTATTTATTTCGTCATGCTCATTCAATGGTTAGATCCTGATATGATCGTTGCAGAGAGGAGAGGTATGGGATTTCTGATCCAGGACTATCTAGACCAGATATCGGAGCCCGGAAAGGTGTGGAAGGAAATTGTGCTGGCTTAAGGTTAGTATGACCCATTTATTTCGGGAGGCGCCTAATTCTCTTCTCAACTCTTCTTGCGTGTTTCAATAGACTTTGTAATCTGAATACTTCAATTCATGAAGAGAATGCATGGGGTTTTGTTCAATGCCGAATAGCACATATCGATACTAGTGAAGGCTGTTGTCGTTGCCGTCGGCCGACTGCAGGAGCGCTCTCAGAAAGCGGATGGAGATTATAAAGATATATTTTGCCCAATACATCCCAGGAATCCTTTCAATGCTGACCTGAGCATAGTTCCTCCGAATCAGCCGCTAACACAAAGCCAACGGATCGCTCGATGGCTTGCGCGAACCATGGCACCGTTACGGATAGGGGCATGCCATTTTCGTCAACGGTGGATCGAGTTCCGACATAGCTAGCACGACGTTGGAATGGCCCCCGCTGTCTATTATCGTGCTGCTGCTCTGCATGTACATGGTCACATTTATGGCTGCTATCAAATTCTATGAATAAAATACACTTTGCTTCCTTCTAGCATGAAGCCATCTGCGTAATCTGGTGAGTCGCTCGCAGCCCACACGTGCTCTAATTTTACATTAGCATGCGAGCATATTCAAAAGCAAACATCTCACACCTCCACCCTCTCCGTACCCGGCTCGCCATCCACGTCTCTAGACCCTTTATGATAAATTATGATTTGAAGTAGACGAGGGACCAGCGTTCGAGGCCGGCTTGAGATCCCGAAGGTGGGCTTCGAAGACCTAAGTATAGAGAAATGCGGCGGTCAAGAAAACAGCCTACAGAACACGGTGGAGGTTCGAGCGAAGAATTCCGCCCCTGAAGATGGCCAGCGCGTCCCCGACGCTGCAAATGGCGTGGCCCGGGATAGGCTGGAGCGAAGTGTTGATTCAAGACAGGCACTCGTGCCAGATGAATTACAACGAACCTTCGAGCTTCACGTACTGCCAACTATCGGATCCTGGGACAAGGACTTGAAGACCGCCCAAACGATTGTGAAGAAAGGACTATCAAAAAATATAAGGAGAAAACTACGGGAAGAACGACACCACTTACGAGTGACCCGAAATCTGTATGACTCCCAATCGCCTGATTGGTGTTCGTCGTCGACGGGTTTCTGATAACCCTCGTCTCGCTCCCACTGAGTTCCTCCATCTTGCGCCGCTCCATCAACGTACCAAGCCACAAGTTGAGCTTCTCGTTGAATATCTCAAGCAGAAGATTGTTGATCTCCAGGGAGTTGCATACGAAAGGTCCGATGATTGACTCCATATGGGTGTTCGCCGTACGCGGGTAGGCTCGACGGGCTTCCTTCGGCCACGCGAGGGCATCATCCTTCGCGACATTGAGGAACTCGACAGTGTTACAGTCGGGCTCCACAGAAGGGTCGACCGCGCTCACTCCTGCCGCTTTATACCTGTCACGGATGACCCAGTCGTCCGATCGCATGCAGGAAGCAAGGACTCCATATAAGTGCAGTAATAGGAATAAATAGGTCGTGGTCGGGTGTTGTCCGGCGAGGAGGAGGATGCCGTCGTCGTAGGTCGTGCCACCCATTAGAAGATGGTGGTAGTCGGAGGAGAAGAAGGATCCGAAGGCGACGGACGGTTTCCACAGTGCCGACCGACACTAAAGATAAACAGGTATCCCATAACCACTTGTTGAAGCTAACCAAACTGTGCCACAGTTCTTGCTGCTCGTTATCATTCCGGTCCTTGAGGTAACGGATGCTTCCCGGGATGGAGGTTGGAATAGAGTGTCTTGAAGGATTGACGTTCGGGATTTGAGGCCTAGGGATTGAGGAATTCTATCGCAAGTTGAACGCCGTGAACTGATGGTACGTGAATCGTATTCGATAACCCTTCCTCAAGTCAGATTGGGCGAAAGAAAGTGGCGAAGTTATTGGTTCAGATGTCGAAGAGCGTAATGGGCCGGGTATCCCAAGCGTCCAACCGCAGTCGTGGTCGAAGTGCACTTAGTCGTAGGCAAAGGCCTTTGTGAAAATCACAGAAACAAGGTGGTATATAGGAACACTATCTGTACGACTCCCATTCGAATCAACTATTCGAATATGTTCGATGAATATTATGGCTCACCTTGTCAGATATGAACGTGGAAGGAGACCCGAAATACCCAGAAACAAGATCAAGGCTTCGACCGCTCCATGACCGCACTGTTGACTTTAACTGTGTCTATGTCCAAGATCCTGGCAATCGTTTGAGAGAGAGCGTCCAGCTGCTCCTGAACGACCTAATACCCATTCCGAAGTTAATCAACGGGGACGAACCACAACGAGAGAAGGATACAGTACCATGTGCCCCGCCTTCTTAATCTTTGCGCCCGACGCTGCGATCCTCTCCTCCGAGGCATCACTTATTGGGTCTTGAATGAACTCGGGGCTATGGGAAATGACGCACCGAAAAGAAGTCGGTGACACGAGGTCGTTTCTCGTTCCCCAGACGATATGGACCCGGACGGCGTGGCATATCCGTCCGAGCTGCACCGCACTCTCGAAATGTGCCTCGGTGTCTGGATAGGAGACAGCTTCTTGCTTGCGATCGCACTTCAGAATTACATCACCGTTCGGAACGGATTCGCGGCCGTGTTCCTACAGAATTTCGCCTCGCGTCAGGAAACATCGAAACGAAAAACGAGAATATGTAAGTAGGCAGACAAAGAAACGTACCACCCGAGCTCTCACCACCCTCTCATCCCACATCCCCCACGGAAATCGCTTCGTGGAGTACTCGAACGCTGCCTCCCGCGACTTCCATGTGTTCCGCCGGGCAGCGATGGCGGCGACAGCAAAGTTCATCGACGCTATGCGGTCTTCGAGATGCCCGCTGAAGAGCTCGTGGGTGATCGTCGTGGGTTCGATGAGGAACATGGCTGGGTAGGCGAGTTCGCAAGGTGGGATTTCTTTCGTGGTGAGCATGCTGGTGGGGCAGGGAAGTTGAGTGGACGAGACGAGCTACGGGGAGGATGAACGCACATGGCTGCGCTGCCCGCCGACTGTCCTATCGGTACGATGCAATGGCCTTGCATACGTGGCGACCTCACGAAGTCCGCTACCACTGGAGTCCATTCGTATATGCCTAGAAGTATTTCGTGAGCGATTTGACTTGGAAGTGTGAAGTGAGACTCACAGACACCATCTGGACGATTGTTCAGTGCCTCTCGATTCAGCACCGCCGACTCTCCACGGTTCTGCCAGTCAATGGCCCAAGCTTCCCGAACCCGGCGTGTCCTGTCCTTCGTATTCCGGAGATCGAAGAGCTGCTCGATGACGGGCTTCCACTGCTCCTTGTCTCGGGAAAGATGAGCGCTTTCTCGACCTGATCAACACTCATGAGATCCTATACAGTGAGCAAACACCGGCGTGAGTCCTTGATAGTTGGTCGATGGCCGCCCGAGCGTGTATCTCTTCGCAGCAACCTTCAGTCCTCGGCCTTTCTACGCCCTCGCCGGAGTGTCGAATACGTAGCTCTCGGCGTTCATCCTGCGCTGAAAGCTGGAGGTGGTGGTGATTCAGTGGGCCTTTTCGTCATTTGCGATAGTCTGCAGAGCGTGTTTTCCTTGCATTGGAGTGGAAAACACGAGACTCGGGCGGGAGCGCTTCTTAAAGGGGGGTATGTACACGCTGAAACGCTGAAGCGCTGAAGGGTGCCGGTGAGCGCTTGAGCTCGAAGAGGAAGACGTCACGGTACGTGTGCATCTTATCTTATCTCGGTACATCATTAGTGGCACTGTGGCCTGCGCCGGCCTGAGAAAGATTAGACGGCTCGCCCTTCGACGCAGACCAGAACCACCATCCGTGGCATTGAATATTTCTCTCTTCGACTGACAATACTCCCCTTCAGATGACACAAGGACCACTACCCACCCCACTTGTCGGCCACGACGGAGACTGTTCCAGAGGAACGCAAGTGAAATTCGACTCACTCAAGAAGCATATCAACACCCCGGGATTTTCTTTCGAAACTACGCAACTATCGTTCGCATCTAGGTTCGGGGGGGATGTACCTCGAAACCCGGAAATCAATGCCTTCCTACGCGACGAAGAGTTATATGACTTCGCCGAGGAGGAGTGGGCCACAATCACTCAAGACATCGGCCACAGCTGCCTCGTCGTTCAAATCCAACGGCTTATGACCCGGCTCGTAAATTACTTCAAGTACACGAGTAGAAAAGTGCGGACACTCCGTCAGCAGCCAGTGGCAGTTAACGTGTCCCACAAAGATAAGAGCGACGAGCAGTGGAACCTGCAGGCCGTGCCCGACATTGTGGTCACAGGAGCAGGATGGGCTTATCGACCGCGGCACAAGGGCGAAGAAATCGACTTGAAGTCTTGGGAAGGAAATATCCTGCAGACTTCAAGCGCTATAATTGTGCGCTTTGATGAGGAGTTGGAGACCACGGAAGATAGGATTAAGTTGGAGGCTGCATTCTACGCTCTGTAAGTGGTTTTTTCGACTCCGCCATCTTAGACTGTGCACCTACCAGTTTAATCCAACAGGGAGCTTTTTCGCACCCAGGGAAATCGTCTCTTCTGCTTCGTCCTCCTCGTCACCGAGGAGAGATGCAAGCTCTTCTATTACGACCACGGAGGCTGTCTGGAGACACCTCTATTTTCCATCCACGCCGACCCAGTCCTTTTCGTGTGGTACCTCCTCCTTGTATCATCCCCGAACAACGAGGTTCTTGGTTTCGACAAGACAATACGGTGGAACTCTAAACTGAATATTCGTACACTCGTGACGGACAATGAAAACAAGGAAGATGTTCAATACCGCCTCCTGGACCTTGACCCGGTCTTTCGACCACGAAAGATCAGAGGACGAGCTACCACCTGCTGGGAGGTGGAGGGAAAGGATGGCGAGCGTAAATTCGTTAAGGAGGCCTGGAGGAAGGATAGCTCGACCGTAGCGCCCGAATGGACCATGCTTCAACGGACAAAAGGAATTGAAGGCGTCGGAGAGATGACTGCATACGAGCAAGATTGGAGCTTGGACATGCTCAGATACCCTTTCAGCCATCCCCAGTTCGACAATCGAATTCGCGTTCGTACAACTATGAAGGCCTATGGGAAGACCCTGGATTTCTTCGACAGTCGAGAGGAACTGTTGTACGCGTTTCGCGATGCTGTCGCTGGTAAGTCCACTCGTCCGTTCCATTTCGTTGAATATGATTAATTCCGAGCCATAGGGCATCGAAACTTATGGGACGCAGGCATCCTGCATCGGGACGTCTCCATCAATAACATCCTACTCGGCAATCCCAACGCGCCGCCGGGCCAACGAGGCATTATAATTGATCTCGATATGGCCGTACAACTAGGGGCCAAAGTCGCGCTCCCAAAAGCATCGAAGCGGGTGGTGAGATTTGACAACTTCACAGTCAATCAACTTAGGTGCTGAGATTTCGTTTGTCCTAGGGAACTCCTCCATTCATGTCTACGAACATATTGGCATTTTCGATCAAGAAGAATAAGCCGAACCCACCGAGACGTGATTGCCATAGCCATTTAGACGACCTGTGGTCCTTTTTCTATGTTCTTTGCTGGGTGTGCTTCTCTGCCCCGGGTCCCGAAAGGACGAAGTACGAGAAAATTCTGGACATGTGGGGTGAAGATGGCAAGAGGTCTCTACAAGCAAAGCGCGCGTTCCTCCTCGGCATAGAGCTCGGAAACCACAAAGTCCCACCTTCCTTTGGTCCTATATTCGACACCCTGGTCTCTGGCTTGTACGAGTACTTGGCTGACATCGACGAAACTTTCCGCAAGACTCTTCTTGCTCTCGCGGACGGGGCGCAAGGCGTATTCAGAGGAGATGTGGATAAGTATGCGCAGAAACATTACGAGGGTTACTTGAAGATCGTTGATGGGGCTATTGAGGCCGCCGGGAAGGAGAGACAAGGACAGGCGGTAGTGGCACCGCTAGGAGACCTTACTTTGAATACTCCGCAGGGGAAGAAGAAGACGGGGGCACAAGAGAAAGGCGAAGCAAAGAACGCTGAGAAACAGAAAGGGAGGACAAAGGCGTGAGCTAGTTATTAGTCGCAAAACAAATCAGATAGGAAGAGGAGAACACGTATCGACTTGATTTTAGATGCTGTGGCGCATTTCGCGGAGATAAATGACCCAATTTCCAAAGTAATGGTCGGAAATAATTGATGGATGTTGACGTTGACGTTGGAAGACTCAGAATCGAAGTCTGATGGGGATCTGACAGATTCTGATTGCACCTACAAGGACCCACAATTCGCTGAACGATCTGCATACACATGCATGTGAAGTACATTTAGACGCCCACTCTGAACAATGCTTGGACGGGCGCCAGAAGGACCATATTCTCCAGAATTCTATACACATTCCTTACCACTCGACCTGCTGCGTAGTCTGAGCACCTGCCCAGATCCCGCACTCCGATCCTGTATTGCAAGATTCGAGAAACTAGTCCCGTTCTACCAAAGAAGACGGGCTTCCGACCTGAGCACAGACCTTTCTAATCGAGAGCGACGACTGAGACTTTAATCAAGTGTTGGGAGCGTAATATCGCTCAGGGTAGATATCTTATGCAACGCCGCGACTGATGCCTCATCCTAAGTCCATATTCCGGGCACACGCAGGGGAGGCAATCATGGTCTAAGATCCAACCGACCATACTTTCGAGTCTTCCAGCTCAAATTTTGTAACTGAAAAAGTGAACCTCAAGCCACATTCTGCCAGGAAGCGGGAAGGTACTGGCTCAACCAAAGGTGCCAGCCTTCCAGCCCAAATGTCGACGGGTCGCCGAAGCGGAACACAACGGAGATAACATTTCACCAATTACTTAGGATTATCGAGCCGAAAACGTGGAAACCGGATCCGGCGGTACGGCGCAAAATGGAAAAATGGAATACCAGCGAAAATATATGATGTCAGCTTTACTTTTTACGTCCAGAAATGCAAACGGCTCTTTCCTCTGTACTGCCGAGTCATTATGCACGAAAAGGCGCGTGAAGTCGCCGAAGATGAAGAACCTCGCGGAAGACGACCACGATTTCCAGCTAGCGAATCGAAGAAAAGTGTCAAGATTGCCTCGAACGATTCTTCTTCTTCCCTGTCTTCGACTACGCCGCCAAAGGTTGTCGTTTGGCTGGAACCCGCCGTAACAGCATTCACGAGTTATTTCGGATGGGTTGGGACGAATTGGACATGGTCAAAGCTAAAGCCAGTCGTACGATGTGCGGTTGTGGGTTGGATTTCGACGGTGCTGTTCGTGACGCCGAAGATAGAGATTTTTATGGGCCAGGTGCGTCGTAATGGTTGCCTTTACGGCTGGTTATGGACTGAGTATCTCCATAGGCGAGCTTTCTTATTCTGATAGGTGCGAGGTTGAACATTTAGTGTGTTCAGACAGCTCATGACGAACAGCCGCTTTCTTGTCGCCTCCTAGCGACCCTTTTATCTCCGTCCTTGAACGCGAAAGTTTGATTCTATTCTTTGTTTCACTAGCATGGGCGTGGGTGCAACGGTTTCCTATGAATCATTCAGTATTGACTCTCTTTCAGATGGGTCAGCCTCGGCGTGTTTCTCGCCCATCTCGCCCGGCGCGTACATGTACCGACAGTAACGTTTTTCGAAGTCATCACTGGAGATTACATTGAGGCTGCAGTACGTTATCGACGTTGGTATCAGCTTCGTTGTTAAATTTGGAACGTAGCCCACCATCATCCTCGCTGTTTTCATCTTCTTCGGAAGTTCTTTCTTTCTCTACATCAAGGCTCGCCAAGGCCCAGGACCGTACATCTTCGCGTGTATCTTCGCCTGCATTTGCATCGGTGAGTCACTTTCTGATATACCTTTCCTTGTCTAACGATCCGTAGATATAAGCCTGACGACCGCTGTCCTATTTCCCTTCCCATACTACCTCATCGGACGAGCCATCGTGCTGCCGTTGGTCTTCCATTCCGCACTCGCCCTCATCGGGTCCATCCTCATCTTTCCAAGCACAATCTCCGCCCTCTTCACGACCCGCCTTACCGATGTCCTTACACCTCTCCTTTCAGCACTTGAACACCACAAAACCCTGCTGTCGATCTCTCTGAACTCCGAATCGGCGCCGTCCACACTCCAGGCCATGCGATCCGACACGAAGAAGGTCGAAGGTGCCTTGGTCCCACTCGCCGCCGCTGCTCGGTTGCTAAAGAGCGATCTCATCTACGGGCGGTTCGCTCCCGATGATTTTCGGCCGTTGCAGGGGATGTGCAGGAGGCTGGCAGGTCGTGCCGATGGGTTGAGCGTGTACTTCGGGCTGGTTGACCCAGGGAGAGAGCGATTCCCTGGTACTGCTCCACCGAGCCATGCGAATACGCCGGCACCGACCGTGCCTGGGACGCCGCATGCGATGTCTCGCATTGCGTCTCGAGCAGCGTCGCCTGAGCGAGCCGAAGTGCCTCGGAGACGGAGAGAGAAGAGTCAAGGGAGAGAAAGAGCAAGGAGTCGAGACATATCTCGACGCGGAGAAGACGACGAGGGAGAAGAATCTCAATCGCCCGCAACGCCTCCTACGCCTAGAACAAGTACACCTCTGGCGATTGCGAATTCGCGGCATAGCGCCTCGATGCCCACCATGCCGTCTTTGAAGGCAACGACGAGCTCTCGACCAGGTACACAACCACCTTCAATCCGTCCTTCCAATTCATATGGCCTTCCAAGTCCTCTCGCGACTTTAAGTCCGCAGCAGCATTCACAGCAACATTTCCACATCCCCTCTCCTAAGTCGCAACACCACCACCATCACCACCATCATCACAATATCCTTCACAGTTCGTTAGTCGCCTTGGCCAAAGCACGGGCCCGAAAGAATGAATTCGCTGTCGGTACTTTCGAGTCGCAGCGATATCTTAACCTCGAAGCAACGACCCTACATGATCCTCGCGAAGAAGAATATACAACGAGATGTGTGGAGCTGCTGAATGAGTGGTAGGTTTTCCTGTAGCTTCTCTCGCGTCGTTTTGACCGTAGACATTTGCCCTCGTAGTTGTACCCCTCTCCTATCGGCTTCGCAGCTTGCTCTCACGACAGTTTCCGACTGGTTAAGAAATGTTCGCGCCGGACGTGTTAGCCATGTCGTTGACAGCACTATCATCAAGCTCCTTGGCCCCAAGGTCGGAAAGAATGCCATAGACCGACAGGAAAAGAGGCGGAAGGCGCATGAGGAGAAGATAGCGCAGCTGAAGAAAGTCAGAAACGAGTTACAGAAAGCGTTGGGCTTGTTTCGCGAGGAGACAAGGTATGCCCGTTTCTTTGCTCTGACTCGTTCATCTCCTAAGTATGTCCTTTCAATAGACATCTCGTCCTTGAACCCTACAAATCGGCGTTCGAGGACAGCGGACCAGATGGTTTCGTGGATGAACCTTTCGTCTCTCGCCCCCACACACCGTCTACTTCTACTCCAACACCAACGCATGAGGCTACGTACAACCCTATTATCCAGGAACCCAGAGAAGAGGCGAAGCATTCGGACAGTTCTAACGGTAGACGAGAAAGCGGCTACGACTACGATCATGGATACCGCGAGGAGCGAACTATTCCTCCACATCGACATCTTTTCCATTGCTACGTGTACCAGTATAATCTCATTCAAATCAGCTCGATAGCCATCGAAATGGTAAGTCATGTTCTGTTCTTCGTTGATATCTCGATTTGAAATGCTTTTCTTCGATCTGGTCTCTGTTTTTCTTAACGAATTCCATCCCAGCTCGATGAAATCTTAAAACTCGAGGAACAAAGGGCCTGGCCGCATTGTCAGTTATGGACTCCTTTAGAACGCGCTCGATGGAACCCATGGCTTGTTTCTGAAGGAGTCGAACAGGCAGAGGACGACGACCCCGGTGCGTGGCTGGCGTTGAACGCTTCGCCCTATTCCTGCTAACACAACCGATTTTAGACGTCATCCAGGGACTTCAGCACGTGGACGAAACCTCCTCCTACACCTCCAAGACAGAAGCATTCGCCTTCGGCGACGCGCATGATTTAGGCCTGCCAAAGAAACGGGATCCAGACGCTCTTCCGCCACGCAACACGTTCGAGTGGCTACTGACCCTTGTCTACAAATTTATCGTTGCGTTAGGCAGCGGAAACACCATATTCGCGATCAAGGCGGGGCTGTTCACTGTCATCCTCTGCCTTCCGACCTTGCTCAAGTCATCAGCTGGCTTCGCGTATAGTACGTGCGGCTGTTTTAGCTAGAAACGCTACTGACACTTACTCGTAGAAAACCGCTTCGTATGGGCCATGTACGTCCCGAGTTCCTCTGGTTTTTAGTTCTAGTCTAATCCTTAGAACAGCTTCATGGGTCAGCTGACACTAGCTCGATTTCGAGGAGATACCGCCTTTGGCCTCACAGCTAGGATTATGAGCACTTTCGGCGGTGGCCTAACCGGAATGGTGATGTGGTACGCCAACTCCACACCTCCTTTCATTTATGCTGCGGCCATACATACGAGCTTTAGGTACATCTCTTGTGGATCCGGAGCTGGAAATGCATACGGGTTGGCCGCTGTATGTGCTGTTTGCTTTCCTTTCTTCTTCTTCGCCCGCCTCTACTGGCCCGTCCCTCCGATGACGAACATAGTCTTCTTCGTCACCACGCTCTTGGTGCGTTGCGTCGATTTGTCCTGCTTTGGCACTCTGAATAAATATTCGCTCTGGCGAACCGGATGATGTAGGTAGTCGGGTATTCGTACCAAGACGTCCACATCGTCTTGCCAGGATCGCCGGGATACGGCTGGTCTGTTGCTTGGGTGCGAGTTTACCTCAGATTTAACTGTCTCTTCTAACCTGCTTGTTGAGCAGCGTCGCTTCGTTCTGGTCACTATCGGCGTCGTTGCAGCATTGTAAGCTTATTTTTGTAAATCCCTTTCGCACTTGAAGACTAGACCCCGTTCATTTGTTCAGTATCACTTCTTTCCTGCCTCCTTCGACCACGATCCGTCGCTACCACCGAAACCTACTGGCCACAACATCGTCAGAAATTGGGGTTATTTACTGTGACATCCTATCTTTCGCAAACACGAAACACGAACACGAAATCCAGGAGATCATATCGAGCCTCATTGCGATTCGAAGCAAAATCACCCGCTCAGCCGATCTCCGTACAAATGTTATATATGAGGTGGGTTAATGCCTTCCCTGTGGTGATATCGCAATTCACTTTTGCCCAGTTTTCGTTCCGTGGGCGGTGGCCGGCTGCGCGATATCAAAAAATCGCCGACTTGCAGCTGTAAGTTATAAAGTATTGCACAACATGCACCGACGATGTTGACCATGTACAGGGCGATCTCCTACTCCCTTTCTCACCTGATGTCGATAATAGAACATCTAGAGCCTTCTTGGGCTCGTGCCTTCCTTCGTCGAACACGATTTATGGATCCCGACTTTCAAGGCGATATTCTTGCTGTGATCGGTACGTACGCCGGTTGATCGAATTAGGCGCCCGACTGACGTAATGATCGCCGTCAGCTATGATTTCCTCATCCTTGCGCAATGGGAGCCCATTGCCGCAAATTACTCCGTGTCCCTTGCTCGACCGCTTCATGCTTCAATACCATGGTCTAAACGTCATCCATAAGGAAGCTGAGGAGGATTACGGACTTCCAAGGTCGCTCACGATGGAGACCTTGCAGAACGAGCAATACATGTAGGCCTCTACTTTTCCTTGTGCAACTTTCACCTTATCTCAAAAACTTGAACATAGGATGTTTTGTGTCGGCATTTCCACCGCCTTTGGGATCATCAATCGCCTCGATCGATTAATGATCGCTGTGAAGGAGGTGGTGGGAGAACAGTATCACATCCATGGCATCGGGATGGCCGCTGCGCTTCCTTCTCAACGGCCGCCCAGTGTGTCGGCTGGGAGGGCTGGCTTCGGGATGGAGCACGAGAATCGCAGGGTTGGGGTGGAACTGGGCGAGAGAACCAGCACGGTGCACTTCCACCCGCCATCAGGGGTATAGATATAATTGGACTACGTTTGCTAATAGCTTGTGGACTTCGTTATAGACTGGCTTACTTATATAGAGTTAACGCTTCTCGTCGGCCGGAATGTCTCGTAAGCAGGAGTTCGAAGACCATGCGCTCCATTTCTCCGCCCGATTCCATGGGGATTGGACGCCTCGCAGTTTGAAACTCATCCAGTCGTATCCACCTAACCACATGGAAGGTACAACACAGCCTATACAAACTCATCTTGCAGCGGTTCATCAATTATGGGAAGGCGTGGATAATCTTTGACCACCAAGTCGCAGTTAACTTCCACCCAAAATAGAGGGGTTGTCTCACAGCACACGAACCACTCGCGGTTAAATAAAGAGATAAATGCGCCATCGCAAAGTACGAAGGCGACTAATGTGAACAATTTGGAGCCGTTCGCTGCGTTGGCAAGGCTACCTGTTCACCGGACCTCGTCTCAGTTCGATCAAATTCTCCATTTGAGCACCGAGGGCCCACATAAATACGTAGTGTCTGTAGGCTGTATGACGCCCACGAACTATCCAGTGATTTAATCGAATTCTGAGCTAAAAAGACAAAAACTCTTTCGTCCTGTGTTGAATTGAACCCCTCCAGACCCCGTCTTACGAGACATGAACTATTTTGTCCTGATGTCATGAAACAAGCGCCCTGCCGCCCAACAACTTGCCGGCTTTGGGAAATCGCGATCGTACACGTAAGTGTCCGCCTCGAGGACCCGCTCGAAACTAGACTAGCTATATACGTCAAGTCCGGAATGGACCCATACCCCAGTTAAGGTAACTGATTGCCAGCTTCGCTCTCAGACTACTCTTTGTAGCTCTCGTGAACCTGCCGCTTGGCGTTCGCCGTCGAGGAAGCCTGTACGCTGGTGCATTTCATGGCTCCTGTCTGTTCATTATTCATCGCGGCGCGAAATTTGTTCTCGCACGCGTATGTAGTGAGTAACGAAAACGAGAGAATATCTGTACTTCCTCGTCTAAGGCTATAGCTCACGAGTCCGTCTCTCAGAGAAGCTTGGTTGACCTGTGTCCGTGGCTTTGGTCAAAGGAGAAAGTAGTACCCTCTCGTGATGTTAGCCATCATAGACTTGCGAACCATGTGAAAATAAACATCACGCCGTGACTGGAATTATGACACCGCCAGTTCTGGTCTTCTGCAATGGAAAAAGCTTAAATATTGGCGACTGTGCCGTTCGTAGGCCTCGCTCCTGTTGAATTAATTATGCGTGCAGAGCGCTTGAAACACACGTCGTTCGCGGCAGACGAAAATAGATGAATGGAGTGTATGCAGAATTTACTTGCCAAGTAACTTCCCTTCCTCAGACATAAGTATATTATAAGTTGTTGTCTTTTTGTCCCGAATACTAAGCATGACCAAGGAGTAAAAGCGGGAAAAATCCTTCCTAAAACCTCGAATTGGGGTATATTTCCAATTGAAGGGGACGGTGAGAGTTTTATGGAGAAGTTGCTATGTCAGCGGCGACTTTTGCTTGTACCACGCGTTCCTGTCCAAATCAGACTTTTCGGCGATCTCTCACATCAGCTCACATCTTTTGAAACCAAGGACGGCCTTTCGGTTATATAAAAGTCATGAAGCCGGCGAATCGACTGCCCTTCGCCCACCCAGTGCCCACCTACGTACGACGCTCGCTCATTCAGACGGCCAAATGTCTGACCTCGTTCATGTAAACCTCAACGACAGCATCGGCGCCTTGCAAATAGGCCTCCTATTTTCGATCTTTGTCTTCGGGATCGTCACCCTGCAAGCTCACATCTACTATGGGACGTTTAGAGACGATCGCTGGACGTACAAGACCCTTGTGAGTAGCGCGTTTATTTTGCTGTCTTCCTAGCTAACGTCTCTCGAAAGGTGGGCGCTATATGGCTACTCGAGGTCGGCCATACAATCGCAGGTTCCTACGAAGTATATCGAGCGACAATAACACTGTATGGCATGCCCGAGCTCCTTACCACCTTCCCTGCTATCAGCTCAGGGATCGCCGTCGCGGGAGCCATTACTTTCCTGGTCCAAGTGAGTCCGATCGCATTCACTATCTGGACGCCTATTCACCCCAACCCAGGGATTCTTTAGCATCCGACTATTCAAAGTGTTGCCTCGGCCGTATTCATTCATCGGTATCGCGTTCATCGGCCTTTCCGGGTTACGTTTCATAGGCAGCATCTACCTTTCCTACCGCGCGGTGACGACGAAGAGTGTCGAGCAGTATCGCCGGGAGATGACATGGCTCGTAACGACACTGCTCACCACGGGTGCCACGATCGACGTGACCATCGCGGTGTCGATGCTGTATTATCTTTCAAAGAAGCGGAGCCAGGCGTTCGAACGGTGCGTTGGTATTCTATCCAGGAGGATGTGGCTAAACTTCTCGTAGAATCGCCTCAGTCATTGACCGCCTCATCGCCTACACCATTCGTGAGTATTTATCTCGTTCGTAAGGTTTTTGGCGTTAACATAACTCCAGGTACTGGTCTGCTCACAAGGTACACCTTCGTTCGATCATAAGAGCTTGGACTTACTCTTCCTAGTGTCGGCGCCGTGCTTATTCTCATCTGCGTAAGTCTAGATCCTTCCTGGGGTTCATTGTTTTACCTGAACTCTTTGCTAGTATCAAGCTATGCCGAACAATCGTATGGTCACCCACTCTTTGCATCGCTCTCTCTGACCTTTTTCAGTCGTGTGGCTCGCACTCTACACCTGCCTGGCGAAACGTACGTTCATTTGTTTTCTCCGAAGTTTCTCCTCTGATGTTCTACCAGTCTATTCAAATAGCTTGCTGTCTTCGTACGCGGCTCATATTTATTTTCATTACAACGCTCTCAACTCCATTGTAGGCTCAACTCCCGACAAGAAATGAGGGAGGATTCAACGACCTCCATGCCCTCCTTCGAAAGATTCTCAAGGAGAACAACGACACGTAGGGAGCACAACACGCGAATAGACGTATGCCCCATTTGCTTTACGCTGGGTTGTTACTAACGAGAAAACATCAGCTCGCGCCGCAACCAATTGCCATTGAGATGAAGACAACGATGGAGACCGCCCAAGACGATTCTATGGTACGACGTGCCTCTTATTCTTGAGCTATTTTTCTGACAGATCTTGCAGGGCAAAGTTCGAATCGCTGTCCACACCGACCCGAGTCCAGCCTACCAAAATGATACCAAAGTGTAGAACCACCTATATCTCACACCCCTCTTGCAAGATTCTCGGTTGTATTTACCCCGCTCGTCGATAGAATAATTTAAGCGCTCGAGCGCTTCCAGAATTTAGTTTAATTATTATTAATGCATTTCATGTCGATCTTGAGCTTCTTCGGGGTGCTAAAATAAGGACTGCCGCTGCCTTATTAGGTCTTCCCGACCATCAATTTGCATCGACAAACAAAAAAAACTCTAAACTGCCAAGGCCACTTTGGAAAAATTCTGCGTTGAAGTTCAGCCAGGCGTTCTTCAGCGTTCTTCCTGCCTCCGCGTACCGGCTACCATGTATAGTGCCGCCTCCGTCTCAAATTTCAATTCACACCTAGGGGTAAGCTGAGATGCCTCCGTTGACCCCACGGGCCCCGTTTCCCCATAGCGGATGAAAAAAGAGAGGAGAGAAGAGGATGCCCAACTCTGCATCAAGAGGTACGCCCGGACGCCGCAGTCGCATAAGTTTACGTTGGCGAGCACATGCACCAAGTGTACTCGAGGAGATCTTGGACAATCTTTCCAGGCACGGGCGCTTTCCCTCCGCACACCCTCCGCCGGCGGGTTCCTTCCTCCGACATCATCACCTGGGTTGATCCGTACTTTTGCGATGGCGCATCAAAAGATTTCATGCCAATATGTGTTCACCGAATCCCCACTCCCCGACGTGAGTTCTCCCATTCCCAGGGATGCCACTCCTACCACAGAGCTCCTGTCGGCGAGACTCCTCTTTCGAGATAACGGTTCAAGATTGCCGTCTTAAAATTTCTACGCCAGGATGTGGTCGGGGTTTGAGCGTGAGCAAATGCACGATCAGGTATTTGGCTCTTCCGGGGAACTGGCGCCTCGAAACGACATTCGCCTATAAGTACAGGGGACCAGGCTCCGCGAAGTACCTCCTGATACTGTCGCCAATTCGCGATCTCCGAAAGGGAAGATTACTTACGGGTCATTGGTTGCCTGTGGCGCTCACGAGCGCTGGCATCAGCAAATGAGAGCGCCGAAACTACTTCTCCGTACATTGGTCTTCCTCCATTGGCTTCAATGTAGTACAAATACAATACCGTCACACTACAGCAAAAATTTGCTGTTCCACCCATCGTCGTTCTATTTTACTGTTTGCCATCTCCTGTGGGCTTCGATAGATCGAAGTCTCTGAGCGATTTCATGGAAAACTGGGGGACATCACTTTGTTCCTCCCCGTGAGTCTGTATGCCCGTGGTGGATTGTCGCGTGGCATGTCCAATGACTCCTTGCCCTGAGGCGCGAAGGGGTTAGCGGATTTTGACCTCTACGACGTAAGATACGCACTTGAAGACTCGGATCTACGTCGTCGGTCTTAATACCCGTCGTGGTCTTCATCTCTATTGAGATCACTGGGGAAGCCATGATGAACTAGAATTAGGTCGAAAGTCAACCAAGATTACTAGAATTTGAAATGAACGCACCTCGTTCTGCGATCTCGCCGCTGTATCTCGCGCGCGCTGACTTCTCGGAAGTGTGAATCGCTCGACGCTGATCGAGCCCGACATCTCCTCCCGCATCGAATGCCGGGCATTCAGTGCTGATAATATGCTGTTGGAGTAGACTAAAGCGAGAGGGGTTTAGAGAAAGAGATCGAGGAAGGAGGGAGAATAACACACGCTTCGCAAGGAAGGCGTACAGTGCGAGCCATATGAGGCTTTCAGGACGTGTTTGGAACTGGATGACAGTGAGATTGTGTTGGAATCCAGGGAGGGAGAGGACTGACCGCGATAAGCATGGCGATCGCGGAGAGACTGGGTTGGAAGTTAGAAAAATCAAAAAATAATTCGACCTTTTGGGGCACCCGCCTTGTAAGAAGCCCCGTTCCTGGCAGAAGAGAATTAAGACATCGGATGGGGATGCGAAAGGAGGAGAAGCGTACGAAGTGTATAGGCGATCAGCTGGTCGATTACTCTCGACGCTCTATCATAGATTTCGAAGTGAAATTTTAGCTCAATAAAACATGACATGATCGGTGCTTACCTCTCCAGCGTGTTGCCTCTCTTCGTAAACAGATAATACAACATAGACACGGCGATGATAACGTCGATCGCAGCGCCTCCTCCCAACATAGCAGACACGAGCCATTTCCAGTCGCGCCGATAATCAATGAGCGAGGGTGACCGGATGCCTTGCACGGTGAGGTAAAAGCTCCCTAACATTCGAACAGAGGCGGCGACCATGCAAAAAATCCCAATCAGGTTGTAGGGCCGGGGAAGGAGCTTGAAGATACGGCGGGAGAAGAATAGCTGGGCGCAACGATTATTGCGCACAAGATGGATCGGTGGCTCGGAACGCACTTGTGTTAGGTATGTTATCAGCCCTCCTACAACCGTCACTGCCGCAAAGCCTGGCAATCGGACCAAAAGCTGTGGCCGCCCGTAGAGGATTATCGTTACTCGGTACACCTCATAGCTGACTCCAGCCGTATGACCGACTTCCAAGATCCTGCGGTCGATTGAATAACCATAAGCCCTTCAGGGTACTGGGGAAACGCACCATATTACAGCGACGAGCAGCTTGTGAGTCCATCTATCGCTCGGAAATGTTATGTAGTAGATGTGGGTCTGGAGCGTGAGGATCCCGAAGAGAAAGACAGCGAAGAGGGACCCGATCTCCACGGCTCCAATCGTGTCGCTGAGGTCGACGTGGGTCAACGGGGTATCTGACATCCTACGCGACAGAATCGTAGGGCTGGCATGCGCGGAGATTCCAGAGGGGAGGGACGAAAGGAGGAAAGCCGACTCCGTCTCAGAGTTGGGGTATTATATGGCAAAATGAAAGAAGCCCACGATGTTTACAAGTGCCGTTGAATGGATCCCGGGTGGACTCATCATGATCTCGAGGTGTCAAAGGGTGTTGGAACTGCCCGCCCAAACGAGGCTCGGCGTAAGGATGTGGGGTACCAAGCGACGGCTTCTTCCGACCGGCGTCTTGACAGATGCATCCAAAAATAATGCGAAGTCGGAAGTCCATAATCCCCACTGCACTAGAACCGAGGGAGACTCTTTAAACCCGAACGAGAGAAGACCAGGAGGAAGAGACCGAGGAGAAGCAAACACTCGATTTCTTGACATTTCACCCGCAGGCCAGACGACTGCAGAAAGCGAGCGGCTTGGTGTGGCGTGCCTGGAAAGTAAAATATACGCATTTGTAGCAAGCGCGGCACCGCAGGTCCGCATCGCTTACAACGGATGAACATTGGCAACCAGATATCAGTGTATTATTGCGCAAGGCATTTTGGATCACATGGTGGATATCCATCGGACACGCTAGGCGCTTTGTCGTATTCACGGCCTCGGGACTGAGGCCCGAGGGTGTCATGGATCGTCGTGGACTTAAGGGCAATACGCCCAGGGCGATGTCCTGCAGGCTACGACAGTTGTACTATAGATGAGCTACAATTATTTGCATCAGTGTCCACACAGCCTGACTGTACTCGCCTTTCAATAAACGTCGTCTTACCCTTTCGTACTGGGAATCTGGAACGCCAAAAAAAATGGAGGAGCGACTGTGGCTGCGCTGCGAAAATCTCTAGAAGATCAGCCTCAAATCTCGATGTTTCGCGCCGGCTACATCCCCCCCCGAACAACCTTAACTTTCCCTACACCCGTGTTCTAGATCTGTGAGGATGTTTCGGGTCCTGCTTTCAAGGCTTTTATTTGCGAAATAGATGCATTAATTTCTCTTGCATCCTTCCCAGTGACCCTCTGTTTTCAACACCTCTGTGACCTGTCAAGAGGCGGTATGACCAATTGTTCAGTAGTTCGGTGTGATTCGGCTCTGGAACTGTAGGAAACCGGCTACGCTCCGCTCCCCCGTCTTTCCCACGCTTCCGTCCCGACTCGTTTTCCCCCTCGTTTCCGTCCATTTGCTTCGCTCCCGCTCCGTTATGCTTTCCGACCCATAGCTAGTCACTCTCCTCATATTAGTAGTCATATATCTCTCCTTGACTCTTTTTAGTAGTCGTACTACCTCGCCTCCGACTGCCTTCATTTCATCTAGTCACTTATCTTTCATTCCGCTGACTCCTTACTTTATGACTCTTCATTAAACAGGTAGTATAAGTAGATAGCTCGTAGTCTACAGTACCCCAGAGTGAATCCAGTGGTTTATACTGCTCCGTTTACGCCCCCATCCTTACTCTCGAATCGACGACCCCCGTGTGACGATTCGGATACTCCCGAAAGAGTTCCTCGTCGTTACAGGAACCCTCCAGCCGCGAATAGTGAGGCATATATTCCCTCCGATATTTTGAACACCGGTAACTCTCCTCCATCGACGACCAGGGTCCCATGGCCGCAAGATTGGTTTATATATGCCCGATTATTCTCGCCAGTCTCGACGTTTCAACTTTCAAGCTCTTCCAACATAATTTGCATAATCAACCGCGAAGCGGGAATCATGAGCAGTCATGAGCCCATTTCTGACGGGTTTCACCTTCGGGATCCTGACTACATATATCCTAGGGCGCACCCGTGATTGTAGGAGTGACAGCGGAATATCTGCTCTTGTAACAGACGTCCTTCCCCGCATCCGAGCTATTTACTGAAATTACTCAGAACGAGGAATTGCAGTTGCATTAATAATAACAGTATGGTTCAGAAAGAGTGAGAAAGAGTCGAGCAGCGATACGTGCGAAAACTCACAGTTGTCTGACCTGGATTTTCTCCTATTTAGTATTTGGAACTTACTTGTGTGGTGTGGGCCATCGCATGACGTGGCAATACGAGTCCTAGGCCCCGGATTTCAGCGACGAGTGCCAAATCCATAAAAAAATCCATGCTACTTCATGTATACTTGCGAGGGCGCTTATTTTGGTAATTAGACTTCCTCTAAATAACATCCCAATATGTCCCGGCTCGACGGCATAGTAGTCTCACCAATGCAATTACTCGACGTCTGGGTTGTTCATGTGAATGCTGGAGCCCTCGTCATATTTAAACAATTATTTTTGTCCTTTAGATGTCCTCGCCAACGCATAGAATTGCGGCACAAACGACATGGATTATCTCGCATCCTCTGTCATGCTGAATTATACTTGTCTGAGTGCCTGAAAATGGCAAATGTGAGATTTAGGCTTCTCAAACTGTCAGTGGTGTCTACCTCCTGTCAGGTTCCAGTTAAATTATATACAGTATTTGATAGAAAATATTTTTGGGCCGCGAGGAGCGACCGCTAGCCCCACTTTTTACATTCTAATGAAGGCGTATCGAATCCTTAACATCCGGGAATACATACCAGAACGAGTTTCGATCTTCATTTCAAGTTGGCCATAAGCCATAAGTAACGGATGAGGCACCCGAGGCTCGCACCTTAGGCCTTAGGCTTGAAGTATACAAAGGTAGATTTCGATTATTTTTTTTGGCTCCGATGTTCTATCTTACTGCACCTACTTGGTCCAGAGCGCCTTGTTCGCCTCGAAGTAGTCGCGGAGCTTGTGGGTGCCCGTGATCGTCTTGCTTGTGCCGACCAACTTCTCCTCAGCGTCATCGGCGATGGCAGCCTCCATACCGTTTAACATGGCGGCGTATTCTGGCGACATTCCGATTGACCTAAAGAATCCCTGCTCCTGCTCGTTTGTGATGTGCGTGTGGGTGATCTTGCGTCCAATGACCTCGCTCAGAATCTCGGTGGCCTACGGAGACAGTCAGCTGGCTATTTCTCGAAGGCGGGAAAGAGGACCCTTACCTGGTCGTATGTCAACAGCTCGGGGCCAACGACGTAGAAGTCGCTGTTGGAGCTCTTCTCGGCGAGGAGGGCGTCAAAGGCGGCTTTTGCGATGTCGTCGACACCGATGAAGGGGATTTTGCCATTCTTGGTCACAGATGCGACGGTGTTGCTATTATTGATGCTGTGGATGAACAAGGACCCGAAGTTTTCTGTTACGGTCTCGTCGTAAATATCCAGAACAAAATAATTACCAAGACGCACCAATGAACCAAGTGGGGCGAAGGACTGTGTACTCAACACCGAGGCTGGCGATGTACTCGTGGATCTTGCCAATGAACACGCCGCCCTTCTGTAGCTGAGTCGCGCTGAGCAAGACGAACCGCTTCACGCCCTTGGAAATCGCCAGGTCGATGAAGGGCTTGGCCACGGGTAGCGCGTCGAACACGCTCGGCGCGACGAGGTAGACCTTGTTGATGTTCGCGTCAGCCTTGAACGGGTTCTCGAACGTCGACGCATCGTTCCAGTCGAAGGTCACCGCCTTGAATGGCTCAGGAGCGACGCCCTTGCGTGAAGTGATCAGGACGGAGTGGTTCGCGGCATGAAGGAGTTTGGCAAGCTTGAAGCCGGTCTTGCCAGTTCCGCCAGTGATGAGGATGGTCATTGTAGTGGCTTTAAGTGTTATGAGAGGTGGTGAGTATGTTGGGCGCTGTCTCAAACGTCTGTACGTACGTGCCTGGTCTTATAGCACGCCCCTTTCTTCTGAGTCTGACACCCGTTGCGTAATTCCGCTTATGCACGCGTCGCATCTGCTTGATAATCTCCTCCGACCTCTTCCAGGAAAGTCTAATCGTGACAAAGCTCTCAGTCCCTCTTTACCTTTTTTGGCTGGGTGTGAATAAGGTTCTCTTTAATGCCAGACCATACAGCCAGTGCGATCTTCGCACTGGGATTGAGTAGAGAATCTGTGGACCGACTCATCCACGAGACGATTGCGCCATTGATTTGAGGTGAGTTGTTCAGTCATCTTTACAAATCCGTCTCCCAGTCTCCTTCTGGTTACGGGCATCTAGACTCACCAGTCTCTCAGTTAGCTCTTAAGGTTCCCCAATCTGTTTTCGAGTGCTTCAGCCCACAGCTTTTCGGTTAGTCTAGCTTGATCACTGGTCTGGTTCCTCTTTGACCAGGCTCGCAGTTAGCCTTTCGAGTTCATTAACGAACTCTCACCGTGCTAAACTTGTTCGTCTATTTCTGGACTGTACGTTGGCTTTTCTGACCCTATCCTCTCCCTGTGTGCGCTCCTCGGACCATCTGCAGCCTGAGGCTTACAGTGTTTACAATGCGGGAGTTAGGCTCGAAGCGACGCGTCATTCCCGAGAACGGCCCCGACGAAACACCAGGGTCCCTCTGAGCCTCCTCTTATCACACCCATCGTTGTTGGATGCATCTTCCCCTAGCTTCATTTTAGAGCGACACTTCGCTTTCGGTAAAGTGAAGTCACCGGTTAGGCTCCATTTTTTCCACGAGAACATTTTAAATAATTGCGCCTTTCCGATAAGCTATCTCACTGAGAAGCTCTACCTTGATTGTGTATGAGCCCTGGGTGACCATCGGCGTCGGTTGATAAAGCAGCTTCGAATCCTTTGACTCGTCCTCTGAACGACTCTTGTTTCTTTTCCTTTGTGCTTTCGATTTATTGACGCAAAATAATGCACAAAAAGGAGAAAGATAGAGAAGCAGTGCTCGTCCTGGAGACTGACCCCGAGGACCAACTCGAACAGATGGTGATTGAAGGCGAAAGTTCATCCGAGCATTTTCCTCCGTCTCTGAGGGCCAAGTGGGCGATGAGACTGGTACAGTGGGGAGTCGAGGAAAGACGTGAGTTTTTCGTTTCTTGTTTTTAACGTGAGTCTGATATATGGCCTTCGTTGGGAGGGATTCAAACCGGTGCCGGTGGAAGAGAGAACGGACAAGCAGTACAGCAAGATATTCAATGTGTTCATGTCATCCAATCTGACAATCCTGACGTATTACGGCTATGGATTTCTAACTGAGATCAGTGCTCAGAATGATTTTTAGGCTGTTGACAGGAACGCTAGGACCTCCGGTCTTCGGCCTTACCGTGCGAGACTCTTGTCTAGTCATCTTGGGCCTCAACGTATTTTGTACCATCTTCCCTGCATATTTGTAAGAAATATAAGCCCTGAACCTCGCTCCCAGATATTCTAAACAGCCATCCAGTTGTACATGGGGTCCGAAATTAGGCATGAGGCAGATGATACTGGCGAGATATACTTTTGGGTGCGTTACCTCTCTACGGTGTCCTGATGCAATGCTTTGTTCACAACCTGCCTTAGGTATTATGGTGTCATAGTCCCTTGCGCCCTGAACCTACTCAGCATCTTTGGATTCTCCGTACTTAATTGTATCTTGGGTGGCCAGACACTTGCCAGCGTGACTGATGGGCGCTTAAGTTGAAGGTAAGTCTCGGGTACTTCGCAGTGCCAACGCAAGCACGAACAAAGTCTTGGAATTGTTATATTCACTTTCCTCTCGCTTTTTGTCTCGTTTTGGGGGTACAAGTTTTTGCACTGGTAGGTGTTTCTTCACAGCTCCCGAGGCTGCTCAAGTAGCTATTCTCCCAGGTATGAACGCTTCGCCTGGATCCTCATCCTCATCACCTTCATAATTACCGTCTGTGTCGGGGGGAACCACCTCACTGACCCACCGATGCCTGAGCCTGTGACCGTCGCGGGCGTCATGGGCTTCACCGGCGTGCAGGCTGGTTTTATGATCACTTGGTCGGGTTTTGCAGCGGAGTATGGGAGTTATATTAGGCCAGATATTCCGAGTTCGGACAATCTTTCATTCGGAGGAGAAGAAGGCCGCCTCGGAGTACGAGCTCAAAGCGATGCGGAAAGAGCTTAAAGAATTCAAAAAAGCGCAGGACGAACTCAGGAATGAGTTGGAAGTGTCGCGAAAGGAGCGAGAAGCATTAGAAAGGAGGTTGGACGCCGTCGAACATCAGCTCGTCGCCGGGCTCAACGGGTTGAAATATCCTGGCAACTTGAAGAAAATGAGCGACGACCTCGAAGCATTGCGCCACCTTGAAGAAGCGCTCTCCCGCCCCGCTGCGAACGCAGGCTTGCCCACGGCGAGTCACCGAACTTCAGTGATATCCACTATCTAAACTTAATTCTACTCTTCAGCAACAGGACTTCAACAACAAGGAGCTTATTCTTGCCAAGTGCCGCGGCGCGTTGGAGGACATGCTTCTCGAGCAGCACGTTAAACCCGGCACCTCAGGCTCACCGGTGGACAACTCCCACTACGCGAGGCTTTGGAGACAGAGGCTCGATGAAGCGGGCGGCGAGCTTCCGGCACGCATCGCCTACGCCAGGTCCTTGATAGCAGGCGCAGGCCCTTCTAAATTCGAAAACGTCGTGAACTCGGACAACGCTATGGCGCTAGTTTGCGCGAAGGTCTGTCCGTTTTGAAGCGTTGGGAGTACGAGCATGGGTGGACGCGTCAGAACTAGCTACCGCTATGCCGAACGTCCTCGAAAGGAAGGGGTGTATGTAATGATGTCCATGTTTGCTTCTTTCTGTTTCGTTATCGAGAAGAATTTTCTGCCCGTTTTACACCAAAATCCCAGATTATAATTCCTTTAAAAAATTGTGCTGTTCCTTCCGTCAGAGCTGTCGTATTTTATTCTCTCATCCGACCTTCATAAAATTAACAAATAGCATGGGAATTGAGTTTGATGTAAAAAATGGAGACTCGCAGAGATGATCAACTATCTCACAAGGAAATTAGAGATTAAAAGCACGGAAAATGAGCGCCAAGAGCGTGGCTGCTCCAAGGCATTTAGTTGTTTAAATGGAAGTCCCGAGGGTGTATTTCCGGCTAGAAGATTAGGAATATAGTCCACATTAATGAATAGCATCGTTAAGGAGGAAGTCGCATCCTTACACCTTCTCCTAGTTTTCAACAAAGAGGCGCGCAATAAGCGCCCATCATCTCATGCAGCCTGATGATTACCAAGTATTCTAACTATGCAATCTGATATTTTGCCTAGAGCTCAGACATCGCTGATCTTTTCCTCTATATTTTGTCCGTAATCCAAGAACAAATGTAGAAGCGCTTCGAAAGTCCGGGACAGCGACACTGGCACTGGGCAAAAGGATAACTTGAAGTGGATCTTTTAGATATATCGGGGTCAGAGCCCCGATAGGATTTGTATCTATGCAGAGATCAATGACTTGGCACTCGGAAAATTTTATTTACCTCACTAGGGTCTCCTGCAAATTTCGTGGAGCCTCAGGCTGAATCGAGTAAGAAATGCGCGGTTCATGCACAGGGCTGGACGTTAAAACTTACGGGCAAGTTGCAGCGCTTTCGGGTTTGTCGCCGATGTCGAGAATAGAACCTCTTGCTCGATACCGGTTACAAGATGGTCCAAATTTCGAATTCTGTCACTATGTCATCGGACTAGTAAGTATGTCAGTTCGGAAGCTAAGACTCCGAGTATTCTTGGAGTACTTATTCTCATTTGGAGTCGCCTTGATTACGTAAACTATACCGTAGCGGAAACTTCGAATGCTGAACATGCGTCGAAATTGAACTTGAACCGAGCACTTCTGTGGGCTTTACGTGTCTCTTCAGCTCTGAAACGGAAGTTAAGGCTTCGCTCGGCTATTCACGACCTTTATTGACAATTGTGTACCAAAAGCCCCGAAGAAAAATCCAGGCACGCAACATCGGGCTCTTTCCGTTCCTTCCAACGTCTTCTTTTGCTTGTTCTCAGCCGTTCGGGTCTCCAACCAGGTGGTTCAGGGAAGTCGGTGGGAGTGGGCCTTACAACTGTGAGTTCCCTATCTCATGTTACGCTGTGAACGGTTGGGAAGAGGACGGTGCTAACAGAGGCGCTTAGCAGGTGGTTACGATTTCGGTGTCGATACACAGCACATACGACGTTCCCAAGGCTCCTTGCTGTCCTTTTTGCCTATAAGGACGCCGGTGGTTATCCATCCTGGACGCACCCAAACCTACGTGTGCAGTAACCCAAGAAGGAGGCAGAGAATGGGACTGGAAGCGGCAGAGTTGGCGCGGTGGACTCGCTTCGCAGCCAAGGGCGGCATTGGGAAGTGCACGGCGATAAACGACTGCGTGGCGGAGAGTGCGGATGACTTGATGTTTCTCAAGGTGCGTATTCGAGTTCTGAAATTTGTTGTGGCGTTCGTTCTCCGTCTTCGGGACCTGGTGTCAGTCGTTCGACTTTATCGAACGGTTTCGTCGATTCTCGGGGGAATGGGCGAAGGGAATGTGATGCTGACGACGGTGTTGGTTCTCTAGGACGATGAGATCACGGTGCTGTTCCAGCTACCGGACATGGAGGGATTCTACTTGGTGAGTCCAGTTATCTTCTTCCGGCTGGCTTCGTCCACCTTCTGCCTAACTTTCGTTCTTCACCTTCTTCACCCTCGCTTCATACCTGCACCAAGAGCAATGGCATCAGTGCACCGCCAGACGGCTGTTCCACACCGTCCAATCCGTCCATCTCAGGCCTCCGTTCTTGCAATCACCCGTTCATCATCGACATCAACGGATCGTACTCGTTCCGTGATGATTCTGTGCCCAATGCCTTGTCTGGAAGTGTTGGACGCTCTGCTATTTGTTTCATCTGTCGTGGGCGACTTTATCTTCTCGTCGGTGTGCATCTCTTCAGTCCGGAGGTGCAGCTGGCCTATTCTCCGATGAGATCGCTTCACGCCGTTTGCCTTTCCATTTCTCTGTATTTCGTCTCTTTCTTTCTCCTTGACCGTCTTCTCCTGGTCTTAGCTCTCATCTTTCAATTTTCGTGTTTCGTAACGCCTCCATTCGTGCCGTCACCCATCACCCCAATTATTTTTCCGTTCATTCGAGCAAGCCTTCTTTTAATCACCACCGGCATTTTTCCATGCTCTCCGTTTTCCCACTTCTTGTTGTCTTTCTGTTCTTTCTGTTCATCACGGATATCTCTTCCATCTCTTCTTTTTGATCGGCTACTACCCGCCTTACAGTGTGCGGGAGGCGGCGGGTGCTATCGCCGCGTTCCTGGTGCCAGGATTGCAGCGAAAAGGCGGTCGTGAGCTGGGTGGCTTTGCAGGAGTGGTTTCGAAACTTTTGTGCGGTTCTTTTGGCTAGAAGAAGGGTTACGAGATCGACCTCTTCATTCACTTTCTGTCCTACCTCTGAACCAGTGATGACCTTCGCTGTTCATATTTTATTTCGCTTCCTTTGGTTTTAACGTTCGATTCGGTCCGCATTTTTCGACTTCCTGTTCTCGTTCTTGCGATCTGGGTTGTTCCACTCTCTGGTTTACCCCTACCTCGGCGAATAAGGCGCATATAGTCACCTGGTTTACCTCCTGCTTTCCCGTTTCCTCCAGTTTCGGTGTTGCCCTCGCTTTCCTAGGATTTTAGCGAGACCAAGGCGTTTTTGGCGGTCTCCGCAAACGAATATTACCATTCAGGCGCATTTTTATCTTTTTTCCCTCTCATTTATTTACTTCCGCTGTCGATGGCCCCATGTCCCGCCGAACTATACCCTTTACTAACGCCTTTCCTACCAGGGCTACTGTGAAGGGGTCGTCGGCCGTTTCTCCGGTGCAGATGTCATGTTTCACGCCAAACTGAAGAAACCCGTCATGACGAAACGATCCTCGGTGTCAGCGTCTTCCACATCGGCCTCTGGGCCAGCCAAGTCGCCGTCACCATCTGGTCAGCCGCTGTCGCGGAGAGGATCGGCGCAGGTCGGAGGCAGGCAGAGGAGTTTGAGTGTGACTCGGAGTGGAGGCCAAGGCGGAAGTGGGAATGGGAGCAGGCCGCAGAGCAGGAGCCAGACGCCCCCAGCGAGCTCGCCACAGCCACAGCCCCATCTGCCGCCTTCAGGGGCTGGCTCTGGGTCGACATCGACGTCGCCGCTTCCCACCACACATTCGGGCTCGAGTACTTCGCCTTTACCTTCCCAGTCGAGTTTTTCGGCGGCAACCTCAAGCTCAACCTCTATTGCAATTACTAACACGAGTGCACATTCGGCAAGTTCGAGTTCTGCTGGCTCGAGCCGGACGGCGACTGCTACGCCACCCTCGCGGTCGCCTTCGTACTCTACGTCTTCGTATGGTACATCTCATGCGACGTCCAACTCAGCAGCGTCCTCGTCGGCGTACTCGCAGTCTCATGCGTCAAGTATGTCGTATTCGAGCACGGTATACTCGGGCGACTTGTATGGTTATGCAAATGCAAATGCACACACGCACAAGCAAACGGCGTCGTACTCGTCGTTTACGTCGGCATCCGCGTCGGTGTCTGCAGCTGCTTCGCCTCCAGCAACGACGACGACTTTCGCAGCCAACGGAAACTCCAACCACTCAAGCAATTTCTCCTCGAACGCGAATACCCCTTCTTATAACCACAACTCGCATACACCCTCCTACGTAACGTCCGCCTTCTCGCGAGACGCGGACCCAACGACACCCTCGTCCACATCATCCTACCCGGTATCACCACCTCCGACATCACCAACCTCTCCGACACATGGCGTCTCCCCTCTTCCGCTACGCGCCTCTCCACTACCACGGACATCGCCTATCCCGACCTCACATCTCAACCCATCACACTATCATCCAAGCCAACCGCATTCCTTTGGCTCGATGCCCTCTTCCTCGCTGACCTCGCCCACCAGCCCAACCTTTCCAGCACACAGTCCTGGTTCGTCTTACCCACCTTCTCCTGTGGTTACGTCGCCGGTCTCTCCTTCGACGTCGACGGGCAGGGCAGCATCGAGCTGGGCGAGCAACAGCGTGGGCGGTCGGGAGAGTGTGGGCACACCGTTGAGTTTGGTTTTCGGTGGTGGGCAAGGGCATGGGTCGAGGTTTGGCAGCGTAGAAGTCGTGCAGGAGGAGAGCGGGGACGAAGATGTGACCACGCCATCGGACACAACTGCGAACGCAATTGAGTTGCCTGCTACGACATCATCCGCGACAACGACATCAACGACAAGCACGAAAAGACTCGGCAACATCCCGCCACCTCTCATCCTCCGATCCGCGTCAAACTCAAGCTCGGCGTCGGGCACGAATTCGACGGGCGAAGGAACGACTTCTCCACTTCGGATTACGAAGAGATCGCCTAGCTCGCCACCTGCGAACTCTACGAATTTATCATTCGCTACTGCTGGGGGGCATCACATGCAGCACGGAGGCTACGGGACGAGAGGGTTGGATAGAGCACCTAGTGTTGCTTCCGTTGCAACAATGGGTACGGGTGGGTACTACACCGCGCCAAATACCGCTTCATCTGCTGTTACTCCTACTGCTTCTGCCTCAACTGGGTCTGGGTCTGGGTCAGGCAGCGGGTCGAGCGGTGCCAGCAGCTCGCACACGACAACGGCCACCCAACCCCCTCCCACAGCCACGAGCCCTCCAGAGTCTGCCCTGCCATCGGCGCTCGACACCTCGGTATCGACGATGTCCGACCTCGCCGAAGCTCATCCGGGCCGGTTCTCCGTATGGGATGTGTCAGCGACTTTGAAGGGGCTGGCGCATATGAGCCAGATATCTGAGGCGAGTGTGTATAGTGAGGATTCGGAGGCGAGGGTCTCGAGGGTTGTGGAAGAAGAAGAGGAAGATGAGAGGACGGAATCGAGAGGGTCAATGGCGACTGAGAGTGTACACCCCAGCTCTTCCATCACCAACGACACAACTTTCGACTCGACTCCGAGCGGCGCCAACGTCCAGACGAGGATCGCGACTACGTTACACACCAAGCAGGTCAGCATCCCGGACCTGCAAGATTACGACCACGACCACGACCGCGACCAGGTCGGCATTGGGCTTTCGTTGCTACAGGACCTGGTGGGCGGCATGAACGACTGGAGCGATTCGGAGGATGGGAGTGAGTATGACTCGCCTGCTCCGAGGGCTAGGCGGGTTAATGGCGCGAGAGCGAGTTATGCGGGCAGCGACGAGGGTACGGTTGAGGGTTTGGGGTATGCGAGGTCGGAGGATGGTCATAGTGCAGGTCTTGTTCGAGGGGCGAGTGTGGGGCATGGAAAAATGGCGCCTCTGGGAGGGACGTTGGTTGAGAAGCCGGAGGAGACGGAGGATACTGGTAAAGACCTAGAGAAGGAGGGCACCAGCTCGAACGTCAAGCCTAACGGGCAACAACCACAGTCGCAAGCCCAGAGCTTTCTCTCGCCTACGACGTCACCTACGGGCGTCGTCTTCCCGCGGCATGCCAATCCGCAATCACCTTCGCCTACCTCACCTTCGTCGCCGTTCTCTCCAGGGCCTGTGCCTCAACCCTACGCACACGGGTATGAAGCGAGAGAGAGGAGACCATCACTTGCACCAAGCTCCATGTCGGCTGCGTCAGGTGTATCGGCAGGGTCTGGGGGTACATGGGAGGGAGCAGGAGACATCTACGACGACTACCGGTACTCGCGGTACTCGATGATGAGTAAAGCATCGTTGGGGTTGGGCGACGGTTCTGGAACTGCAGGAGAGGACAAACCGCCGATGCCTGAACGCAGCAGCATCGATTCGTATTCACGAGGACCGTTGCAGCCGAGGGAGAGAGCTGACTCTAATCGCTCTGCAGCGTCATTGAAGAGCGATAAGGAAAGGGAGAGGCTCACGCAGATGAGCACGTCTCTGCCGCCAGCACGAGCTTTTGCGCTGTCCCAGCTCGACGAGACCGATTCCCCGATCGATCCCTTCCGCTCAAACGTACTCGCACTGAAAGCCAGAGGAGCGAATGTGGGCAACGCGAATGTGTACCCGAGTGCACGGTTCGTGGAGGTCGAGGTTCACGAGGCCGAAGATCAGGAGCGAGAGAAGGAAAGTGGAGATGAGAAGCAAGACAGTGGCCCAGGTCAACGTTCGACACTTCGACCCGACGCTGGCGAGAAGAGGGCGAGGAGGTCGGTGCTCAGGTCAAGCGTCGACTCGGAGGCGAGTGTTTATACGCAGAACAGCCGTCTCTCGATGTTGGAGCGCGAAGTAGAGGGCGTACTCGCGCAGGCGAAAAGTCTGGGTGGACGTTCGTCGAGAGGATCTGTTGGACCTGGCAGTGGGAGAGTTTCGGCAGATGGAAGTGAGGACGAGAGAGCCTCGAATGGGTCGAATGGATCAGGCGCCAGGCCACCTCCGCTTAGTCTCAACCTTTCGGCGTCGACACTTGGCCCACCTGCCGGCTTGTCGCCTCTCCTGCACACTGACTGGGCTTCGCCTGCTACAGCTACTGCTTTGGCCACTGCCCTACCGTTGTCACCTTCAGCTTCGGCCCTGAGTACGCCCATCCCTGGCGGAGGAGCAGGAATGGCGAGCGCAATGAGGATGCGTTTGGAGGGTGGACGGAGTCCTAAACCTGAGGATGCTGAAGAGAAGAACGCCAACGGCAACGCGAAAATCGATACGTCGTTCGGTTCTTCCGGTCTTGGAAGCAGGATTGTGGTTGAGGACGACGAAGAGCTGCCTTCGCGGGTGGGTCTAGGAGAGGGCGAGAGTAGAAAAGAGGAAAGTTCGTTCATTACAGAGGGAGATTCGGTTTCCACTGTGAAGCACGCCGGCGGAGCAGACGAATCATCAGATACCCAGGACGTACTCGCTGGACTCGATCAACAACCAGCACCATCTCAGCAACCCCCCTCCCACCTCCGCCCCAACGCCGCCGCCCTCCTGGCTGCTCGTTCTGCCAACGAGCCGGGGCGCAGATCGCTCTTTGCCCCGCATCCCAACGCACCGAAGGCACCCGAGGGTGCGTATATCCCTATGGATGGGCCGCTCGTGGGCAGTGCGGGTGTTGGTGCGGCGGGAAGTCCGACGTTCAGAGGAGGATTTGCTGGTCCTGGAGGGGCGCCGCAACTTCAGCCACAGTGGAACGGGCAGCCACAACAAGCCCAAGGGTACCCACATCCTCAAGGTCCAATGCAAGGCCATCCTCAAGGTCATTCTGGAGGACCATACTATCCCCCCTTGGGACCAGGCTATCGCCCTGGTCCACCTATGAGACCATCCGTCATCAACGTCATCCGGATGGCACTCTCTCGGCCCCCACCACCCCATCCTCCCAATCCACCTCTCAACGCGCTCCAGAATAGACCGCCTGGCGCACAGCGACCTCCGCCTCCCGGACCCACCATCTATGCTAGGACAGAAATCGACCTAGCAGCTTCGTTAGGACCTGTACCGATCCTGTTCAGTGCTGACCCGCTCCCGCCTGTTGCACCACCTGTAGTACCGCAGACCGTGGCGCAGGTCCAGGAGAAGGCTGTGGGTAAGGTGAATATGGTGCCGAGGAGCGGGTTGGCTGCGCCACCAATTATCGCCCCGACGGTGGAGGAGGTGAGGGCACCTGTGAGGTCGTCCTCCGTACCTGTACCCGCGCCTGCGACGAACTCAGCTGCAGGCCCTTCGAACTTGAATCGTTCTTCAAGTGCAGCTGGACCGACGACGGTGTTGTCCTCGACCCCAGCGGCAGCACCACCACCAACGGTCCCATCGACAATGTTGCCACTCGCCGCTAGACCAGCCTCTCTCCAAAGCCCTCAAACACGGCCGTCGACAGCGGATGGCCCTCCAGGACCGAGTTCGATTACTGCACCTGAAACTACACCGACAGGCTCCACGCCGATTCCGAGAGCAGGATTCACACCGCAGGCACCTGGACTCCGGCCGAGGTCGAGGAGTTTCTCTTCGTTTAGAGGTGGGAATAAGAATGGGTCGGAGGAGAGGTAAGTCTTTCGTTCCTATAAGGTTATAAAATTGTTCATCATTCCATCGTATTATTTTTCAGCCGCGAAGACCCTGATTCCAGCCGCGAAAGCATCAAGCGCTCGCTGACCAGTTCCTCATCATCATCCTCTTTAGGACCTGCCACCAACTCTAAAACGCCTGCCAAATCATCTCCACTCCGACCGTCGCCTCTCTCACTAAGGTCATCCACCTCCAACTCGAACCTCAAGCCCGCCATCACCTCTCCACTCGTACCGAAACCTCCTTCAAGCCCACTCGCCACTCAAAACCCCATTATTCCACCTTCTCCCTCGCCGACGCCTTCAATGGCCGGATCCACGTCACTGACACCTCCGACTGCAAGAGACAGCGCGATCTCCGGGCCGCCCTCGCCGGCGTTCTCGAATTCGAACATGAGCTTGAGAGGTTCGCAACAACTTCAACCTCAACACCAACTTCGTCAAATGGGCTCGAGAACAACGCTTGGCGACCCACCTTCATCTGCTACGTCGTCCGCGTCTGACGGGTCGAGTATGAACCCGGTTCTGGGGCGCTCAACGCCGATGTCACGAAGTACGATGGACTCTGCATCAATTTATTCTGGTGGGCGGGCATCGCCATTTGGAGCCCAAGCCCCGTCGCGGACGGCTTCGTTGCAGCCCCAGGCGCCGAATAGATCGAGAGCAGATTCGGTTACTCCGAACCCTCATACGTCTGCGTCGAGTTCGAGTATGGATGGTGTGACAACTGCGAGGAGGGTGGTGTCGCCGCCTCCTGGAAGTTCGAGTGGAAGTGGTGGCGGAGTGTTCAGGCAGACATCGTTGAGGTCAAAGCTCTCGTTACCGAACCTAAGGCGAAACAAGAGCAAGCAGGACGATGAGGCACGTGGGCCATCAGTCGACATAGAGCGGGAACGCGAAAGACTTGCCATGGGACGTCGTTCCTCTGCCACTGCCGAGAACGCCTCGAACGGGAAGGACAAGGACCTGGAAGTCCTCCAAGTGCAAGATATGGAGTTCGAGCTCGTACGACCATCCTTCTCTCAATTCCAAGCGGCGCGCACGAGCGAAGACTCGAACGTCCTCGGGCGGGAGCCCTCGTTCGACGGTCGCCTCGACACCGCCACGCCGGGGTCGTCCTTCCTCCGCCCCGACAGCCCTGCGATGTCCATCTCCAGCGGTGGTGGCACGAGTAGGCTTTCAGGCCATCGATCGCCGACAGTCGAGAGCGCGACGGGCCTGTGGATCCCCCAGCCGCCTGCACCGCCGTCGAGTGCAGGTGGGTCTAGGAGCAACACGGATGCCGAGTCGAATATGGACGCACATCGGCAGCGCGAGCTCAAGTGGATGTCGCTCATGTCGTCTGCACCCGCTTCGTCCTCCCGAAAGTCGAAGAAGGTGCGCAAGCTCCTGATGGAAGGCGTTCCCTCGTCTGTACGATATCTTGTGTGGTCGTACCTGACGGATGGGAAGGCGAGGTGTGTGCCTGGGGTGTATGCGCAGCTGTGTGGAAGAGGCAGGGTAGGTGCGAGCAGTGCAATCGAGCGAGACGTGGAGAGGGCGGTTTGTTTTGAGCAGGTGGAGAGGGAGCGCGCGATGGAAGAGGACGGTGCTCCCGGTGCTGGAGGGGCGAGGGGTTATTTAAGTGGGACCCGAGGCGCGGTTGTCACGTTGCTACAGGCCTATCTGAACATGGTACCAGATGTTCAATATTCAAAGGGTGCGTTCTTTCATGTAATCTTGGCTTTTGACTTAACTCTAACCTCGATTTCAATTAATATCATATAGGCCTCACCCTGATCGTCGGTCAACTGCTCCTCCTTGCGCCCGAGGAAGACGCCTTCTGGATCTTCGTCTCGATCATGGATACCCACGTTCGCGCGTACTTCTCAGCCACGACGACACAGATGGAGGTCGATGCCGCGTTGTTTTCACGTGCGCTCGAGGCGAACGATGCTCCACTCGCGCGGAAGCTCCTCGTGGACATGGGCATACTGCCAGGGGCGATCTGTGCGCCTTGGTACGTCATTTGTACCTGCCTTCTGAAGGAGATGGAAGAAACTGAAAACATGTCGGATCCAGGTTCTCGACGCTATTCGTAGGCACTTTACCGCCGGAGTACTTAAATCGGGTGTGGGACCTCTTCCTATACGAAGGTACGTTAGATTCTTTTCTCGTCCAGTCCGCTGATATCTTATTGGTGTTGCATAGGGATCCCTTTCCTCCTCCGCGTCGCCCTCGCCCTCATGATATGTTGCCGTCGCAAGCTCCTTGATGCGACCAGCGAAGAGGTTGTCCTCCAAACCCTTGCTCAACCACCAAGTGCATGGCTACCTGCTACGCTCGATGCTTTCCTCTCGCTCGCGTTCTCGGTCAAGCTTAAGGATGACGACATCCGCAAGCAGCGCGTGAAGATGGAAGCACAGGTTAAGCGCCAGACCCAGGCTCCGCGTCCATCCAACGTTGGTGGAGCCGGGATCTCTTTGCCTCGAACCTGAGTGGGACGTGAGTGGGACGACCTCGTTCCCGTCTGGCTTTTTTGCGTCTTCTTCGTACAACTATTGTTTTCGCTTTGTTCTTCCGCTTTATGCATTACTATTCTCCCTTCTCGCATTGTTGAATTCAAAGCTCCTTATAATCCATTTACACAATCTAATTCTCGCTCTCAAGGCATCTGCATCTATATACCGCACATCATGTTTCGCTATACCATTACCGCACCCTTACGCACCCTTACTTACTATCTAGGCGTCTCGAAGACGTGTTAAACTTCTTTATGCATTTATTTCGTTATTGTTTTTGCCTCGTCGAATTCTCCCAATTCCGTGTCCCTATCTACGCAATGCAACGCAACTATGGACCCCCATGTTACATACCTAGCTATCTGTCTCTCGATGTCGATTTGTTAGACGCTATATTGTTATTACATTCATGCATGACGTCCGCGGTTCCATACTCAAATGCAATGTTTTCATCCCCTTTATGCACCTACTAAAATACTAGAGCAGAAGTGGTCCTCATTCAGATAGTTTAAATTGAAAGTCATTTCGTAAGTTCGAAGTAGAAGAAGGTCCGACACTTTCAAGCATCTAGGCATTTTTCTGTCATCCTAAACACAATGACATGTCTCCGGCGTCCGCGTTCCTACCCAGTCCGTCTCCGCCCTAGTCGACGTGGAACTTGGGCAATGGACACTCGTTGTTTCGACTATTCGTTTCGAACATCGAGAGTAATTTCTACTGAAATTCAGGAACCTTTATATTGCTTGGCAGAATTTACTCTTTACTCGAGTGCTCGGGGTGTATCTCGCGACCGTCGTATTTGGGCAAGAAATTCAATTGAAAACCCTGGCTTGAGGCCTACCAAACGGCAGGGAATGATTTGGGCGACTCCTGGACTCTATGTAATTGCATATTTCAATGACAAAGACGAGGGCCGATATTGCTCCTGTCGAAATTGCGGGGTAGCCGAGGGTGAGCGTTGAGCCGCAAATGCGCCGCACAGCCAAATTAGGCTATGTTTCGTCGGTCCGGATATTTCCGGCCATCAAAACAGCTTCCTTCATCGTCGCCTACTACTCTTCCTCCAGACCATCGAATGTGTAGAGTACGTACCGCGGAACCCCAAGAATTTTCATTCCCATGCTCCAGAAAAGATTTCAGTGTGTATGACGGTCAATATGAACAGTCTTTCGGCGCGCCATAGGGGCATTACGATAAGGTCTGTTGACTAGATGGGCCTGACTTATGTGTTTGCCTGAATTGAACTCTGAATATAAGGGCTTGAATCTAAATACGAGGAGAACCGGGGTACGGCCGGATTGAGTGTAACCGCCTCCCACAGTCCAAGGAAGAAAATTTCCGCCCCGCGTGATGCACCCTCGACCTCTGGGCTCTAAACACACGCCTAAATGGGCGATAGTCTATATTTAAGTTTCTGATTGATTATCGGCAGGACTACTGATACAGGAACGACGATGGTCTCCTCTAAATGCCTGACCTGCGGATGAGAGGGCTCGAAAATGAAAATCATGCGAGATAGGGGGCCATACCTTCGAGAGTCGGAAAAGAATATTCGTCCGTCGTTCGGGACTAAATTCTATCGTGGAGAGCTGATACTCCTATGTTCCCCATATTCTTGGCCATCCGCCGGAGATCAAGTGGAGGAATTGATCGTAAGCGCCAAGGCCAACGGACTGGTCAGAGGTTTGTGGGAAAGGTAGTGATGTCAAAACACGGGATCCCTAACAGTCAAACGATAAACCCTGTTGGTTTGCTACATGCAGGGAAGCTGGAATTAAATGGTAGCTCGACGTCAATGTGAACCTCTTTCAATGACCACGACGTGCTGGCACAAGTCGCTCTGCTCTGCCCCTCGAGAACCTCGACACCACTAGGCCGCGGTACGGTCGTCGTTTTTGCGCTGTTCGTGAACGTCAGAGGCCCACAGCCAAGATGGAAGCCACGATCGAAAATACGTTTGGCGCTATTCAAATCGGATCAATGGCAGCCACATTTCTTTTTGGAATCGTCACTCTGCAGTGCCATGTCTACTACTCCAGCAGGCCAAAAGATCCTCGAATTCTGAAGTGGATGGTGAGTTCGAGCGTTACCCTTCGAAAATCGAGTCTTAAAAGCGTTTTCTAGGTCGGGGTCATTTGGTAGGCCATTCTCGCCCGTTCTCACCGCCGCCGCTGATTTGTCGCAAAGGTTTCTCGAGCTAACCCACACGATCTTCGTCGCATATGAAATTTACAGAACGACCATCACATACTATGGTCTTCCAGGAGCAGTCACAAAATACCCTGGTTTCGCGGCAGTGATGCTATTGGGGGGCTTGATAACAATGCTGGTCCAAGTGCGTAGCCTTGATTACTCGTCTCGTCTCCGTTGTTCTGCTAACATGGCGTCAGAACTTCTTCGCATTGCGTGTCTGGAAATTTCTCCCTCGGCCATATTGCTATGTCGGCGGCGGGTGCATCATCGCTTCCACCGTGCGCTGCATCCTGAGCATCTACGCGAGCGTTGAGGGATTTCTTATGACTTCTTATGCGAACTACCTGGTGGAATTCCAGGACTACCTCACAGCGTTATTAGCCATCGGAGCTGCGATCGACGTCATCAACGCAGGGTCTCTGTCGTATTTCTTGTTCAAGCAACGCGAGCTGGCATTCGCTCGAACCACCAGACTCCTCGACCGACTTATTGCTTACACCATTCGTAAGTCCATGTTATCAGGCTTCTCGCCGTGGAAAGTCGCTCATTTTTTCACAGGAACTGGACTCATAACCTGGTCGGTCATTTCAGTCGCTCGTTGGAAAAATGCTCATATTTGTCCATAGTATTGTAGCCGTCACTGTTTTGATTCTTGTGAGTGATTACAGCTTCTCCCAGCAGATCACCTCTCTGAATCAACGCTAGTTTCAAACACTTGCTCCCTCTCGTAAGTGCTGGGTGACGCTTCTATCTACCGTGATCTGAACAATATCTAGTTATTTCCCTTGCTATGTATACGGCGTTGGCCAAGCGTGAGTTAGCGCCCTAGTCATTCCGAGTCTTCCAGCTGAAATGTCTCAATCAGTCTACTCTAATTCCTTCGTTTCCGCGTGCGTGCTCTATGGTCCTCTCTAGGCCGTTCGGTGTCTAACCCTGCTCACTAGGCTCAATTCAAGACGCGGCTTTAAGGAAGAACTATCGGAATCATTCTCTTCTGGAGTCTCTTATCCCAGATTCGCCGGCGCGGACACTGCGGCGGAAAGCCGCGTTGACGGCGCTAAGGTGTGCAAATTGCCCTCGATCAATCCTTTCGTTCTTTTATTTAGTGCTCAACTTAGTCCACCCATGCCATTCCCCTCGAAACACGAACGAGCAACTCTACTCGCAACGACCTATTGGCTGACGGCCCGCCTTATCGTGAAGGAGTTATTCTGAAGGAGCCGTGACCCCGTCGAGCGTATGGCGTATAATCATAAAATTTTGGTACATGTGCACCGTTATACTCTCATTAATCCGCCCACGAAAGTCCCATGCTCTGCGAAATGCTGTATATAATTTACTTTTCTATCCATCGCTTTCTCGAAGCGTCATCGGATAGCGTTGCCTAACTGTTTCTTCCATGCTTTTCGCAGCCGCGAAGAAGTTCAATCGCCAATAAGCAGGCTTAAGCAGGGCATATTCGAGAGAAGGCCAGGGGTCGTCTTCGACGAAAGACGCCGAAATTCTTCCTGTCCCCCGACATATCGGAAAGGGGTCGAGCGGAGGCAGTAGGTGTTGGCAACATTGGCTTTGATTGCCATCATCTCGCCAAGTCGGCTTGACGCTCGCTTCAATCCGACCGCCTCACTCGCTACCGTCACCTAGCCGGGGGAGCCCCTTGCTCAGATGATCCGCGCAGGGGAACCCAGATCTCGAAAATAGGTATAAGTAAATCTTTTCTCCTCGTCGGACCCTTCTCTGAGTGCCTTCCCTTCCACCTCGACCAACCCACCCCCTGACGAGCAACGCACACGGTCGCTGGACGCGTTCGACACGAAGAGATGTCTGCTGCAACACCCCTCGTCCATGTCGATCTCACGGACAGCGTTGGGGCCCTCCAGATCGGGTCGCTCTTCTCGATATTCCTCTTCGGTATCGTGACGCTTCAGGCGTACATATACTATACGACGTTCCGCCAGGATCGGTGGGGGTATAAGACTCTCGTGAGTACTGACGCATCGTAGACTTCACCTTTCTCTAATTTATTTTGCTAGGTTGGTGCGGTGTGGTTATTGGAAATAGGACACACGATCGCCGTTAGCTATGAGGTCTATCGCGCGACCATCACCCTCTACGGAAAGCCTCAACTCCTGCTCACCTTCCCAGCTCTGAGTTCAGGAATCGCGATCGCAGGAGCCATAACAACATTGGTCCAAGTGCGGAATATTCTCTCCGAGCTTCTACCTTTCCCTAACCTCTCCTAGTGTTTCTTCGCTCTTCGTCTATTCCGAGTGCTTCCCAAGCCCTACGCGTACATCGGGATTTTCTGCATGTCCTTGTCGAGCATCCGCTTCGTAGGGAGCGTGTACCTGTCCTACCGTGCAGTGACGTCCAAGAGCGTGCAGGACTACCGTGAAAACAACTCGTGGCTCGTCACGACTCTGCTCAGCACCGGCGCCAGTATCGACGTGATTATCGCGGTTTCCATGTTGTACTACCTTTCGAAGAAGAGGAGCCAGGCCTTCGAACGGTGCGTATTAGATTGCCTGGTAATTGTCGCCGACTAATCGCGCTCGCTGTTAGAATTGCCACCGTCATTGATCGTCTTATTGCCTACACCGTCCGTGAGTTCTTCGTCGTCTCTTCCTTCTGAACGAGGCTAAAACTTTAATAGGCACTGGATTACTTACGAGGTAAATAATTCCTCGCTGCCACCCCAACTCTGGCTCACCTCTTGCAGTGTCGCGGCTGTTGTTTTGCTCATTTGTGTAAGTGCATTTCGTTCCGAGTTTCTCGATGCAAAACTCAGCTTTTCTTTTAGTACCAGGCCATGCCTAATAATCGTGCGTCTCTTCCTCTACCGTCAAGTTATTTGTCTCATTCTGTGTAGTCGTCTGGCTGGCTCTTTACACGTCTCTGGCAAAACGTGAGTCGGCTCGTACTCCGTTATTCCAGGAATCTCGCTGATCGCTCTGTTCAGTGTACTCCAACAGTCTCTTGGCGTCGTATGTGCCTGGTTGCTCGTCCAACTCTCGTCATTACTGACTCGTAACATCAGCCTCAACTCCCGACAAGAGCTGAGAGAGGCGTCAAGCACGTCCATGCCCTCGTTAGACCGTTTCTCGAGAGGAAGGTCCTCTCGGGGCGGCAATAATACCGCTCGCGTCGAGGTACGTCGCCGATTGCATCGCCGTCGAATAAATCATAACCGACTCTTCTTCATGTCCATTCAGCTTGCACCCCAAACGATATCAATCGAAATGAAGACCACGATGGAAACGACGCAAGATGATTCCTTCGATCAGGTAAGTACATCGTCCATACAATCCCCGTCTGATGGCTATGTTCTGATGCGCTCCCCTCGTCCGTCCGCCTTCCGGGCAGCATAAGACAGCGGTCGCATTTTCACCCACTTCTCCCTACCCCGGCGCCGGCGATAAGAAGATGTAATTATAAAACTACCCCCACTGGTGTACTTGTTCTCAGCGAGAGTATGATCTTACGATCTAATTTTAATTGTTGTAAATACCCTTGTACGCTTCGCGCACTCGGTAAACCCTCCAGGAACCAAGTTGAAGCTGACAGCCGAGGTGGGCGTCGGTAACCATGTGCTGCAAGGGACCCTCACACGCCACGCGTGGCGTCTTGCATCTGTGCAGCACAAAGTCATTGACGATACCATTCGCAGCCTTTCAGGAAGCTGAAGAGAAGATTTTTTGAATGCCACTCGGGCCTCCGCGTTTGTGGCGCAGCAACCCTGCTCACGACCATGCTGAGCAGCTGCTCTAAACTTGTGATCCCGTCGTGAAGATTTTGTTCCATATCGGCGATCGCCCAAATCCGCCTTTCAAAAATTGTTTGGGAAAAGCATGTACAGGGCATTCAAACGAATACGGTCTCCAGGTCTCCCATGCTGATGTTAATCTCCATTATAACGTGCGGACATACACTTCGAAGAAACACATGGGCCTTGGAGTGTCGAATTGCCTTCGACTATGCCTTATTTGGTCTGATAAGATAAGATCGAAAGACATCTCAATCGTTCCTGTTCCTGAGCCCGTTCGAACAGCTTGTTGAACTCCAACGACTATGTACTAGCGACGACGTCTAATGGATGGAATTGCTCTCGCTCGCTCAACCCAACGAACTCTTTTTCACCGAAAGTCCTTCCTCCCGCGAAGCGCGCATCTCCGCTTGAATAGAACAACCCTGAGGTCGTTGTGTAAATTGTGGGACCGTCTACGAGATCTGGCCTTCTGCTTTCTACGCAGTCCATCCGCTCTTACGGTGGACACAGTCTACTAAGGAATGGGTGCGTCAGCTTCTCTTTCACCATCAGCGCAACAGCCATTCTGACCTTCTGCGAAGACGCCGCAGCACATTCGCACTACGAGTCAAGAAGCACAGTATCCGACTCTGGAATCTCGAGCCAAGCGGAAGCACGAGCGGGGTACTCCTTGGAGCGTTCTCTTTCAACTTCGTCGCACATAGAGCGTGCTCGGATGCGCACCCACGACGCTTTGAGTGTACCGAATCCTGTGGAGGCCGGAAATGGGGAGCCAGATCATGGTACGTGTTGTCCCACTCCTGTCAGTAATCCACTTCTCAGCTCCGTATTCCTGGAGCTCCAGACTCCAGAAGTTTGTTCTTACATCTCAAAGGTCTCGTTCAGTAACGCCAACTCGCCGACCACGGTCTCTCTCCTCGAGGAAGGACAACGCCCAACGTCTGATGTGCACCTCCAAGCTGAACTTCAGCAAGTGCGAGACAACCTCTCAGCCGCGACGACAGGCTGGACGATCGACTAGGAAGCTATTAGGAAGCTGCCGAGCCAGTTGCTCGAGACGAGATGCCAGGCTCTGCGTGACACACCAAACTAGCATAAGCAGACCTGCGCCAGGGCAAACATCTGCTACTTCTCCCTAACAAGGAGCTCCAAGAGGAAGTAAATGAAAAGAGCAAGGGGTGGACCGCCTGCGAGCTGAGAGAAAGCGGACAGGTGTCAGGCAGCCGAATCAGGTCCAGGAGCTGCAGGAGCATATTTCTCGTACGTCTACGTCAGCCTATTTCCAAGTACGCAGCTCTGACCAGAATCTTCTTAGCACTTGTCGAACATGCAGTCCTCCCCGAGCGCGAGCTTGCCCGAGTCTACTTCGGCATCGAGCAAATCAATGGTCGCTTCCTTTCGATCCTCCATGAGCACTCTATTTCCCGCATGCTGCCGCACAAGAAACTCGAAGCAGGCGAGCACGACTTGTGGGACGTCCGGCTTGCCGTCAAAGCTTCACTTGACAAGGGCGAAGATCATGTCGATTCGATATAGGATCAGCTTGATTTTCATGAGGAAGAGATCTTCGTGGGGTGTCCTCTGTGCTATGGTGAACATTGTTGGGCGGTTGACTGCGACATTTCTTGACGGTAGTATTCTCGCTGTTCGTGTATTCACGATTTTTGCCGCGTCGAGATTCGATAACCACCTCAGCATCACATATGAAGGAACGCACGATTTCATGAACGATATTCTCTGTGGATGGACACAGGTGTGGCCTGCAATTGGAATTGATAAGATATGATCGAGGTGGAGAGATAATTAAATTTACAAGCTTACTGTGCGTCTCTGGCTGCTTCAGGCTCCTCTCTCCCTAAACCCAAACGTAACACTTGGAACTCAATTACGACTGGCGACAGAGTCCTTGCATCCTTGAGAATAGCGGTCTCTCCCTCACTTCCCAAACCAAAAACCCTTTTTCCCTACAAGACTAAATGCCGTCATCTCCGCTTCCGGAGTGCGACCCTGCGACCAATGTGAGCTTCGACGTCTTCACCGAGCTCGGATTTCTCTTCCACCTTCCAGGCACGCAATACGAGGCTTCTCTTAAGGGATGGGTGTGTTCTCTTTTTCTTCACTTCCAGCATCTCATTCGTTCTCACCCAAGGTTGCCTAGATCCATCCTATTCGAAATCTCGAGATACACCATCCGATACCGTGCCGCCTAAAGCCAAGCGGAAGCACGAGCGCGGAGCGACATGGAACATTCGCTTTCAAGCTTCATTGCACACAGTGCCTCCTCAACCGACATTGCCTGCGAATACATATGGCGGTTTGGGTGCGCTGAGTCGGGTGGAAGATGTGAATGGCACGCCCGGAGCTCAGAGTGCGTTTCGCCCCCCTCGCGATTCTCCGTCATCATGTATCTCATCTATTCTTCCAGCTCAAGATTCCAGATCGCTATTTTTGCACCTCAAAGTTCTCGTCCAGCACTGTCAACTCGTGGCCGACCAAGGTCTTTCTCGCCTGCAGGAGGAGCAACGATCCACATCCCATCTACGTCTCCAGGCAGAGCTCCAGCGTGTCCAAGACGACCTGTCTGCGGCGATGAAGGGATGGGCGGCCGATAAGCAGGCGATCATGAAGTTTCAGGGCGAACTGCTGGAAGCACGATGCCTGGCCCAACACGAAAGTCAGCAATCGATGGACTTGAAGAAGCTCCTCGAAGCCCAGCAGTCAGAACTTTGCGAGCGCGTTGAGCAGCACGCGAAGGAGGTCGAACGTGGGGTTGCGCTACAGGAGCAGCTGAAGACGGCGCAGATCGCTGTTGCGGAGATGGAGATACACTTGTCGGAGGCTCGTCGGGAAGCTGAGCGGGATCAAGTGTCGTTGAGCTCTCTTCGAAAGGAACTTACTCGGAGCGAAGCCGCCCACGAGGAAACCTCGAACAACCTGAAGTTCCTATATCGAAACTCTTTGGCCGACTCCATTCAGAACACCGCGCTGCGGAAGACAGTCGAAAGTCGGGCCATGGAGCTGGAGCATCTGCAAAATGTTCAAGGGCAAGAGCAGACGCAGAATAAGGCAAGGGTGGTGCAGCTGCAGAAGGATCTGGATGCGCTCAAAGCAGTCGAGAGCGAGAGCAAGCGGAAGTATGCGAAGAGGAGGAAACAGGTCTTGCAATTGCAGAAAACCCAAAAAGCCTTCGAGCAACGCATCTCTGGTGAACTTGCGTGTCTGTCCCCGTTGTCATCTACGGTGCTGACGAAAGTTCCTTTCCTCCCTTTCAGAACTCGAGCAACGAGCCGTCGTGTCCGAGCGCCAGCTAACCATGTTCCACTTCGGTATCAACCTCCTCCACAGCTACTTGCTCATCTTCCTCAAAGAGCAGGAGACACCCCGCATACCGCCTAACAAGAAACGCAAGCGAGGCGAGCACGATCTGTGGGACGTCCAGGTGGCGGTCAAGGCCCTGCTCGATAAGTGCGAGGACCATGTCAACTCGATACGCGACCAGTTCGACTTTTACGAGGAAGAGGATTTGGTGGGGACATGTCCGATGTGTCATGAAGAGCATGGCTAAGAGGAGAGGGAAGGGGTTTTTTGGGGGGGATTTACGTCGGTATTTGAGCTTCTCTCGCTTCGGAGTCACGATTTGTTGATAAGACGGCGTATAGTCATCCATGCATGGGCCTCGGAAACGGCACTCTACGATGCATCCCTTCGTCGGACTGCGTCCCAATCTTGGGTCATCCTACGACCTTTGAAGTCCTCTAGCACGTCAATCGATGGCGTTTGTCGCCCATTCCGTGCGCAGGCGCCATTACCTCGCCGTCGTATCCCCCAGCTCTATCGACGCTCGTCAATTCACCCCACAACGAAGACTTACATCTGCTAGTCATGCTCGTCAACAGACGATGAAAAACAATTCTCGCGCTCGGAGGCGTACTTCAAGGAAGTTTCGAAGCGGTATCTATACAGAACCATCTCTGCGTTCGACGAGAAGCAAGTAGTTGGAGCGGCTTAGAAGGCCCACCACTGCATCTCCGGCACATAAAATCCTCTTCCTCGTCACTCCTCGCAACGCCCTCTCTCCTCAAAAACTTTTTTGGCTATTCGGACAAATCCATACCCCCGCAATCGCCGCGCCGAGGCTGCACATGCTTTCCTAGGCTCTCCTTCGCTACCCACGAGCAGGGCGTTCAGATAGTACCCAGCGGGCGAAGTTACAAGAGAGAAAGACGCTAACATCCCCACTACTTATGTGAAAGGGATATCGATAAGAAAACGGCAAATTTGAATACAATTTATTCCCTTGTCGGGGTTTTCTCGAAAGGCCCAACGTGTGGAGTGGTCGCCCACAACTCCTTGTCTATTTCCGACATTGGCTTCCGCATCCCCAGCTGGTCTTTCTTGTCTGACTGTATCGTTTTGTTGATATACCTAATCAAAAGTAGAACCCGGAAGGACTAGAGAAGAAGACACGACGCACGTAAATGAACCTTGAGGAAGCTCTTGGCTGAAGGATACAATATTGAGGGAAGGGACAGCCATCGTCGCAGACCTCTCATTATTTTTTGCGTCCCTAATGCTCGCAGCAGTCATCGGGACGCCCATTATCTGCGCGATTACACCCTGGCACCAGAACATGATGACAATAATTGGGTTGACGAGACGGCCACGGTCTTCTACCTGATACCGACACATGTCCTTCCATAGTTGCACACAATACTCGTACGAGGGAACCGTGGCTTTTTCAGCGTCGTTCCGCGGGGTACGATCGACGATGTGCGAGACTTGAAACATCCCCATCTCGGAGGGCTGGGCCTGGGACGAGCGTGCTGCGGTGCATGGAGCGAAGTAGGAAACGACTTCGCCAATGCACATTTTATCCAAGTTCGGGACGCCATCTGCATAAATGTAATCGTAGAACGTCCTCGTAACTTGCTCTTGGAAGAGTTGCAGCAAGGTTGGGTTCTTCCAGAAGCGCGCGAGGATCTTGGTAACCAAAGGCCTGTCGTCGGTCCCCGGGATGCCGCAGTCGGGTTTATGGGTAGACCTAAGATTTCGTTGGCGTATTTTAGTAAGATGTTCAAGTATGAACAAAAGATCGCGACCGGCACCATCCATCTCACCAATGAGCTTTTTGGCACTGGTTAGCACAAGAGCATCGTCGTGAACTGAGGCCCACAATTGTGAGATTCCGAAACAACGGACCTCTCTGGAGCAATAAATTGCCACTTTACACTACAGACAATTTGTCAGGACTTCAATTTTTATTGCAGAACTTCAATCGCTCACCCTCGCGCACTTCATAGGGGTAAAATGCGTATCATGGGTGCTCTGTTGACAGAAAAGACAGGTGAGGCCTTTTCTGAGCGTCTTGGTTCCACTCATATCCCCTATCTTCGACGGATAGTATAGATTTCAGCAGGTGGATTGGAGCTGAAGCTGAAGCTTGAATGAGAGGAGCTGAGAAGCTTGCTCCGGGCCGTCACACGGTGATGTCAGGTGTGGCATGTCACACTCCGATTTCATCGGATTCTAACCACAACGGCCAGATTCCTTCATCATTATCATCATGCTTGTAAAACGCTATGGAGAATCGCTCTCTGGCGCCTCCTGGACGCTCTGATACCCACACTGACCTGATCGACATGGAAGATGGGCCGATACCCTGGAGTGGTCCGGGACATGAAGTTCGATAGCCTGCGTGTCGACGGCATCCGATCGCTGGTGGGTTTATTCGAATTCATGTTCCGTCTAGTCGCTGTCTTTAAGAGTTAAAATGACCGAAAAGGGGAAGCACATTGGCTGGTTCTGGATACCCGCTGAGCTTTTCGACATGGAAAAGGCGTACGTGGGCGGGCATCGATCCAACTACCTGACGGGCTCGACCGCAAACCTGCTGAAGGACACAGACACCGTCTGTCTATACTCTATCTCACTAGAGACAACGCTGGCCATCTTCTACACCCAGAACAGTCGCTTTTGTTCAGATTCGTGGCCAGTCCAACGTGACACGGCCAGAGACGAAGACCTAATCAATCCTGCACGCCTAAAGCCCAGCATGCACTCCTTCCAAGACCTCCTAGAATGTGACTTGCACATCCCCTACCACTTCGTCATCGCAAATATCGGCCAGAAGCTCTATCAACTGTACGGTACGGGCGCGATCGACTTCGAGCGCGACTTTCCTTCCCTCTGGAAGGAGTATGACGGAAATCATGGCGATGGTGCCTCCCATCTACCTGGCATGGATGAACGCGCAGCCCGACCAGGCATGGCTCGATGGGGACGGGATGGTGGATGAGGAGGGTGGAGGTGGAGGTGGAGGTGGAGGTGGCGGCGACGTTATGTGTCCGACATGGTTGTCTGGGGGTCGGATGTCAGTATTTGGGCCTCCCTTTCCTTGGAGTTGCGATCTTGTTAATAAAAATTGCATGTAGTTGTCTACGGATTCCACGAATGCGACTTCTATTTTATTCTTTTCCGATGCCAATTTGGCCAGCACCTTCGGGCCGTCTACCAATCCCCTTCGTCAACGATCCCGTGCAACAATGGCGTTGCTTCGCAATCGTATGAATCAGCCCACTCATTGTCAAACCGTCAGCTCTCCGTTGAAACACGTCCTCGCCGATTTGCATCGTAACCGGAATCCGCCTTGGGCGATACATTCATCCCTTCTTGGCTCGCCTGCAGAAGTCCGACTTATCATAAGGAGAAGAAGCTCGCCGTTCTCTCCTCTCAACGCACCATTCGCAGTACAGGCTTCTCGACGCTGATTCAGGGGCCATGACCGCAAGCGTGATAATTAGCAAGACGCGTCGTAGCGACGCGTACATCACGTGATCGCATTATGTCGCGAGATGTCGCCATATGCTCATCATCTTGGCTCTTATTCACCATGTACAGTTTTGAGCGATGCTGTTCTTCGCTGGCGCTCTTTTCCTCAAGGTTGCACTATCTTTACGCTCTACCCCTAGGTTAAGACGCTCGCCATGAACACCCTACCCCCCGAATTACACGCCTACATCTGCGAATTCGCCTGCACCGATGATGGAGAAACCATTCGCGCCCTCCGCAGCGTCTCGAGATATTTCCAGGAGGTCGCGAAGCCCTATCTTTATAGGACCGTCTCTGCGTCCGACGAGAAGCAGGTTACTGGGTTGTTGGAGCGCCTCGAGAGCACCCCACCCCATCTGCGCTACATAAAAAACCTTTTCCTCGCCAGTCCCGACGTCCTGCATCCATCAAATGCAGTCGACCCGCAAAAACTCATGCGAATCATCACACTTGCTGCCCCGACTCTCCAAACGCTTTCTTTCGTCGTCCACACCCACCTCGCGAGCACATCACTAATCGCGCGGCTCTTTCGCACTTCTTTTCCCCACCTCCGCGCCCTGATCGTGTCCGGATTCTACCCTTTCCCATCCTCAGTCGGCAAGTTCCCCCGCCTGCAAAGCCTCCACCTCCTCGGGAACAGGAACCCGCATGGGCTCTTCCAAATGTCAACGCTCGAAGATGCGTGCCCCGCTTTGACCCATCTTCGAATATCCGGCCTTGGCGCGGCGGGGCTATTCGTGTACGAGCTTGAAGAAGCTTTGCGCTCAGAAGTTCCAGGGGAAGACGATGAATGTGTGATTCCGTCGAGGGTGCCGCCCAGCGTCAAGCGGATTACGGTGCAGGCGGGTCCGGAGCCTGCTGTCGATGGCGGTAGTAGGGCGACGAACACGACGATATTGAAGGATATGGTTATGGTCGCTCAGTTGGAGATGTTGAAGACGAGGAAGGTGGAGGAAGGGAGTGGAGTGCGGCTGACAGTGCTGGATAGGGCATTGGCGCCTATTTCTGTTGAAGCTCTACGGACAGACTGGTTAGATACTCTTGCATAGAATGGACGATCGTTATATTTATCTCATGGCCTAGATACTTCTAACTGCATAACGGTGTTTAAACTTTACCTTCATCTTCTAATATCTTGAGTAACTTTGGAGCATCTCTCTGCGTTTGTCATTTCGCTCGGGCCGGTACTCCGTAAGGTCAATGGCCTCAAATCCAAACACCTGCAATCAACGACCACTCTTTCTCCAGGCCAACCTCCTCGTCGACCACAGCGTGCCCAAGCCAATGGACCTCAGCCCCAAACCCCCATCTGACCAGACTCCACCTCCACCACCACCAGCACAAACCCACACCGGGTCGCCAACGGACTTCCTCAAGGGCGTCGTCGGGAAACACGTAATCGTGAGGTTGACTTCTGGGGTTGACTATCGAGGTGCGTTCTTCTGTTCAACTCGACGGATCAGGGATATCGACGAAATAAAATCTTTTTTTCTTCAGGAATATTGTCATGTCTTGACGGATTCATGAACATCGCGCTCGAGCAGACGGAGGAGCATGTGAATGGGATCGTGACGAATCGATACGGGGACGCGTTCATCAGAGGGAATAATGGTGCGTCTTGCCTTTCTCCCAGATTTTTCGGAGCTCGAGCTGATTTCGTGATCTTGTAGTACTATATATCTCCGCTGCAGAACCAATATGATGCTCGCGACACTGTATAAAATCATTGCAATCGATGGTTTTCGCGCCGTGAACCTTTATCATCGGCGAAGATTTCTTCAGACATCCACGAAACACTTCAAGAGAATCTTATGTGGACATAACGTTCTGGTTTCCTCGACTCCGTCGCCGGCTCCTGACGGTTCTCGGATTCCACAGCTGCACGGTGTGCTGCCCACGTTCCTAGGACACTTGATTTCACGTTTTCTTACCCAGGCCTCTGTTAGCTCTCCCTCAGGCGCGAGCCCATTATCGACGTTGATACCGGTGTCAAATACAGGAGAGTCCCTAAAGGGCATCACCTCCCGGAAACCAGCTCTGACGTTGACGAGCCAACTTCGTTATCGCACATACAACTCTGGCCTACAGTATTCAAGTGCTGCTCTCCCGGAGGATCCAAGTTCCGATTTCCTGCATTCACGAAGATATCGACTCGATTTCAAACACAAGAACGATATCGCCTTTCTTTAAGGAGGTCAAATGACACGATCGTCGCCCTCGCGCTCTTCGTTCATACTCTCAGATCTTTCTCAGAGGTCCTCGATGGGATATTCTTCAAAGCCGGCATCACCCTTGGCACCGACAACGCAGTTTATGATTCATGTCTCTCGCTTTGCCCTCGCCACGAGCTCAAGCCGCGTCAGATACAATACAGCTGGAATCGACTGTTTCGTCCTGGATCTGAAGGTGTGGCTCCTCTATAGATCTCCTTCTACAGGTTAGCAGTCTGGCGCCGGAGATTCTGCAAATTCTAATTTTTCTGCTGCTCATCCGATTGAGTTCGAAATCATTCGCAGATATCTTTCCAAGTGGGCAATTTCAAGTTCGCTCGTCTGTCTTACATGCGCATGGCCAGTCGCCGACGTGGACCCTTCTTGAAGATCTTGACAACCACACCTTGGAAAACGTCATCGAAATCCTGATTTTTCAAACGCTATATCTGCGGCAAGTTCTCTATTATTTAGGTGCTATCCCGCGTACTCGCGCTTATAGCCGACCTGCGCTCTCCGGAATTTCTTATCTATGCCAGCCGAACCTCCGGACAACCCAGGCGGAAATTTGCTAAGTTCTCTTTACATTTCGCATGTACTGAAGGCGCTGATTTACTCTCTAATACATAATGTACCCCTTGTCCAACGCATAAGTTCGTTGAGCTGATGCCGGCTTTCGCGATTACCATGGTCTACCAGCGTTGTGAAAGGTCCCCAAATTTACCTCCTAGTCCCAGCCTGGTCCGGGCGTCGCCTTCTCAAGCTCTGTGTCCCTGAGCGCTCTACCATCTCGAATCACGGGGGGCATCGAGGAATTTTTTGGGCACAAAATTTGCAATGAACGCTGTTGAACCCGTTAGGTATTCCGTATCGTTTTTCTCCTGGAAAATTCATCACGAAAACAGGTTCAACGGTGGGAAGTAAATCCCACCACCGCTTACCAGTGAGGCCGATTTCAAAATTTATTGAATGTTTCGGGCAGGAGAAGGAGATTAAATGTTTTCTGCGCGTTTTTCCCTTTGTCTCCAGGTCAAAAACGCTTTGCTCTACATAAAGTGGTTGCCTCGAGGCGGAAAAAAAGTGTCCAGTGTTTGTAAGTGGCTCTTTGTGTCTCAAATCCACTGGTAAATTTCTTAAGTGTCTTTCAGATGCCTCCGCCTCCATAATTGCACCATTCTATTTAACATGTTCATTTAGGGTTTGGAGACATTTTTACCACAGAAATTTAACCTATGCGCGGTGTAAATGCATAGAACTTCGTGCCGTATCGATATCATCTGACTGTGTTCACGTGAGGCGAAACTGTGGCCCCGCTCAGGCTTCCGGATTTGGCTTGTTGCGTCCCTAATACGGACATTGCGCCGAACGCCAAGCAACCCATCGTTTGTGTTGACTATGGACAATGGATGGCCCGCCTCTCGATTGTTTTCCTGGGGCCACTCGGTGGCAATATTTGGTCTACTTAAGCCGGGCCATCGAGCTCGTCTTTTCTCTATCCCCCCGTCACCGTATCCAAGATGCCCACCCCGAATAGTCCCAACGGCTCTCTAGACGAAAGTTCTGCAACAGACCCCTACATGCCCGCCATCGTAACGTGTCTCGGTGAGTATTTATATGGTCTATATTCGCACGTCCTACTAATACAGCCCTCCTCCAGCGCGTTCAGACCCATTCCGAAGAGCTCAAACCAATCTCGGACAACTTGCGAGGAGCAACAGTGCTCCGACAGAAGACGAGACTGGCCAAATCGAGAACCTTTTCTCTGACTGCAATGCCGCCACAGCTGCACTCGACGCCCAGGAGACATCCATCAAGACCCAAATTGCCTGGCTCCAAAAGCAACTCGCGCGCGTCGAGTCCAGCCGTGGACGCATCGCCTCGATGCGTGCCAAAGCCACCGTCCTCCAATCCGCCGTCCGCCGACTCCCTTCAGAGGTCCTGGAGCATGTGTTCATCTACTATGTGCAGTCGAGTGACGCGTCGGCGCGGAATAGCTCCTGCATGAAGCTTTGCCAGGTGTCCAGCCGCTGGCGACAAGTCGCCCGCTCTTGTCTATTTTTATGGACAGAGCTTCAGATTTTTATGAGGCATAAGCCTGAGAACGTGGAGGGTATGACTCGGTGGTTCTTCTCTGCCTCTCGGGGGCTTCCCCTCACCCTTACGTTGGAGCGGCTCTCCGGCCCTCCGCCAACGTCGTTCCCATCTATTAACATGTTCGTTATCCCAGCTTTTCAGCCCTGGAGGACGATCAAAAACCTTTCTATTCATGCCCTTTGCATAATGGAAATCGCACATGAATTTAGAAGGCTTGGAGTCGTCGCCGAAGATGTTGAGACTTTATGCATACGTCTTTCAGGCGCTGACGGTGACGAGGATTTCCAACCGGCGCCGATGCCAAACCTGCGAAAGGCGGTCCTTACCATGGTGGACCGAGGGACGAGGATTCAATATCTCCCCCTCGTCCGTTTCTACGGCGACTTTCCCTGGGCGCAGTTGACGCACTTCAGTACTCGCACCGCGAAGGTGTCGCCGGAGGACATGCTGAACGTTCTCTCTTACTGTCCAAATCTACAAGACGCGACCTTCGTCCTCTATGAGCATGCGTTATGGGTGGAACCCGAGCCGGTCGACCTTCCGAATCTGCAGAGCTTCAAGTTAATCTTTATTCATGGCGCATCCACGAATGTGCTATCGTACCTCTCCATGCCCGCACTCAAGGCCTTCGCCGTCGCCACACACAACAATGGCTGGGTCAAGTGGGATTCCGATGCCTTACAATCATTCCACCTACCTTCGCTTGAGTCCCTCACTTTCTACGGTATCAAGATCTCGCTGAATGTCTTCATGTCATTTGTGCATCCCTCGCGCAAGTTAACGAGGCTCATACTCGAGAACACCTTCCACTCTTCAGCGTTTATGGAAATGCTTTGCATGCCGCCCATTGATCAACTGGATGCATTGGCTGTCCCACTCCCCGTTCTCACTCACTTGACCATCTACCAACGGCTGGCCAGGATCGAAAAAGTCACCCCACACTGGTCTACCAAGAAAGTTGTGCGGATGATTAATAGTAGGATCGAAAACTACGAGGGCGTCGATGGTGTCGCTGCACTCCAGAGCTTTACGTTCATCCCAACGAGGAGCAGTGTTAGTTCGGCATTCGGAAAGGCAGCGGCTACGCTAGCTCATAGATCCAGAGAAGTCGGCTTCAATATGAGGGTACAGTGGGCGTACGGGGAGGAAGGGTACTATCTCAGCATGGACGAGGAGTGGTGAAGAACAAATGAGTAGCCCAGAAGGAAAGGAAGAAATGCATATGTACAAAGTGCCACGATAAACTGATATGTGACCTGGAATACGAGGACCCAAAATTTGGTGCCCCAGGACACCAAGTTTTCTCCCACAGCTCTGTTGGGGCGCCTTTAAGGGCGCACGAGCGACTTATCGTACAACTACAACGATGGACGGTCCTTATCTACATAAACCAATGGAAATGAGAGTATCTTAAGATGAACGAGCTTTCAATGTAAAATAGAGCCTATTTTCGTGATCAATCCCGGCCATTCGATGAAATGAATCGGATGACTCACGCGACTCGATAGATGATGGTGATACAAATGACAATTGCCGCCCATCTTCCGTAGGATATCCCTCCAATCTCGAGGTAGTCGAGGATGTCCTCCCCAGAGACGGTGCATGACGCCGGCGTAGACGTAGGGTAGGCGCAAACGCATTCGCCATTCATGACGGTGTTGCATTTAAAGGTCAGACCACGAAGGTCGGACTAAGACATGGAGATGAGATAACAGGAAAGCGGCAGTGGTGGCAGGGAGTCTTACGTTCGTCAGAAGCTCGAAAGCATATTTTTGATAGTCCATAAAGTGGAAACTAAAGAACCAAAACCGAGGCAGCGACCGTGCTTTGATGCTATACAGCGATAAGAGGAATCAGAGACCGTCAAAATGGACCAGAGCAAGCGAGAGGTCTCACAAATATCCACCGACGCTCATCCAAAAGCCGTTCAAACTAGAGCACCATCGACCCAAGGTCTTAGTGGCCGAACAACTTCGAGCAAAAGGGGACTTACAAGGCACTGATTGCGAGAGCAGCGACGAATATGGGAAGCAGAGAAGCCACAATCAAAGCCTGGCTCTCAGCAGCGAGGATAGCGAGGAACAAGAACGACAAGAAGCGGAAGAAGGGCACAGCACCAGAGTGTAATCCCTACCAAACAACGATCAGCAAAATGACAGGATGTGTCTAAGAGAAGTGCACTTACGATGGCCCAGTAGCAGATAACGGTAAAGAAGACGGTGCACATGAATAGGAATGGAATGTTTACGAGAGTATTCGAGAGAACAAAAGGAAGCGTCGTATAAAGTCCATTCTTCGTTTCGCGGTAATAAACAGACCGTTCTTCCAAAACTATGGATTGAAATCAGTACACAAGTTTACTGAAAGGAGATACAAAGACAGGAGGAAGGCAAGCTTACATGCCGGAATACCTGCCACTGACATCTACGAAATGCACGCATTAATGAAGTTTATGGAGCCAAGATCTTTCAGCTTACGAAGGCAAGGAACGCCACACTGTAGAAATGGACGGACAGTCGATCATTGATTGTTGAATCTTCTGTTCCAAGACGGATCCAAATGGTGCTATACCCAAAGGAAAAGTTGGCATATCCAATCTAACGCTCGAGATATAAAATCACGCACGCGAGCATGAAGCCCATGCCTATACGTGACACAAGAGAGGACACGAGGACAGTGCGTGAGCAATGGTCTAGCGGCGCCACAGGTAAACGATGCTTACCTCCGTACATGCCAGCCCGAACGCCATACGCTAGGAGATTACGGGAGTAGTTCAGCGCTGTACGTTCCGCGAGCACGAGGGTGTTCCAGATTAGCGTCCCCATCACACCCGCCTTTCCGTGCAGAGTTGAACCATCATCTATCAGTGGTTGTGTCACAATGAGTTTCTTTTCGTCGCAAGTTGTAGGCCGCTCCGTGGTCGAGAGAGAAAGATAGAAATTTCTGAATTCGCGTATCGTGTCTGACGAGCCCACCCGATGTTCGAAATCACTATTCAGGAAGTTCATGGCATGGTCTGAAGGCGTCGTCTTGCCCCAAAGTATAAGAATCTCGGAATAGCGCTGAAATGGCTGGATTTATGATACTCACAAAGCGTCCCACGGGTCTACCCCACTTCTCAAAGAACCCTTCCAGCTCGTCTACTCCGCCGAAGTAGCACATCTTGCCCTCCGCGAGAAACATCAATTTGGTAAATTGTGATAGTGTTTCAAGAGGTGGTTGGTGGATCGAGGCAATGACGATTATGCCCTCCGCCTTAGCCAAAGAACTAATAGCGGACACAACCTCTCGGGCAGAGGTGCTGTCGAGCTTCAGAAGCACATTTGAGAGAGCAAATCGCGGGAAAAGAACGCCGCTGGCTTACCCCCGACGTTACTTCATCCAGATATAAGATCCGACTATCAAGCGCAATGAGTGACTAGGACACAGAAGTGCGCACAAGGGGGCTACTTACGGGTATGTAACCATAGCACAAGCGGCCGTAACTCGTCGCTTTTGACCTTCAGAATGATTCAATATCCGGGCCGATCTACAGGCAGCAATTCGTGTACGTACCACCTGAGATCCCTCGCTGAATGGGCGTGCCAATGCGTTGGTTTGCGCACGATTGTAGCCCTAGGGCTTTGATCACTCGATCGACACGTTCGTTGACCTGCTTTCTCGGAAGATTTGGGAGGCTTTCCAGGGTTTAATTAGCTATTAAATGCTGAGCGAGAGGCCAAAAGACAACTTACTGGAGGCGGAGAGCATAAGATATTGATTCCCAGACGGTGAGGACACCCAGTAGAGCATCCTCTTGTTCCACGAAGCTCGATATCTTGTGCATCGTACCCGCATCCAATACCTGACCATTCAATACAGCCTAGGTAATCAGTGTCATTCAGACTGTCCAGCCGCGGCGATATAGAGGCCACTAACCAACCCTCCCGCGATGCTCGTCTTTCGAAAGGACATTAAATCAAGAAGAGTGCTCTTCCCTATACAGAAATATAGGTCCAGGAGCTCAGCAGATTACTAAGGGTAACGAACCCGACCCGGATGGTCCCTGATAGATGCTTCGAATGAGCTTCATAAATGAACAGCAAGAGAAAATATACCATGATAGCCAGTAACTCGCCAGGGCGGACATCTACGGACACTTCGTCCACTAGCAACTTGCTGCCTTCCTTTGTCTTTACGGAATATCCAAGATGCGAGAAGGAGAGGACCGAGCTTGAGACGTTAACCACGTCGGATGAGGTAGATGTCGACATTTTCCGAGGCATTGCTGTAAAATGGGAAGGAGGATACAAAAAATGAGCAAGTCCGACCACGAGGGAAGAGAGAGGGAAAGAGGGGAAACGGGCGCCACAAACCCACCGCCTTATCATGGCGGTCTTTGTATTTACCCCACCTATGTTTAATGCCCCATGCGCATAATCCATTCCCTCTGTAGCATATCAGTAAAGTCTCGTATCAGCTGTCTGCCTTGCACGGCCTAGAGTGCTGCTAGCGGCAGTCCGGTGTGACAGCCAGAGGCAACACCCTCGGATCACTGACGGCATACGGCTGTCCATCCTCGTCGCCCCATTGGTCTGTCGTCCTCTAAAATTGAACTTCCATCGGATCGGGAGCCTCCAAATGAAATGTGGGGGAGGAAGGGCGTTCTCAGAGCGGCTTATGTGCTGGGCCCTTGACACGACGTGGGCGTCCACTGAGGGCGCTGGGCCCAACTGACCATACGGGCAGCGTCATTATCACCCTCATCATCAGCATGTCATCGGGGTTGGCAGAACATCACAATGCGAGGCAGATATAGGTGACCCAAGAGGCTGCGGTGATCACGAAAGGCGTTCCCCAGACAGACAGTTTGTCTCTGAACAGTGGAGAATTAGTTAGTAAACCCGGAAAGGGATCCTAATCGTTCGCGGTACCCGGATGGCATGGAAGCACCTGGCAGGGTTCGCCGTCTGGCGTCCGGATGTACCCATTCGCCAGTTGAACCTCCTTGGGGTGAAACTGCCTGACCAAAATACTCCGCAACGCACGTCCCTAACCCGATGTTAGTTAGTGTTTCGGTCAGGTTGAAAACACGGCTTACGCCACAGCGTCCGCAGTGCCGAGGACACACCCGCATCCATGTACAATTCAATCGAACCTGAATTTGAAGCATACAATCAAGTTCGAACGGCGTCCATAAGACGAGGCGGCTCCGCGAAGCACGGCGCCCAAAATGAAAACATACACAAACTGATCATCCTAACAGTACCGAGAACAACAGAAGAGCTGTTCCCGCATCGGGTGCCGTCGAAAGAAGAAGGGCATGCAGGATCTGGCATCTTGCCGACGGGCTGGTCATAGCCTAAACCTATGATGTAGATGCTTCTGTTTAGTCAACGTTCTGGGGTCTGTGAGAGACATGAGCTCGCACCTTCCTGACCTATTTAAACCACAATAGTTCCTCACTTGACGTATTGGCCAGCCATTTGACATGAGACTTTCATTGCGAGGCTGGGAATGCTGATCCACTACGTCCCAGCCTTGGTTTGATTTTTCTTAGAGCATTCTCGGAGTTCCTGACGTCAAACGATTCTGGATTAGCCTTCGCGCTCGTCGGCGGCGATAAAACGACCATCCTTGCAGTCCTGAAGACCGCTAGAGACGCCGGACACGCTACAATTTCTGGGTGTCAACATAGCTCAGTTTCGAGCGGCCTCGATTGTCGAGAGTTAGGTTATGCGCGTGGCTGCCGCGATGTGTTGCAAACATCAAAGATGACGACGTAAAGAGCAAGCCATATGCTGATATCCGTGAACGTCCTATGTATAGCCTGGGATTAGGCCGTGTTCGGAAACTGTTCGAAAAGGATCGATCGTACCTTGAGGTAGACGAACAGAGAGAAATGAAAGAAGTCTGACGGGCAAGGGTGAGGCAACAGGCATCTTTGTGATATCCATTCACAGAGCGTTCTAGCTCACACCTTGTACTGTTGGTGCTGAAACATCGAAAGAAGAAATCAGATATCATCGAGCGGGTATCTGTTCGAGTCATCAATCACATCTATTAAGACTCAAGTGTCGAAAAAGAGGCACATACACCCAAGAAATAGGTTCTGGCCCAGCGACCTCGGCTCTGCGCACTTTAGTGACCCGGGGTAATGATAGGCAAATGGGCCAAGAAACGGCGGCGTACACACGACAGGCGGCTCCTTAAGAGGTTATCGAGTGGCCGGCCAGCGGGTGGCAAGACGCTGATCGGCGATGCCTGGTCGACAGCCGTCTGCAACATGATCCCTTCGAGGGCAGAGATCGCAAATAATGCAAAGATCGCTGAATCCATAGAGGGGGCCCTACATACAGCGATCCCAGTTCTGCGAAATCAAGAGTGTTTAGATCAGGCACGAATGGCATTGAAACGAGGACCAAGGACCGTAGAAGGCGACCTACCCCATTCAAAGCATCCTATAGGTCGCGCATATATACGCAAGTCTGGCCATCTTCAATCTGGTAAGACTTTGGGGGGTTCGATTCTATCTTCTGAGCTGGAAAGAATGGTCGAATCAGCGTCAAGAGCAAGGCGCATGAGACGGGGTAAAGGTTGACACAAGGAAGAGCTCAAAGACTTTTCCTCTTCTTGTGCGTCGCACCCAGGTCCTCGAGATGCAAGCTCTACGATTCAGTGGGAATTTATTTTGCATTGTGATTTACAGTGCGCATTTGTGGAGGTTCAACGAGCGAATTTTCTTCCCTTGCCTGTTGCAGAAGCTTGTCCAGCCCGGCCTCCTTCACAGCTCCCTACAGAGAGAAAATGCAACGCGTCAATGTCTCCAGTGTCTGTCTTCATGACTGACTAGACGTACCTGAACACACGACTTGTACTCCTCCCACACCTTCCCACATTTCTCCTGGAACTCATCCGCCTTTTTCTTCGAATACGCCGCACGTGCCTCTGGCAAGTTTGATGCAGCAACTGCAGGCTCCAAATAGCCTTCAAACCACGAATTGAAGCACGAATCGTAGTTTTGCTTGAGAGGCGTGCATTTCGGAGAAAGACTCTGCGACATGAGGGTACGAGTGCAAGTTTGGACATCGGCCGGCACCAGCGACACAATCACCGGAAGCTTTCCCAGCGGCTCAATTCGTTTCGTTGTTGCTCACCGCAGCTCTTGACCTCCAACTTCCACCACGATTACGGTGCATAAGAACACACATCGCGGTTTTGTTCTGACAAAGATGCAACCATGCGCACAATATCAGGTATGTTTTTCCGAAAGGCTAAAGAAACTTATGTGATTTATAATGCTCATCCTCTTCCAGGAATAGCTGCACGGCGTGACATCGTTCTGTGCAGGACTTATGGATAAATGCCCATCTTTGTTCGCTCTCTCAGAACTGCGGATTCATCTTTCATCTTTTCCTCTCGAAGAAACCCTGGACATACCTGTGTTCTTGATTCCGGAGAAACATCTGCTCTTATATGCGCTCTACAAGCGTCATTCTGCATGCAACGGAGGATTTTCCACTCAGGTGCTCGCTCTTTCCTCGACATCTTTCACCGCCCTGAGTCGAGTCTCGAGCTTCTTCACGACACTGCCCGAGGGACTTCGCTCTCCCGATCATCTTCTCCGGAGCGACGTATTTCCTTGAGCGCATATAAAAGGTCTTCTGGTGTTGATACCTACTTGAGCCTCGATTCGTCGTGCTATTTCTTCCTCTATCATGTTATTCCTCCTTTCATCGGCTTTGCTCGTCTCCATCATCGCTTTACCAGCTGCTGTCCTGGCGCAGTGGCCAAACATGGGACCCACAGGCTTCAATATGTACGTGCCCTCGCCTCATAACCCTACCCCTGACGCCAATATTCAATCTTACACGCAGCACAAGCGTCGATATTGCGGGAAATGGCTGCGTACCCAAGTCGACCTCTTATGTCATGAATGGTGAGCGTCCTGGTCGATCGTCGTGTAGACTTCGGCGCCCCATTTTCTATTTTACTAATTGTATTCTTATAAATTTATTCATCAGCTGACAAGAATGCAATAACTGTGGCCAGTAACGGCTATTGGGTTGAGACCGGGCCAGGTATCGCTCTTAATCAAACTCGCAAAAGCTGTCGGTTGACCTTCAACACCGAGTGGGTCTCGTACCGTCTACCTGGGACACAAGTGGTTGTTCACCTTCTGACGCTTATCTAGGATGCCGCACAGATGGCGCTTCGGTCTCCTCTCTGTGGATTATGTAGGGCACTTCTGCAACTGACGAAGTTGACGAAGTCAACTAACTGGATTATCTTACAGACGACGTATTACCACCTCGACGCGAAGATTACTGCTGATCAGCAGGTGACCTATTACTGTACGTCTCCCCCTACCTTCCTTTCCGCCACTAGTTACCTCTGACATGCTGTATGCGCACATTAGTCAAGGGAGAACTGCAGCAAGGTACCACGCGCTCTACGTTCGTCGGACCCATGGCTCGTATGCGCAAAGCTTCGTTATCTGCAAACGAATACTTACGCGGTCTACTGGCCTAGCTCGGGAATACACGTACCGTGATCAGTATGACTTCGGATTTGCCGTCGAGAGCCCTTGCAACACCACCTCGGTTGTGTGGTACATGCACAGCGACATTCGGGTAGGTAATGCACGCAATGCTGAAGGTACCGGGCGCATTGGCTCAGATGCAGTACGTCCTTTCATATAAGGACAAATGTGTCAAACAGAATCTGACTGCCAGTGGTCTGGTGTAGGTCAACCCCCCGTCACTCAAACAAGTAGGAGCAACCACTATCATATTTTTCCCTTGCTCATTTGTACTCGCAGACGTACAGCCTCTATTGGGTGAAGTGTTGAGAATTCGGACATGACTTTAGTCGTCGCTGTATAGGTAATTCGGTGAACGGTCGGAATAAAATTTCCGTGTGTTGTCATTCGACGGTCGACATCGGACGTTCTGATTGACCTTCACTGAGCGTTCTGCGAGCATCTTTGTTTAGGCGCAGGTAAGTCTTGTTTTGCGTTCACGATGACATAATTTTACCAGACTCTGTTTACAAGTACCTTAGCCTCGTGGCCAACTACATCGATCCCAATGTCTAGAGATGGAACACGAGCACCACTCCAGCTCCGTACAAGAGGAGGGCTCCAACACTGGTGTACAACGCGTGCACCCTGAATCTTTTCCAGAACAACGAAGACACATCCGTCATCATGGGACGATAGCTTTCGGGATGGATATGTATGAACATCAGAAATGTCACTAATCAGTGATCAACCTCGGAGTATCCAGCTCCCTCTTCACTCTAGTGGTCGCGCTGGTTATAATATTTCAAGTTGGGTTTCCAACACGCAGCCTCACATAGCCTTACATGCATTCCGCCACTTCCCTGGAGAAGGGCCACCATCCTCCGACCAAACCGACCGCCAACACTATCAAGAATAAGGAGCTGTTTCTCGATCTTGACCTCCCACTTATCGCCACTCTTCGTGCCCATGAAGCTTCGACATGTGCTGTGATTCCATGTGACTGTACGCGATCAACGGTTTATCGCCCATTGGCGCCGAACCGAAGCAAACCATGCTGCCCTGCCGACGATCCGAGAAGCTACCCTGACTCTCTCCATGCGAGAAGATCCTCTTGGTGTTGCGCTAGCCAGCAGACATGTAGATATTTTGCTGGAAGCACAAGATAAGAATTCCGTCGCCCCTTGCCTTTCAGCTCGGCGTCATGAAGGCCACCGTCCTCACCCTCGCCGCCGCCGTGTTGCACGCCAACATCGCGACTGCGATCCCGGTCACTCTCCCTGGAGACCCCTTCAAGATCATCGATCCTCAAGAATGGGTCAACCCCGACGACATGGTCTGGGACGACTTCATCCCGCCCCCGGGCACCAACTGGGCTGATCCCTCTCGCACTGGCTCCATCCGCAACTTCAACATCGCTCTCGTCACCGTCGACTATTCGGACCGGCCCTTCATCGTCACCCAACCAGCCGGGTCCACCATCTTCAACAATCCGCAGCCCCTCGCCGCAGAATTGTCCCGCGATGAGGTCCCGACCTTCTACCGCGACCTTCTCAACAAGCCCAGCGACATCAACCGCCACCACACCCTCCACGAGTACTGGATGGAAGACTCGTTTGGCCGCTTTGGCGTCGACCTCACCGTCTTCGGTGCCTACGAGCTGCCCGCGCGTTCGTGGCAGTACGGTATCGACAACGGCTTCAATGCGGGCGAGTGTCCCACGGGCGAACGGTGCAATCTCAACATCCGCACGGACGCCCTGGGCGCGTGGCGCGCCGACGTCGGCAACGCGACGGCAGACTCGTACGAGCTCGTCTTCATCCTCTCCGCCGGGCAAGATGAGTCGTCCACCTGGCAGGAGTTCGGCCCCATGAAGTGGCTCAATCCCGAAGACGTCCCCGACGAGTTTG